TTTTTTGTGACTTTTTTTTCCGTTGTAGATAAGAGAATTATAGTCTAGTTCCAGATTATAAGACAAGTAGCAGTGTAGTAGTGTAGTTTAGTGTAGTAGTGTAGTATAGTAGTATGCAGTATGTAGTATCGTCCATCCATCAACCATGGTATCTATCCGTATCCAAAAATTATCATCCAAGCAGAGAAAAAATGAAAGAAAAATGAGCGAAAAAAAGAGGGAAAATCAAAAGCAAAAAAAGAAAGGTAATACGCCTCACCATCTAAAAAGGAAAGACAGAAGAGTAAAGAAGAACAATAAACAATAAACATAAACCAAAGAAGTGAAACACTGAGGACAGAGAAAGCCACTCGTGTAACAGCCCGACAAAATGTCCAACCTCACTGCACTTCTCTCCTCTTTCTCACCTCACCTTCATCATGCTGTATATAGCCACCGCCCATTCTGCTCCCACAACACAGTGCAGCAGAGAGATGATCTCCTGACACCTAGTATAACCCGTCCTATTTAAGGATCACCTGTTTAGAGACCACCCGTCGGGACACCGGTCTAAACACCGTCTAAACACCGTCTAAACCACCTATAGCGTCACACTCTCCAGATCCCGCGTCATGACAGACACCTGCGCCCGCTTGGCCGCCTCCGCAACGAGACTAAAATCACGCAGGAACGGTGCCGTGGCGGTCGGTCCGCCAGGCCCGGACGCCTCCACGGCCGTCGCAGGGACATGGTTTCCAAACTGTTGGTCGGCTGGATCCGCCTGCTGCTGCTGCTGCTGCGCATCGAGAGCCTGCGAGGGACCAGTCATGGTGGTCGAGGCGGCTCGAACGGCGGCTTGCGGGTTTTTCAAGGCAAAGGGTGCAGCTTCTGCTGCTGCGGCTGCTGCTGCGAGGGCGGGGCTCTGGGCGGCTGGTAACGACCGGTCGGCCATCTTTACTCCCCGCTCGGCTTCTTCCTATCTAGGTTCGGTGGTGCTGGGGTGTCTTGGAGAGGAGGCGAGGAGGGTGGCCCAGTGATTCCGGTGATGATGGCTGTCTCCGTCGATTGGCCACTGCAGCAGATATGGTGTGATACTCCCGGTGGATTGGGGGGTGTTGATATCTGCTGGACTGCCGTCCGGAAATGGGGCCTGTCGGGAAGAAAGAAGAGAAAGCGGGGGAGGAAGAGGAGGAGAAGAGGAGAGTTGAAGTTGCAGTTGGGCTGCACGTGAGGGGGGGGCGATATGCCAGAATCGCCGCGGTATGACGTTCGGCAATAGACCCCAGCGGATAATGGATGACGATGAGACGGTCACCACGGCAGACTCTGGACGGTCAGGATAGATGGAGTAAAACGGTAGGCAGACTGATGTCCCATGTCAGACAGAGTTGAATTGCAGAAGGGGGGGGATAGAACAGAACTCAGGAGGCCGACAAGAGGATCGCACGATCGGCAAAAAGAAAGATCTCCGTTTATCTCCATGACATCCACTCATTCCCCCCCCATCGATTTCTCTGAAATTTTCCAGAAGGGCTGCCAGCGAGACCGAGAATTATCCGAGGTGTACTGACTGTGTATCTCCACGTCTCTCCACGCTGCCTGTGGCCTCTTAAGTACTGGTAATATAATGTAACTTACCGTCATTGTAAGTGATCACCGGGGAAGCCTCGGCAAACTGGCATCCTCCTTATCTCCCGCCAAGACCCCGGTCAGGTGACACCATGTGACTGGAGATCGACTCCCCCGCGGGGCTTTCGATAATCTCAACTCAGCGCAATCCGAACCTACTCGTCCAATTGCGCAAATGGCCGATCCGCTCGACACGGGGGACCTTTTCCAGGAGCCCGATGGGTTCTACGAGCCCGAGAAGGAAGCCTCCTATGCCGAGCACCGCATGCTCTCGGGGCAGACGGTGCGCGTGCGTCTCGTCGGGAGCCATCCTCTCTATGTACGTCCCACAACAAGCAGAAACTTACCACACCGGAACAATCAACACAACAACTGACACTGTATAAACTCCCACAGGGCAACCTTCTCTGGAACGCAGGCCGCACCAGCGCCCACTACATCGAGCAGCACGCGGCGGCCCTAACAGCCGGCAAAGATGTGCTCGAGATCGGCGCCGCAGCAGGCGTGCCCAGCATCGTCAGCGCCGCGACGGGCGCCCGCACGACCATCATGACCGACTACCCAGATCCCGACCTCGTCGAGAACATGCGCCAGAACGCGGTGCTGGGCCAGCCGCTGATCCCCGCGGGGTCGGCCCTGCACGTCGACGGCTACAAGTGGGGGAATTCCATCGAGCCGCTGCTGGCGCTTGTGCCTCCGACAGAGGGCGCTCGCGCGGAGGGCTTCGACGTCCTGATCATGGCGGATGTGGTGTACAGCTATCGCGAGCATCCGAATCTCATCAAGACCATGCAGATGGCGCTGAAGCGGAAGGCGCACGCTGTCGCGCTGGTTATCTTCACGCCTTATGAGCCGTGGCTGTTGCCGCGCACGGAGACTTTCTTTCCGTTGGCGGAGAAGAGCGGGTTCGTGGTGACCAAGATCTTCGAGAAGTTGATGGATGATGTGTTGTTTTCGGATGATCCGGGGGTATGTTCTTGTTTCTCCTGTCTCTATGTGCTGGAGTCGCTAATGAAAGTAGGATGAGAAACTCCGGCGGACGGTGTTTGGGTACGAGATCCGGTGGGCGGAGGATCAGCTACAGTGAGCACTGAGTGGTAGACCTGCATTACGGCGTTAGGGTTGTTGGGCAGATATAACGATATACACGGTATACAGATGGTTCTGTAAAAAGTCGACTAGTATGTAGTGTGCATAGCGTCCTGATACAATTTCGATATACATAAACAAGCTTCTACAAATATACAAATTCTAACATATGCAATTTACGGGGTTAAAACAGAAACATACATGATTAAATTGTGGTGAACCCTCAATCCGTTATCAAGTCACATGCGCCACCGCAGCCCCGCGAAAAAATCTCCGCTCCGCTCCCCAAACAACCTCATCGCGAACCCCTCTTTAATCCCACCCCACCATACCCCCAACCCTCACAATGCCGGTACGTCCCCCATTCCCTCCCCCCAAATATACGGCACCAGCTAACAAAAAGACAGTTAATAATTCTTACCGGCTACCCCTGTTCAGGGCTCACCCACCGCGCGCATCAACTCTCCACCGCCCTCCAAGAAGCCCAACAAACGCTCTTCGACACTGGCGTGCTTCCTCCCACAAAGACACCCTACAAGATCCACGTCGTATCTACACATAACAATTCAGATCATCCTCGCACTGTCTATGACAATGCACGCTCGGAGAAGCAGACGCGCGGGGTGGCCTACGCGCGGGCCAGGCGTTTGCTGGGACGCGACAGCATCGTTATCCTCGACGGGATGAACTACATCAAGGGGTATCGGTATCAGCTTTGGTGTGAAGCTAAGGCGCTGGGGACGAGTTGCTGTGTTGTATGTGCTTTCCCTTCTTCTTTCCCTAGATGTATGCGAGGGGTATGGCTGACGAATGGGTAGGTTCATGTTGGAACGCCTATCGACCAGTGCGTCGCGAACAACGAGGCTCGACTGCGGCGGAAAGAACAACAGGGTACTCCAGACGGCGATAACGACACTGGAAGCCAGACTGAGACAGCCCACAACAGTACCGACGCCTCTCAAAAACAAGAGAGTCAGGAGGATCAGAAGGATCAAACAGCACAGGGCGAGGAAGACCCCTACCCAGCCGCCCTCCTCAACAACCTCATCTTCCGCTACGAAGAACCAAGCACCCACAGCCGCTGGGACAAGCCCCTCTTCACAGTCCCCTGGTCGGACCCCGAACCCCCCTCAGCAGACATCTGGACCGCCCTAACCGGCACCCCGCACCCCTCGCACACCCCAGAAGACCCCAACGACCCCCCCACCATCTCCCCCCTAGCAGCCGCTCTATCCAACACCCACCTTACCTCCGCAGCCAGCATCGCACCCTCAACAACAACAACCAGAGCAGGCGGCTCCACCAACCGACTCGGCCGCCCAAAGATCAAACCCCACCAAGCCACCGCCCTCCCCGCAGCAACAGACTCCTCCCTCCTCTACAGCTTCGAAAAGCGCACCTCCTCCATCATAACCGCCATCCGCACATTCACCCTCTCCCACCCCTCTGCCTCCGCCGCCCTCGCCCAATCCTCCGCCTCAAATCCAAACTACAACAACAACCAACCCTCCGGAATCACCATCCCCGTCCCAGACACCCCCGAAACCATCTTCATCCCCGCCCACATCGCAACAGCAGGCTCCACCGACGAACTAGCCGGCGCAGGCGGCATCCTCGCCCTCCCGCGCCTGCAGCGTCTGCGCAGACAGTGGATCGCCATGAACCGCGCGCACGTCGCCTCCAACTACGGGTCGAACCCGGGCGGGCTGAGCGCGGAGCAGGTTCCGGGGGCTTTTGTGCGGTTTTTGAATGCCGAGTTGGCGGGGGATGATGAGTGATTTATAGTATTTATTCATTTATTATCTTTTTTCATATATCATTCATGGTCTATTCGGCATTTTTGTTTATCCTATCGTGGTTGTAGTATAGAAAGCGGGAGGGGAAGGAGGAGGTCGGATAGTACGGTGTAGATTGGGTGGATGTTAGAGATTATGGAACGCATATACATCTGAATGAATTGATGAAAATGGATATGGCAGCATCATTGCACTAATTATAATATAGTACAGTATAGTATAGTATAGTATTACCTGAGTCAATCCATGACTATATCAAATCCCAAAAAGGGACGAGAACCCTGATATCACTGTTAAAGAAAAAACTCCAGCCATGTTTAAACTGAACAATTCTCTTCTAAGAACAAGAGAAGGATTATGCTATGCCTTTTCTCTGATCTAGAGTTTATTGACTTGAAGTTACTTTGATGAAGTAAGGGTATGTGTAGAAGAATATATTTTAATCAAAAACTATATATACCGGATTTGCCAAAAACAGAACATCCAAATCCAAGATTAACAAAAAATATCAACAAATCGAAGTAAAAGATATCAACAAATCGAAGTAAAAGGGATAAACAAAAAAGTAGACAAAAGAGATCGAAGACCAGATATATCTGTCTGGTGCTCCACTGCTGTACACACAACTGCCTGGTTCTTGTGAACCAGACAAGAACACCAACTGTACAACAATCCATCTCTGTACATGATGGGGACTGTCCATCACCTATTTATCCATTCACAAGGGAGCAAGTAAATGTCTCCCGGAATTGGAAAAATGGTCTGTGCAGGAGCGCAGTGTCTGCGCGTTTAAAAAGAAGCCTCCAGAGAAAAGAAAAAAGAACCGAATCATTCCTTCCCAATTTTTGGTGGCCACATGGGGAGCCGAGTTTTTTTACACCAGCGTAAAAAGATAGACAAAGAAATGCCCCCCCAGTGGATACGTCTCCTGTCCTGTCATGCAGGATCAGTGTGGAGTCCACCGGCAATGAGGTCGGGGCGCGACCCTAGTAGATAAGTGCCGGTGATAAGATCCATCGGGCTGTCCACGGTATCTATGAAAAAGAGTCCATGGCAAAGCCATCAGGCAGAGAAATAGATCCGGTGGTTTGCCTGAATGTGCGTAGGCTGCTTTCCTTGCTGGGCCACGGCACGAGATGAAATCTATAGGTGGCTGCTCATGCGTGGAGTCACAAGCAGTCCATTTTTAAAAACATCATCAGTTGCAATCCGGAGTGGACTGCTGATGGAATTCTTCAAGCGGGAAGACCGTGCGGCATGTGGCTGGCAGCCTGGCTGGCTTCGATGTGACGGTAGTTCAATCCCAAGGTGATCAGCTCCTGGAGGCTGGCATTGACCTTGTCGTGCATGGACGAGTCCTGCGGGCTGATGTTGCTGAGCTCCTCCAGCAGACGGCAGCGGCAGTTGTAGTAGTTGCGCTCCGCGTTCTGCAGTCGCTGTCCGTGGTGGGCAGAGGACTGCTGCACCGCTTTCAGAGGGTTGGTCTGGGACTGGGTGGAGCGGGTGCGCTTCATGGTCTGCGCGCCCGTCGAAACCCCGGGGACTCGGCGCTTGCGTCCGTTGTCCTTCTTCTTCTGGGGCTGGCCACTGGTGGGAGAAGCATCCGGGGAGCTCAGTCGGTCCGACGAGGCGTAGTCGTGAACCCGTCTCATGTGGTCAAAGAGATTCCACCTCCGCGGGAATCCAAATCCGGGAACGGAGCGGTCGCAACCCTCGAAGAGGCACAGGTGCGGGTTGTCACCGTGACCATGCAGTCCGTGGGCCTCCCGTTCGTGGCGGAACAGGCAGGCATTGGAAGAGAATTGAAGTTGGGCATCCATGCAGGCGGGGATCCTGCAGCGGTAGGGCTTCAAGTGGGAGTCCAGGTATTTGCTGTTGCTCTCGTTAGCCTTGGGATGTTTGGTGGGTTGGATGTGCTGATGGTAACTTACTGGTACGCGCATTTCTGGGTAGTCGGGGGGTGGTTGCACGGGCGGTCTCCATTGGCAAATGGGCAGTAGTACTTTCCATCACTGTGGGTCGGCAAGGCATAGTATGGATGATCACGGGGATTCCTGAGGTCGGTGGCTTCTTTGGCTCGCTGGCGCAGAGGCTCCTTCACGGGAAGGGGCGGGAAGAACTCCGGCTCCTGTTTCGCCGGGGGCTGAGAGGGAGAGGTCTGGATGGTAGGCCTCCGGGCACTCTTCGACGGGCGAATGGTCCTGTGAGTCATCCCCGGTAAGCATGAAGCATATCGGACGGGGAATCGCAAGGGCACTAACCTGTTCGGGTCCTGGTCGTTGAGAGGCGGCGTCAGGGGGAACAGCGGGTCGCCTAGGTTAATGCCCTGGCTTCCAACGGGGGTCGCCGTCACATCCTTCAGCATGGCATCTTCGTGAGACATGAACGTGGGATATCCAGAGTGGGAGCAAGAGGTGGTGACGGCGAGGTCATTCCCGCCCTCGGTCAGCGGGGGCGACACGGGCACGGTCGGGAACATGCCGGGGACAAAGTGCCCCTGGTAATTCCGGGAGTCCGCCACCATCGAGTTCCACATCTCGCTCGCGGCCATATGGCCATCATCGTGCGAGCTATGGCTAGAGAGGTTATCATCCGAGGGGCAGGACTGGTTCCCATTTTGGCCATTGGCATCATTATCAAACGCAGACAAGTCAACCAGCGAGGAGTAGTGATGGTTGAAATCCTGCGTATTGGAGAAGTCCAGGTCATTGTGATCTCCCATGGGGAACTCAGATCCGGTGTGATAGACTACATCACTGGGTCCCACGGTGGAAGGCATCATTTGTTGGGACATGGAGAAAGAAAGCATCTGGACCTCTGGGGATTCGGGTTTGCTTGACGAGACGAGACCGCTGTCAAGGGCATCCACATCATTCAATCCCCACGGCTTGAGGTCGGTGGGGGTTCCACGGCTCTGGTGTGTGCTAGAAGTCAAGGAGAAACTATCCTGGCTCGAAAGTTCATCATCCGGGATCATTCTGGGGGCCATATTGGAGATTCCTTGGGCTAATTGGCTGTGTCTGCAGTGGGAAATGTGATCCATGTTGTGGAGGGTTGACTGGGACAGAGAGACCTCCTCGGGGTCATGCTTGACATTGAGAGACATTGTGATTTTGAGATCCAGCGTGGCTGGGAGAAACAAGAAAGCAAAATAAGCACTAGAGAAAGGCAAGTCAGTACATCTACTTTTCAATCGCACATAGAACGAATCAATCATGTGAGATGAGCCAGGGGTCCATAAGATGTCATCCTATATCAGAGTTAGTTGAGTGACGAAGCATGCATCAATTCGGCAGTGTACGAACCACTTGAAGTTGTCCGTGATATGGACGGTGCGATTCCCTAGGTCCGGTTAAAAGGTCACGGTGGGCGTCCAGTTCTTGTGAGCAAAATGAATGGCCAGGATGCTATGAGTGGTCGCGTCTCTACCTCAGGCCGGTAATCCACAGGTTGAGCAGGAAGCTACAGATCGACAAGAGTCATCCATGATCACGGGGGAAGTTTCATATATTGAGTCCATCCAGAGCAGTCGCTGACTACAGGTCGATGGGTATGGAAGTGCAACACATTAGTTGACACCAGGAGAATCCTTGGATATTGGTCGAAGGACAGCATAAAGTCCTAGATGCATATATTGAAATCCACGGCTCAAGAAAATCCAGGCAGAATTATTCATCATTCAGGTCCAGTCGGGATGGGTATCCAGTTATCCAGTTTGGTATGGTAGTAATCCTCTGGGGTTTCAAGTGTGATATCATCATGTCCACCCCAGGCTTGGGGTGGGAGAGTCCATAAATAGGCAGAATAGACCCAGGGTGGATTATCCAGTGTTCCAGGGGGAATAGTCCAAGGGTTTCGTCAAGTGTGCAACATAAAGCAACACTCGAAGGTGTCCAGTCTGACAGCGGCGGCTGAAAGACAATGTCTGTCAGGCCCACGGAAAACGAGTTTTCCAGGCCGTCCTGACACAGCAAGCAGTAGTTCCAGGAATAGTAAAATCAAGGGGGTCCGTTGGAGATATCCGGCAGGTTTTTTTTTTTAGTCGCAAGGGTGGGGTCCATAGTCGATTTTTTTTGGCGATTGGGCACAAAACAGGAAGAAATAGGGGGGAACAAAGAAAAAGAAAAGAAAAAAAAAAGACAAACAGACGAAGAAAAGCAGGGAACTACCTGGTGTCTGTCGATTCAAGTGTGTTGCTCAGACTAAAGCCTGGGAATAAACACAGAACAAAACAGAAAAGCAAATCCTATCCAGGATATGGACTGAGGCGATCCAGTGGGCAATTGGATTGAGGCAATAGTAGTAGTGATGACCAGGACGGAAGTTTTATGTTCCAAGATCCACGGGGTTGGATACTTGAGATGGAAGATATCAAAGAGATGTTGCAATGCAGTGAGACCTGAGAACTGGGAATAGCAGACGAGACTAGCAAGAGCAATAGGAGTGAGAGGATATAGTAGGGGAAGATGGAGTGATGGTGGGGAGAGAAGAGGGGAGCGTGTATCAAAGTGGGTATCTTGGAAGTAGAGAGATGTAGATGAGATGAGATGAGATGAGATGATGTTGCAGAGATGTAGAATGGATTGAGAATGATCGAGAAAAGACAGAGAGAGAGAAGGAGGGGAAAAGAGGGTCCCTTATAGAGTTGCTGAGAGAGAGAGAGAAAAAGGAGTGCGGCTTCACGGTGAGCCTGAGGGGTCCAAGCGTGTGCCGGGAACTGCAGGCTGCAGACTGCGGCAACCGGACTGCCTCACTAGGCAGTGGCTAGGAGAGTTCATGAACGGTGATTTGATCCTGCAAGACATGGCTGGAGGTAGTGTGCAGCGCCAGGTGGTGACTCCAGAGCACCAGAACCAATGGATCTGGATTGACGTGGCAGAGATGAGGAGAGAAAGGTTGGATGGATCACTTTGGATCCCTTCAGTCTAGCGGTGAGGCGGGAAACTCCCGGGGGGCCCGTCCCGTCATTGGTCTGACCCGCTGCATCTGTTACATCACCGACATCCTGTCGCTTCATGCTTCTCCTCCTGAGTACATCATAATCTCGACTCTTTTGAGATGAGAACCAATGATCCATATGATCCATGTGGCAGTGTCTCCACTCCCCCTCCCTCCATCAATCATTCTGGACAATACGATGGTCCCCTGAACTTCCGTGACCGAGACAAAGTTCGACCATCCATCATCGTCTGGCTCTCATCTCATCCACGTCAATCCTCCCCTCCAACATGACTACGCTCCGAAATGCCTGTCGGAAAGTCGATTCTATGCAGCCATCACCTGTTAGTTGACTCTCGAGCCTCCCCACCATCATGATACTTCATCATGCATTTCATGCGCCTTGTTTCGCCCAAGTCTCAGCGTCAGGGAGAGGAAAGGCTGCGAAAGGAGGGGCAACAGGGCAAAAGTACGCGGCAGAATCCCAGGGACAGCCGTTTCATGAGGGTTGAGCACGGCATTTATCTACTGGATGTTGTACAAGGCGCTACGAGGGCCATGGCCGTGGCACACCGCACCAAACCGATAGGACGAAAAAGTCCCGGTTGGGCAGCACTACATCGTCAGGGGAATCAGGCGGACACTCCGTTTCGGAGAAGCCTAGAGGGGTACTCTCTTTTTTTTCTTTTTTTTTTCTTTCCCCTCTGCCCCTTTCCCTTTCTTTGTCGCTGATGGTTCCTGAACGGTTGTTTGTTTTTCTATTTCCAGTACTAGGTTTCTGAGTCAGCCGCTTGGACACACAAGAACATCAAAAACAGTAACAGTAAGCGTGATGACAGTCGGTCAAGACAGTAAATATCAGACAAAGATGAAAGATGGTATACAGTTTTCATTCAAAGGCACAAAGACCTCAGGTGAACTATGCTTATTGGTATTGGAGTCATCATTGAACCTCTTGACCATGACGCCAGATCGGGTGATGTAGGCGCGATAAAAAAAAAATAGAAAAAAATGAAAAGCAATCTCGTGGGCTTACCTGGATCAAAGGAACTCTTTTGAGCTTTTTTTTGGAACTGTTGTGTGAGTCAAGAGGTGGGGAGACTTTGCCCCTCAGCATCCCAAGATGGCCATCTGCATTTGACAAACCATCCATTGGCTGGGAGTCTGATCATCGTGACTTGCCGTCAGGATGAGTGGGTGACATTTACGGGTGGAAGACAAGAAGAGAAAATGGCCCCGATGAGTGCGCGCTTTTGTTGAAGCGAGCACGTGACCTGTCGAGATCTGTTTGTTTGGTTTGTGTAGTTTGTGTTATTTGTGGGTTTGCCTCATTGATATGGCTCCCCTCCTGACATCATCTCCCATCGTGCTAATATGGCAATCTCACAGCTGAGTGCTGAGTTCGGCTCTGGTATCGGGACGGGCCGCCTGTGGGACATGCTTATGGATGTTGTAGAGTATGTAGGTATACGGTGGGAGGAGATACAAGAGGTCTACAAACCGGTATACCATGGTAAGTGCTCTCATTCTGCCGACGGTGCCCGCTCATAAATGGACTATACAGTGCCAATAGCAATACTGTTCGTGACTGGTTGTAATCTCCTATGATGGACCTTTCCCTTTTTCTGTTTTTCTTGGATTTTGCAGAGATCAAGTGGCCCATATGTCAAGGCAATAGAAACATCCAATGGTTTCTACTAGGACCTCTCTCGCCGTCTCTCTCTGTCCCGAAGTACAATATATGCGACGCTCACATGATCGCAGTATCTGGTACACCGCTATCTATGGCCTGATCAAGCCTCCCCTTATTCTTTATTCATGGTGTGAATACCTAAAACCCCAAATCACATCATGAATTGGACAGGAGGCCGTCTCCGACGCCATTCCAATCAAGGGAATACCCAACTATCCAACCGGAAGCAAAAGTTCCAGCAATCAAAGTCGCGGTTCAAAGCCCGAGCGAACCCTCCAGATCTGTCGCTCTTCACAGCTAACACCCAGCATATCCTCCGCCACAAGGAGACACAGAAAGAGGTTAGCCTTTGCTTAACTGGTTGACCAGTGACCACTCAGAAGACACTAACCAATACTCCCCAAAGCACGATCGTGTCCCAATCGCACCTCCATGCTCCACTGCCCCCTCGCCACTCAAAACAACAACCCCCACTGACCTTCTCAAACAACAGCTACTTCAAAAGTCCGACTGGGCCGCTGTCTCAGCTGCCCGTCCGCTCCAAATCTCATTTGCCCCCGCAGAAGAGACAGGACGGTTCGGTAAACGAAGGAGACTGACGGACTCTGACCGGAAGAGACTGCGTTCTCACCAGTCTCGACCCGGAGAGACCCATGTTGTCTGGAAGAGCCGACAGGAGGATAACCTATCAGACGCGGGTACGATCAACAAATTGGATATCAGATTCAATGGACAGCGACCACACGCTGGACGGATGAGCAGCCAATTGGCCGATAAAGGGCTCGCTTCGTCTCAGCCAATGCTTCTGGACTCTGGGCCGTTGGACACGCCACCCGAGAATGATAGGAATGGGCAACTTTGGGGAGACCGGCCGCTGTCCCCATTTCCAGGTCGGGAATCTCTACGCTTTGACTCGCCTAACCTATACTCCCCCTCGAGTCGCGGTACTAGTCCCCCCATCGAAGAACAAGTGCTCCCTCCCAGACGACATTTCACACTCGACGACCAACTCATCGCCGAACAAGAAGGCAGACTCAACATCCTCCATTACTCGCATCCACCCACAGAGGACCTCCACCATGTAGACAACTACCACTACTCACCACCACAGGAGACAGAAGCAAACAGACAGGACCAAACCACCGGAGACACCCAGTCCTTCTCGGGCAACCACTGGCTCCCAAACCCACGCTGCACAATCCAACGAGCGCTGCGTTCTAAGGCCCCACTCTCGACACCATCAACAACCAGATCTACTCTATACGACCCCGCCCTGCAGGCCAACCCAACACCAACAACAACTAACCAGCAGGTCTCGCCCCCCACAATATACGGTCAACCGATTATTTCCCTCGACCAAGTCACTGCCCGAAACACCTCTCCTCTGCCGTGGATCCTCAGCTCCCCGAACCTCAGTTCACATGCCAGACGACAAAAACAACACGACACAGGCAAGGACTACCCCTCCGCCTGTATTGCTTCCACAGAGTCTATCCCCAGAGCAAGCAGTCCACAATCCGTTAATGAACTGGACTTCTTTTTCTCCCGCGGAGATATACTCCCGAACGCACATCTCCCAAACTCACTACACGTCTTACCCAGGACTACCACTATCGCCGCCAACAACAGCAACGATCATCCTTGGATGCTCAGCTGGCCTACACGGCGATGAAATACTACTCGATGCACCCCGTTTTTAACCTCTCAAATATTGAGATAATTGTGTTAGCCATCTAAGCCAAGGAAGCGGTTCCCTTTTTCTTTCTTCTATTTTTGTTGTCTTCTGTTCTTTCTTTCTTCATTCTAAGTTTAATCTATCGTAACTAACTACTAATAAAGAGACAATTCTTGTCTTGTCTTTCTACTAACTTGGCATTCACTAGTTATAAATACGGGATACATATCTCCTACGCGGGGAAGATGTACTCTCTACATAATATATAAGCCCCAATGACCAGCACAAAAGCATTTTTCATCCAATTACTTCATCCTAGTCTAATATGCAATAATACCAACAAACACCAACAAACATGCATAAATCATATCACATACCGTAGGTACTACAGACTATCTATGACCATAAAAGGTTACATCACGAACAGCAGGTTGACATCTACGGACTGGGTTAGACTCCAAATTGAGGACATCCAATGCACACTACGAAAGAGGGGCTCACCTAGCGGGTGGCTACAGCTCAGCTGCGGTTTCTGGGTATATTTGCCGTCAAGCTGCGATCGAATCGAATTCAGAAGCTGCAGGTAGCTTTGGTTTGGGTCCTTTTTTAGGGATTTGATGAATGCCCAGCTTAAGGCGCCGCGGGCTTCGCCGTCTTTAAAGGTATCCGCTCTGTATTTTTTGGTTAGTGGTAAGTTGTAGAGGTAAATTAATACTGGGATCAGGGGAAAGGAGGAAAGATGGAACGTGGGAATGAGGGAAATTCTCACGATGTCTGCGTGTCTTTAGAACCGGAGAACATCACCACGTCGGCGGGAGAGGTCTTGGTCAATACCGTCCGCTGGCGGGCGGAATCGCCGTTGGTGGCCTTTTTGAAGAAACCAATCGCCGTCTGCGCTATGCTGCCGAGGTCGCCCCGTCCGTATGAGTCGATTGCGGTGAAGAGATCGAGCGCGGCTTCTTTGGCGAGGTTGGGCTCTTTGAGGGTTCCCTGGGTCGAGTACACGTAGGGCAAGTCCAGGGCGGTACCGGAGTGGCAGGAGTCGAATATTGCTGTGAGTCGAGCGCCTGACGGCAGAGGACGAACCCTGTCTAGAGTCAGTGGCAGCGCAATATTAAGAGGGGAGCTAGACTGACATGATATCGTGCATTTCGTCGTCCACGATGTGCCCTGCTACGCGGTAGTCCACGGGGTAAATAACGTCGTCATATCCTTCAATCTGTTAGTCACGCATTTGCGAAAACCAAGATACAAGTTTACCATCTTCTTCATCGCCATCCAAGTCGGGGGTCCGTCCACCGTGCCCTGAAAAAACATGAGCGGTTGTATGTATAAGTCATTGCGTTTAATGAAATCCCACCGGAGAAATGAATCAGCAACGAGTCGTTTGGCCGCGCCCCCTCGACCAGCCAGTGCATAGCCCGCAAGATATTGGCTTTGGTCGGGACGCTCAGTTGATGCTGTTGGTCGTCGGTGAGGATCACCATGTCTTCTCGCCGGTAACCATGCTTCTCATGGAGGAACACAGACATATTAGAGACATCATTGATGCAGCCATGCAGTTTGCTCGGCTGACCGATGTAGTTTATGCCGATTAAAAGTGCCTTGCGTCGGCCGGTACAATCCGAGTATTGGAATCGATAGTTCGACGGAGCGCCGTGGCCGAAGTGTTGCGCTTCCTGCGGTGGCCGCCGGGGAAGAGAAGGGGCCCATGAGTGTGCCGGCCCTACGTAGTGTCAGCAGTGGGAGGCCCACCGACGTCAATCGAGTTGATGCTGCATGGTCGGCTTCGACTTACTGTGGTAGGGAGAAGACGGATGGGGAGGCGGTGTCGGTGTGTGACTATGCCAGGATGCCGGGTGAGGGTAGTGGCCAGGATGTGGTGGGGGATATTGTTGCGGTGGCGGAGGTCCCGGAGAAGGGTATTGGGAGTAACTGGATAGATCCGTCAGTCAAAATTGTTACCTGGTATGAGCGTCGGCGGGGTTGTTATACGGTTGTGGCGGAGGAACCCACGGCTGCGCAGGAGGGTAGCCACCAGACCAACCCTGGGGCGGAGGCGCGGAATATGGATAGTACATCAATTTAACGTGTCTATCGGGATGGTATCTGGGATGTTCGCGATGATAGGCGAGCGATGACGGCTCCTTCAAGTCGGGAATCTGTCTTGTGTCGTTGCCAAGGATCTGAGTAGTAAATCGAAAAAGGTGGAGACTCGGTTCTACGAAGGTCGGGACGCCCCCGATAAATGGGTCCTGAGTCGCGGGGAGCTGAACCAAAGAGCTCCAAAAGACAGTCTTCGAGAGCGGTCAATGCAGCGACCGATTATGGATATCAGGAGAGAAAGAAAGAAGCCAGGAGGCAAAACTTGGGGCGAGATAACATTTATGGACATCCCCCAGGCCGAAGACTGTCAGGGCAGGGCTGGCTGATGTCTGCGTTCCCTGGTGGGGGCTAGCTCTCATTGGATTCGCCCGGTCAGACCGGGCGGGTCTTCACTTCCTACTTCGAGACACGAGGCGTAGGGCCGACCATACGACCCCTCGCTTTCCGCATGGTTGGCATGGAGGTCCGCGCTGGTCCATGGTTCCTGTCCATCTAAGGACCAAAGTATGAGCCATAGGGCTGAGAGGGAGCAATATACGTCACGTCTGACCCATTACACTCCCTTGCCAACCACTGAGGAACGGAAATACCATCCAGATGATCATCACAGTCTTGTAATGCCAGCAGCCGAACTAGTCATCTTAGGGGGGATGCGCCGCCGATCCATGCTGCATGAACGTTGGTGTGTTGGACTGGCATGAAGGAACTGTTGTGATTGGCTTATATGAGGTGTGTGGTATTGTTTTTTTCCTCTTCTCTTTGTAATACGGGCAGCGTGAGAAAGGAATATGCAGGCATGACTGTCTCCTCGAATCCAATTACCCAGATTCCAATATTTGACCCATGGATTCATACAGGGCGTACCCGACGAGGAAAAGTTCTGGAAACTTAGTTGAGCACCGACCAGAGATAATCCGATTTGATTGGGGTAAATGAGATCAGATTGCGTCATCCGAGTGATCATCAACCCAGCAAGAATCTAGGCAGCAGAACAACAAAGCAAGAGAAACGAACGAAGTCAAAGAAATGAGATACGCCAAGAGTCAATCCTGGGATCCCCGTGACGCTGGAGGCACGTGACAGTTTCACCATTCTCGAGGGGAGCGATGCCTGACCATTCAGGTGGCTCAAGAGGTTACATTCACTATCAACAACCCCGCAAGTCACTATCATGGCCAAATAAATAGGCAACAACTCAAGGCCAATCTACGAAATGGACAACACTCATCCCTTGATATCTGGTACAATATATCCAGACTTACAAGCACAATGACATCCGGCCCATACTCCCTCCGTCTCAAATCCCCGTCAGAGACAGGGGCCCATCTCTTTACTCTACTCTCCGATTACGTCCAATCCACTTCCACCCCCGCAGCCACAGTCGCGCAATCAATCCACAAGCTCGGAGAAGGACCGATTGCTAACCCCCAGAATGAAGGCCCGTCTGTTGAGTCGTTCCTATGGGAAACGTGGGCCGTTGTCATCGATTTAGCCAAACAGCTTCCCAACGACGGTCTGGACCGTCTGGTGGATGTGCTGCAGGCGCTCACGGCGATACCTGCATCGACAGTATCTATCTGGGAGGTATGATTAAAAGATATTATATCCCGTCTAGTCTTGTCTATGCCACATTGAATTTCTATCTAAATTAGCCGATCCACTTGAGCTCTTGTTAATCTTTCTGCCTACAGTCCGAGAGCAAAGTCTGGACAGACCTCCCCATTCTTGGTCCCTCCATGAGAGAAGCATGGATTAGTGAGTACTCATCTATTTTCCACCTGCCACATGGCATGGCACCAGGGGACTGCTTTTCTGACACATACCCTGTTAAATCCACCCAGCGCCAGATACCGACTCCCCAGAAGAGACGCGCACAGAGTGGGTCAATCTGAATTCCTTTGCTGCACGTCTATTAGCTCTTCCATCCATCACATGGGTGAATTTTGCGGTCTGGACGATGCGTGATGCACTCGAGAACAGAAGCGACGACAAGGATATTGGTACTATGCATGTTGATGCTGCTGCGGAGTGGGTCTTGCATGCCGGAAAGGAGCTGGTCGGATATGCTACATCCACAGATCAGAGTGAGGAGCGCGCTTTGGCTGGTGGGAAGCTATACCATGGACCGGCTACTGTGTGTGCCGAGAGATGGGAGTTCTGGAAGAAACGGTTTGGAGAGGTGGCCGAGGCATTAGGGGACAACCGGGTGAGGGCGAAGGCGAAGAAAGCCCAAGAAGCGATGGAGACGATCACGATTGGGTGATATGATTGCATTTCATCCTTGGTTCGACTGTTGACTTGTACATGAATACGAAAATATTTACGTTATCCCACGTTTGACAGCCAGGTTGGTCGGTCAAACACCCAAGTAGAGTAATCCTCAGGTTCGGGTTCGGATGGCCCGAGTCTCCAACCAATCCTCGGGCCACAGAAGGTCGGATCGAGTACCCGGTATTCGATCTTCCCCCGATTGGAGTACTTTGAACAAAGAAATGAATCTAGATTTGCCTTAAATTGGATGGAATTTCGCGGAGACGACTTGAGTTGAGTGGTCTCGCCACTCTTTGGACTCGGGATGACATCAAGACTGTCCGCCTCGGCTTTTGAACCCTAGGGTACAGCTTCGATAATCATGGTACCACAGCACGTACCCAATGTCCTTGTTTCAATTATTATGATTCCAACAGTACCAAGAAATAAAATCAGAGATTTTTTCCTCTTTATGTCTGGAACATTATCAAATCTATTTCGATTGAAATCGATCTCGCGGCCACCACTGATGCGCGCCGCCTCACCTATACGGCGTGATCGTCCATCGCGACAGTCTCCAATAACCTGTTGATTGGCAGTATGGCCGAGCTGGGTTATTGGAATCGCACCGTCATTAGCGTCGCCATCGCGGGTAGTGTCATCGCCACGGTGTTCTATGTCCTGCGATTGTATAGCCGGAGATTTACGAGCGGGAAGCTCGACGTCGGAGATTTGTTCATGGGATTGGGGCTGCTCTCGACGTATGGGTTTCTGGCATGTGTGCTTATCAGTAAGTCGTTCAATCTTCCTCGCCTTTCTTCAGATTCGTTATTAGCTTGATATGCTGCTAACACTATGCTCCATCCAAGCGGTATTCAACGGGTTGGGCAAGGATGCACAAGACCTTCCCCAGTCGAGTAGTTCTCGAGCCACTTTTGTGCGTCTCACTTCCTGTCTTGCGCGCTGACAAGAGTGATGATACTAACCAAGCCATGGTAGGCCTTCTGGCTCGAGCAGAAGTTCTGGGCGACAGGCCAGATCCTGATCAAGCTATCGATTATCATGCTCCTGCGCCAGACCCTGGGTACAATAGCGCGCGTCCGCGCCATCACCACAGTCCTAATCGTCTATACGTTAGCCTGGGGCGCTACGGCAATCTTTGCGCACATATTCCAGTGCTGGCCCGTCGAACGCTATTGGAAACGGCACATCAAAGGACACTGTATCCGCCATCAAGTGGCGTTGTTTATGTCCACCGCGGGGCTGTCACTGGGAGAGGATGTGGCGTTGTTGCTGTTACCCTTGGTGGTTGTATGGCGGTTGAAGCTGGTTCTGCAGCAGAAGATACAACTGACACTTTTGTTTTCCGTGGGGACACTGTATGCACACCGTTCCCTGGCTTCGTCCATCAACTTATATCCCAGTCAACTAACACTTCCACAGAGTCTGCGTTTTCAGCCTAATGCGATTAGTAGAGCTCAAACACTACGATCCGACAAACTTCACTCGTACGCCCTCTCCCCCCCCCAGCGCACACATTCAGACCCCCCATAACCTAGCTAACCAAAAACCCCAAAGGAAGCGGCTCCCTCGAAACCCTCTACACCACCCTCGAAATCAACCTCGCCATCATCTGCGCCTCCGTCGTCCTCATGCGCCCGCTCCTCCATCGTTTCTTCAAGTGGTGCCCACTATCGGAGCAGGTCCGACGCAAAGTCTGCACCTCGTCCACCAAATCCTCAAACTTCATGCATTTCTTCCACAAGGAATGGCCGTATGCAGATCAGAACTTTTCGCAGAATAGCCACACCGAGATACGGTCTGAGGTGTGTCGGGTCCCGTCGGCAGAATGGGCAGGATACCTTTTCCGTCGGCCTTCGCGAGATATTATGGTTCAGACGTCAATCGATCAAGATATCCACAACAGGGAAGCGTTCCTTGCGGCCTTGGAGGGGTCTAATTCACGGGAGGCTGGGATATCTAATTTGCCTTCGTCGCGGTTGGATTCGATTGGGAGTACAGGAGAACACCGTTTCTCGTAGCATTTTATACTACAAATATGGACTAGGGAGAACTGTATAAATAGGTTGGGTTATAGAATCTCAACTACTTCTCTGCGTCACTTCATCACTGGGTCGATGTGGTTAATGATGATGACTCGCTATTATAATCTACACAAGTGATCCATGAGCCTCGTGGCTAAATTACAATATATCTGGAAATTCATTGAAAATTTTATTAAGATATTTATGAGCATTTCAATGGTGGCAATACAAGTGCGTTATTGAGTATTAACGGCAATATAAAGGCGCTGCGGGGGGCTCCACAGGCCAGGCACTATAGATTATTGAACATCCCCCGCCCCATCCGAACATCCTAATTGTGTCCTCGAATAACCGCGAGCGATCCTACTGGACACATCTATCTAGCTCTACAACTCTAGAAATGTCTCATCCAAACACCGCCAACGCCCAACAGCCCACCCGACTTATCAGCCACTTTCTCAAACGGTAAACCAAACTTCGACCAGGCCACGTCCACACAATTCAAAGATCCTCGCTAATAATCCACCCCAGACCCGTACAAGATTACGGACCCGGCTGGTCCGCCCTCTGGGACTCCAATAACAGCGACCTATGGGACCGAGGCAAACCCTCACCCGCATTGATTGATCTCATCGAGCAGCAGCCGCTAGCGTTTTCTCCATTTACGGCAGATGGAAGGCGCAAGAAGGCCCTTGTACCGGTATGTTCTCCCCAACGTCCCATGCATTCCGTTCCGCCTATTCGAGAACGATGCTCCAGCATGATGATAGTGGTGATCTCACCGATAGGATAGGGCTGCGGAAGAGGCTACGACGTGATCATGCTCGCCCTGCACGGCTTCGACGCGTACGGCCTCGAAATATCTGCAACGGCCGTCGCGGAGGCGAGAAAGTATGCCGCTGTCGAGATGAGCTGCCCTCAGGAATACAACTTCGGCCACGCACAATCTCAAACACGAGACGTGGGGAGTGCTATTTTTGCCGTAGGCGACTTTTTCGAGTCTGAGTGGGAGGGTCAGGGGATCTTGGACGCTAGGGTTAAGTATGACCTTGTCTACGATTATACGGTGTGTGATTTTTATTTCTTTTCTTTCCAGACGGACCTTCGTCGTTTTATTTCCATTTTATTCCCGTTTGGGACCCCGCACCCCCACTCTGCCTTGGTTGAAGGATGCACTACACATAAACCCTACAAACCCCGTTGACTTTGTAGTTCGCCCACCTTGGCTGATGGATGCACAGTTTCTTTGCGCCCTTCACCCGCAAATGCGGGCGCAATGGGCGGCCCGTATGGCACAGCTAGTCCTACCGCAAGGCGTCCTTGTATGCCACGAGTTCCCTATGTACAAGGATCCGTTGCAGGACGGGCCCCCGTGGGGTGTGAACGGTGTGCACTGGGACCTGCTCGCGCGCGGGGGAGACGGAATGGCGGGGATCTCGCAACCGCCTGAGGCAACCACGGACGGACTGTGTGGGGCTTTCCAGCGGGTGCAATATTTCATGCCGAAGCGGTCGTATGAGAGTGGGAAGGGAACGGACATGATGAGCGTGTATGAGCGGAAGTAAACTCTAGAACATATACCGTTCTATGCTGTTGGTGATCTTATCGGATCAAAGCATCCAGCGATCAATATGAGACTTGTCCTTGCTCAGTATCCATATTACGTGAGACATGAGGAATCTCGGTGTCATCCCCGAAAACTTCCTCCGTCGGCTTTATTCAGGAATGGTAAAATGATAGCTAGAATCGGATCGGAGCTATCTGCATCTTGCTCCTTGTGAAAAACCCGATATCTCCGTGGTCAATTGTACAATTGTACAATACCTCCGACGAATTGCCCCCTGACTAGAAATGGTTAAGCTTATGCTTAGAATTGCTGACTCGGCCGACATATCCACACTTCCCTTGTTTACTATTGGATCCCAGTGGTGGAAGAAGGTCGAAAAGTGTTAGAAGAAATGAACATGTACCCACCCCATCCTTTATTGCGGCGGCTTACACAAAAACTCAAGTGGATTGAAAATGATTAATCATGCTCATCAATCAGTGTCAAAAAAGAATGAGGGGCATTGATAATCAATCTGGAAGAAGTCCCACCAAACAACGACCTACCTAACAGAACATAAATAGTATCCAGCCCACCCACCACAAATTCAAAACAACCTCGGATTTTAATTCCTTGCAAAAAAATATATAAACAAAAGTTAAACCAAATCAGCTAAAATGGGTTCCATCGCTCCTCAGTTCAACAACCCCGCCACCACCACGCTCTTTGAGCTGGTCAAGGCCCGTCGCACTTACTACGGCCTCAAGGCCGAGTCCCCCATCGCCGACGACGCCATTGAGGCCATCGTCCGTGACTCCGTCCTCCATGTTCCCTCCTCCTTCAACACTCAGACCTCGCGCGTGGTCCTCCTTCTCAAGGAGGAGCACCAGAAAGTCTGGGACATTGCCATCCAGGCCATGGAGGGGCTCGTCGCCGCCGGTCACGTGCCCAAGGATATGTTCGAGAACCACACCAAGCCGAAGCTGAATGCCTTCCGCGCTGCCTATGGCACTGTATGTCTCCCTATCCAGTCACGGAGTGACTGGCGGCCCCTCTTCTCCCATTGGGGACACCCTCGCTGACGAGAGAGCAGGTCCTCTTCTTCGTCGACTACGACACCCTGGCCGGAATTAAGGAGAAGTTCGCCATCTATGCGGACAAGTTCGACCCCTTTGCGCTGGAGTCGAACGCCATGTCGCAGTACCTGGGTATGTTCTTTCTCCTCCCACCTAGCTTACCCCCATTCCAGAGATTTCAATACTAACAATTGAACAGTCTGGACCGCCCTGGAGAGCGAAGGCCTCGGCGCCAACCTGCAGCACTACAGCCCCCTCATTGACGAGGGCATCCAGAAGCAGTGGAACCTCCCTGCTTCGTGGAAGCTGGATGCTCAGCTGGTGTTTGGTGCGCCCGCTGGTGAGCCCGGTGAGAAGGAGTTTGCGCCCATCGAGGACCGCTTCAAGGTGTTTGGGAAATAAGCTGCGGTTTAATTTTTGATATCCGCTTTCTTATTGGTTTTTAGCGTATATACAATAGATATGTCTTTATTGTGCTTTGCAAGCTCGCTTATGCTTTATGACTCTCTGGCCGTGCCTGTCCGGCTGTTGACTCGGACATGCAGTGTATGACATTGACCGATGGATTGTAGCTATTCGTATTCTGTAGAGTCGCTACTTGATGTATTGCCATATCAAGGACGGTTGTGATCAATGATTCATGGAGGGCCGGGCTATCTATTCAAGTCCTTCCTGTGTTCTGTAGACTGAAGGCAGCATCACCTGTTTAAGTACACTCTCTGGGATACTAAGTAAAATCCAAGATGCTATGGCGCCGATACTTTCTCAGTGCATTGGACTGGGGAAGAAGACTCATTGAATGCGATATAACCCTAATCTGCTCAGAATGTGTCGAATTCGCGTCACATCACGCTCACGTCCACAATCACCAGTTGCTCGCTCATAAACACAACTCGCAAACGCGACAGCAATAAAAACTTCAACTCTCAGACATCCCCTGGTTCAAAAGCTTCGAGAATAGTACACCCATAACATTCACAATGGCTCGGAGCACGTTCTTCGTCAAGTTCCTGTCACTTCTGGCCTTTGCCATTCCCGTGTTCTCGCAGATCGGATAGTAAGGGCCTGCTCCATGAGCCAACAGAACAGCTAGAGCTAACAATTCTTCCCAGTAATGAGAACAGTAACACCCTTCTGTGCTCTAAGCCTGGTGGGGTCTACTGCGTTCATAGATCGCTAGCCGGATCAACAACCATATCCTGTGTGGGACCCACGACCGCGGAGATCCGATCTTGCAGTATTGAGTATGTGGCATTCTTCCGCGCGGTGTCCAATAAGATTTCTTGGGTCTAATGAGGTGTATAGACTGTCTGATATACTTCCGAAGGAACTTGCTGAATTGGCTGTTTGTAAGTATCCTTTGCTCCTAATTATGGCGAAGCCTATATCATCATAGACCCACTACACTGTCCTCGACAAGCTCAAGCAAACCCATATTAACCACGAAGCACCAATATCAAGGCTACGAATCCGACCCCACTGCCGGCGACGCCGTCTGTGCAGTCAACGGAACAGGCTTTACTCTCTCCCACCGCACGACCATAGCCGTACCAGAGACAATCCTCTGCGACTCTCCATCCCCCGAGAAATACAGCAGTCCTTACCAAGGAATCCTTCACCAGGAAATAAACAGTAAACCCCCAGCACAGCCTCGATTCACGCCCATCCCGCTTCCGCCGCCCGTGACGCTCGGCGACGTTCCTGCTCGAGAGACCGTGCATGCAGAGCCAGTGGTTCCTTGTTCGGATCCCTGGTATCAAATTCTTGGCCGGGCGCGTGTGTCCCACGGCTTGTTGCCGGTTTATCTTGCGTCGAGTGTGACGGCGCCCGTCTCTGCTGCGTCGACTGGTTTTCTTGGCTACAATAATGCGCAGGCTAGTTCTGGAAGTTCGCGTCTTGGGGCTTCTGCTAGTGCTGCCGATGAAGTGCAGGGTGACATCCAGGGATTGGTGTCGAGTGAAGGATTGGGTGATTCTGGGAAGGCTAGGAGTACTGGATCTTCTCTATTTTCTGGTGGGGGTTTGCATAGAGAGGAGCCTAAGTGTTGGTTTACTCTGTTGGCAATGACTATTTTAGTGGGTTGTGCTGGGATTTTCTGGTGAGGTGCTGCATGGATGGGTGTAGGTTCTTCCTGGGTGGGCAGCTATGTGTACAGGGTAAATAGAATGTCTTCCGTCGGTAGTAGAGAGCATTGCAATGGTCGGGAAAAAGTACTATTTCTGCATGGTGTGAAAATGGATGTTAGCTAGGACTGGACTTGTGACTCTGCAACGTCGTATGAACTTTTTCTTATAATCCCTCTGTCTAGATAAAGCAACTCTCAAAACCCCAATCCATCCTGTTATCTCTGTTCCGGTGGTCAACCCCAGTCATCTTGACCTTCGGACGCTGCAGCATCGGCATCCTTTTCCCCCCCGGTCTCCGTCCCAACCTTGAACTCATTACATACTTCCCTCCAAATCAGGCCAAGTTCAATCCTTCTCAAGAACGTCCCCCACACCAACTCAACTCCTTCCCAATGAGTTACCACTACGATGAACAGGACTCATACATCATTGATCTACCGCTTTTCGCCACCCGGCGCTCTCCCAGCACTCGACGGCGCAAGACTCGCTCGCAACAGTGTGCTCGTGGCAATTCCACATATTGTCAAGGATTCGAATCCTCTTTTTGTTCCTGCAGAATCCTACACCCACTTTCTGGGCGCTTCGTCTAGCGCGCGAGTGCCAAGACGAGCTCCCCCTTTGTCTTTGGGGTCCATGTCTACTCTCCTTACCCACCTCACGAGCGAAGTGGGTGGATGACGTGACAGGTACTCAATACAATTCTCGGTGGGAACAAAATCCTACAATATACTAGGGCGAGGAAGATCCTTCAAGAGGGGATGCAACGCTGTAGCCAAGACCGTAGGGGCGCACACAAGGCATTGGATAAGCTAGTGGCTATCTGAGGATCACGCAGGATCTGAAAAGCACACCAAGTGCCTAGGTAGCTGCTCTGGCCGGAACTTATTCTACATTTTGTAGAAACTGAAGGGCCCGCGGAGACGGCGTCGTGGACAATCGCCTGTTCCTTTTACCGCTTTGGACAGTAGGCCGTGGATCGAATGGGGCGGAAGGATTCTTTGCCACGACCCACGGGCGTACACGGCTGTGTCAGTATGTCTCGTAAGGGGGATCAGCGTGCCATCTTGGAAACTCGGCGTGGGTTCAATACGTGGGGTAGACCTACGAAGACTGAAAGGTGTGTCTAGGTTGTTCGATCATTGGTGGTAGGATTTATCGCAACGGCCAGACTGAAACATGCTGTGATCTATGGAGTTATGGTATTGCATAAATGATACGGCACACTTTCAGTCCAACTCGTGGCCCTTATATGCCCAGCTTGGCTTGAGAGCATGTTTTGGAGGTCAAGCGGATTCCACGAAAAGGCTCTGTCAATAACACATCATGGCTGATAACACCCGATTCGCCCAACAGATACTTGCTTCTCACTCTCTATAATTGAATTGCAGGCCACCGCAGCATAACACTTTGGCAGATTGTCGAAGCTGTGACCCATGCCAAGTAACATACCTTCCTGAATACAAGGCACGTATCAGTTAGGTGGAGCAGACCATCGAATCCTTCCACTGATATCTGGGGTCCGAATTTCAGCACCACAATCCTGCCAGCTACGGGAGGTATAACAGAGGTCTGATTTCCTGTTCAGTGGTTGACGGGAACGATGGATTTCTACGGCGTCCAGGGAGTGTAAAAGAACTCTCTCAACCACCCAGACACGCCTCCAAGCGCGAAACCAGCCCACCGAGTCGAAGGAGCGTCTCAAACACCACCTCACAACAGCCACCATGCACCTCCCACAGAACCTGCTCCCAGCGTGCATAGCAAGCCTCCTCCTGCTCGCCCGCCCAACACAAGCCGGCGTAGCTTTCAAAAACCTAGGCACCAACACAGGCTGGGATGGCACAAATGAAGAAAACAAAGGCACAGTCGAAGTCGACACCAAAATCTTCTACAGCGAGCCAAGCTCTCTCAAAATGACACAAGTCTTCGACGCAGACTACGACGGGCGATACCATTCAGAGGTATACAAGGAAAATGTCTACAAGCTGGGCGACTCGGGCGCATACGGCTTCCGCTTCCGACTAGACGAGTCGTGGGAATTCGCCGACGGCCAGTCTTACAACCTGGCGCAGTTCATCGCGAACTTCAAAGGCTCGGGCTGCGACGACTACGTGCCGACGACGATGGTCGGGCTGAAGGGGAGCAGGCTTTACACGCGTCTTAAGACGGGGGGTGCCTGTGATGCGGACCTCAAGGGCTTTGATGACTTGCCGGAGGTTACTGCTGGCGAGTGGCACCAGGTGATTCTGCAGGCGGACTGGCGCAATGATGATACTGGGTCCTATGTGGTGTGGTATGATGGCAGGAAGGTGGTGGATGAGCAGAATCTCGCTACGACTGTTGATGAGGATGAGGCGTTGCAGTTCCGGGTCGGCCTGTATGCGAATGGGTGGCATGACGATGATGGGATGAAGGGGTCGCAGGGTACGAGGACCGTTTGGTATGATGATATTGCTGTGGGTTCGACCCTTCAGGATGTGAATACGGGTGGTTCTGGCGGTTCGAATGGTTCTGGTAGTTCGAATGGTTCCGGTGGTTCGAATGGTTCTAGTGGTTCGAATGGCTCAGGAGGTTCAAATGGCCGCAAGGGTACTTGTACTCGCCGTCGTAAGCAGCGGAGGTCGAACAAGGCGAAACGTCCCAGGAACCGCCGTTCTTCGGGATAGTTTGATTGATGTGTTGGTTATTTTGAGAATGGGTTGACGCTGTTTGTGATTATGTTCTTATGTTGATGTTGATTATGTTGGAATGATTGAAGTATGATTGAAATATGAGCATAATGGTTGGAGTGGCTTGATTGACTGTGCTTGAATGTAGTTATGGCCACTATTCCATTCCATTATATATCGAGAACACACAACTTCTCATAATACCAATTCTTCTTCTCCCACACCTTCTAGGTATAACACGAGAGTATTAACCAATGAATGAAGTAAAGCTAGTGACTCCATTGTGATTAGAGTAGCTTCATGTAGAAATCTCGAACAGACTATTGTTGTTAGTGTGGCGTGGACATGTCACTAGTAGAAAAGGAGTGATGCTAAGCATCCCTGCTGTTTCAAAAAGTCCTGGCTATTCAACACTCGCACACTCGGGATCGATATCACAACAAGAGCCCCCGTGGCGCAATCGGTAGCGCGCAAGACTTCTAATCTTGAGGCTCGGGGTTCGAGCCCCCGCGGGGGCTTTCATTTTTTCTCCATTCTTTTTTACTTTCTCCACTTCTTATCAATCAACTCCAACTTCCCTTTATCTGTTATGTCTGGGATCCTTCTACTGATTAGACATGTTTATTCACTCGTACTTATTCCCGTTTTGCTGTATCAAACTCTTATTTCTAGAAACAAACCCCGACTACGGATAACATCTCCACCCGACGAGCGCCATGCTCAGTTACTTCTGCTATGATCATTCCAGGTCAATGCTTTATTCTTTTTTTATCAGGACACTACGCCCTAATGACTCCGACTAGTGCACCATGACAATCAGCATGGATTTCATTGGGGACTAGGCACTATCCTGCCCCACGATGATTTGATCACAGCCTATCAGGTATGACGCTCAACACCAATGATTCAGCCATCTGCGTCTCGGACTAGGAAGTTGAACCCCTCAAGGATCGCCTTCGATCCGCGATCTACATCTCGTACGATTTCGGCTTCCCTACTCTCCGGTGCCTCATCCCCATCCTTTCTGCGCCTCAATTTCATCACCCCGCACCACCTCGGCTATTCCACTTTGTCGTACCTATTGGTAATCGACTCGCTCATAGTGTTTGCACCGAGACCCCTACCCTTATCCTCCAGAAGAAAGATGAAGTGGGTGGGTAACAAGACCACCCCGCTCCCCGCCTTCCTCGGTCCGCCGAACCGCGACGATCATTGCACATGACAGTCCAAATCCACCTCAACACCTCTTGTTTGATATCGAATTGTGTGCTTACCTGCTAGATTGCTATCACCCAGTGGGATGATGGGGCTGACACCGGATCCGACAGCCAGCAGGGCCGTCGTATCTCGGATGTCCGGTTGATGGGCCAAAGGGGCGTGTGCGAGGGCAGTCCGGTGGACCGGTATAAAAGCACTCAAAAGGGATGATGATGGTGATACAATATTGCTTCGAAGGGAGAGCTGAGCTATAGATCCGATACCACAGCACTCTTTCCAAGCCAAAATGGACAAGCAGGTTGCGAACGCCATCTCGTCACTCAAGGGTCTGCCCATCCGGGCTGTCTTCACAGCCATATGGGAGAACCCCACGCGAAGACTCACCGCAGTTGGGGCCTTGCTGGCGACCTATCTGACGATGGTGAAGGCACTGCGCTTTCAGCGGGTGCGCAGCCTCAAAAAGAAGTATAAACGGTACTCGACCCGGGAGTCGATGGCTTACATGACGGACCACGACGCTTGGGAGATCCAGAAACGCATCCTGCAGCTGGAGTTTCCTTTCAGTGCACTGAAAGCGCTACAGTTTGCATTGTTCCGGGTATGATATTTCCCGTCTATCATTCAACTACCTTCGACCGTACCGCACCTCTCCTGTACTATACTGACAGGAAGAAATGATGGAAACTGAAGACCTACGGAATCCCTACCATCTCCTCCCTTCTCCTCAAAACCTCCCAATTCTCCAACCCCGCAACATCCTTTAAGCGCTACGCCGACACGGGCGCCCTGATCGGCCAGTTCATGGCCTTCGAGCCGTCCTCCGATCGCGCCCGCACCTCCATCGCCCGCACCAAGTTTCTGCACACTGGCTACCGCGCCAGTGGTAAGATCCTGGAGGATGACATGCTGTACACGCTGAGTCTGTTTGCCATTGAACCCGTGCGTTTCGTGGAGATGTTCGAGTGGCGGGCCATGACCGAGCTGGAGCGCTGCGCGATCGGGACGTACTGGAAGAGTCTGGGGGATGCGTTGGGAATTAGTTTCGAAAAGCTGCCGTCCGGAAAGACGGGGTTCCGGGATGGGTTGCAGTTCATGGAAGAGATCACCGAGTGGAGTCATGCTTATGAGGAGAGGTGTATGAAGCCTGATGAGACAAATCGGGCGGTCGCTGACAAGACGATGGATGTACTTGTGTATGGAATGCCAAAGTTTGTGCAACCTATGGGGGTCAAATTTGCTTCTTGCATGATGGATGAAAGATTGCAAAAGGCTATGCTGTGAGTTTCTCTGTCTCTCGTTCTCACTCTTCTTCTATTCCTGTTCCTATTAATCGCCTCTCGGTCGATGGTACTGGTGGGGCTGTTGTCTAGATACGGTGATGTCTAACAAGAATGGCAGGTACGACCCACCACCACGAACATACCAGTTCATCTTCTCATCTATCCTGGCCATCCGCAAATTCTACCTCCGGCATCTGTCCCTCCCGAGACCTTACTTTCTCCGCCAGGATGTCTTCAGCGACAAGGCGAATGAACACGGCCGACACCACGTGCACATATGGGAAGGCCCGCCCTACTATGTCAAGCCAACATTGTGGAATCGTTGGGGCCCTGGCGCGTGGATCAGTCGAGCGCTAGGTGTACCGGTTCCCGGGGACGAAGGCGACAGATACTATCCCCAAGGTTACGACACCGTAGACCTTGGGCCGAAGTACTTTCAGGGCAAGGGGCGGAAGACGACACAGGAAATCAAGGAAACGCTTGAGAAAACCCGGATGGGGCAGTGTCCGTTTGCAGTATAGCCACACAAATGCGCGATGTATGTGCGAGCAAGATTCTCGAATTATGAATGAGTTTTCATCGTTTCGCAGTTCGTGATGCCAATGGTATAAATATTTAGTGGCCTATATCTGCATCGACAATACAGCCTTTACTCGATAACCATTTCGCCACTCAAGCACAATCTAAAACCATCCCAAACCACAATATCCATCGTTTATAGCTATGAAAGTGACCTTGGACCAAAAGTCGTTGCGTCAAGGTGGGGCCCGCGCAAGCCCATTCGATGTTGCATTCCGCCGTGATTCGGCACCACCGTTGATAATTGGCATCTGAAAACGTCATCCCACCCAAACTCAACCCCCCAGGAAGTTTGAAGGGAACTGTAACCTCCGGGGTCTTCCTGGAGGGATGAGAATGGCCCTGGCGGAAACACGTACGAAGCATTTACCATCCATCATGGACCTATTCCGACAACCATAGACATTTACCAGCAACAGCGAGAGCCGTACTATATGAGAGAAACACTCCGCCCTCCGGGCGTGGGTTCGCCCTCGCCCACGCCCATACCGGAAAGGCGCCGGACCAATGACCTGGACGCCTGGATTCTCGGCAGTGGCATTCCCTCCCTGACCACCGCAGTGCACCTTATCCAGGAGGCCCATGTGCCTCCAGAACGAGTGCACATCATTGAGACAGTGGGGGTCGTGGGCGAAGGCACCATTATCGTCGAAACCCCAGATGGAGGGTACGACTTGCGAGCGGGCGCCATGCCGCTCTTCAACGACGTGTGTATAGAACGCTTGCTGTCGTTGGTGCCGTCGCCGACGGATCCGCTCAGGACCGTGCTCGACACCATCCACGACTTCAACGAGGCCAAGCCGCTGCCCAAACGTACGAATACACGACTACTAACGCGCCAATCGTCCGGAATCGCGCGTGTTGATCCGAGACGAGTGGGACTGGGCTTGCGCGATCGCGTGGATCTGTTCGTGTTGGCATCGAAGACGGAAAAGAACCTGGGGCGATCGCGCATTCACGACTACTTTCATGGGAGCTTTTTTCACAGTAACTACTGGCTTACACTTGCCACGACGTAAGTGGGCTGCAGTCCAGCCGGATGTGAGTCTTGGTTATCGATATATACTGATCGGTTTGGTGGTGACTAGATTCGGCTTCGAGCCCTGGCATAGCGCTACCGAGTTTCGCCGGTGCCTGCGACGGTTCATGCCCGACGTGCACGAGCTTAACGATCGACAGCCGCTTGACCATCTTCCCTACAACCGACATCATGCGGTCATCCAGCCGATCGGCCAGTTCCTAAAGTCGCGGGGTGTCGACTTCCGCTTCGGCACAATCATCAATGACATCATCTTCGACCCGCCCCATATCAACAACAGTCGGGTGGCGGCCATCCGCGCGACCAAGCATGGCGGACCGGAAACAACAATCGAGATCGGCTCCAACGACATCGTGATTGTCACTGTGGGATCCACATTATCGGGCCGGGCGACCGGGGCGAACGACAGCGCGCCATCGCTCGATCGAGTAGAGATGGAAAAGGTCCTGAACGAGAACTGGCTCCTGTGGCTCGAACTATCAACCAAGAATCCCATCTTCGGCAACGCATACAATTTCTGCACGCGGACGGAGGAGTCCCGCCAGGGGTCATTCACCATCACGCTTCGGGGCCCCGGCCGCGACTTCATCACCCGCTTCGTCGAGCTCACGGGCGACCAACCGGGCATGGGACCCTTGGTGACCCTGCGCGACAGCAACTGGCTCCTCAGCATCAATGTGCCCCACCAGCCAGTCATCCCCAATCAGCCCGACGACGTCGCCATCCTCTGGGGATATGCGCTGCACCCGGAGGAGCAGGGCAACGCGGTGAAGAAGCCGATGCTCGACTGCACGGGGCGCGAGATCATGACGGAGATTCTGCACCAGCTGGAGTTCCCGCTCGAGGAAATCCTGGAAAACTCGGTCACGACGCCGTGCGTGGTGCCGCGCATGGTGGCTCCGCTGCTGGCGCGGGGGATTGAAGACCGGCCGTTTATCATCCCCGAGGGCGTGACCAATATGGCGCTGATCGGGCAGTTCGTGGAGATCCCGAACGAGGCGGTCGTTGGGATGGATTATACCGTGCGCGGGGCGCAGATGGCGGTTCATCATTTGATGGGGATCGATGGGAATATGCGGAGGTCGAAGCACACATCTGCCATCAACATGTTAGGGTTGCTATAGTTGATTTATTTCCCCTATTTTCTCTTTTTTAGAGCCTTGACCTTTGTTTCATATACCTTGGCATATCGCACACAGAAGGCTATTGATGTGGATAGTCCTGCAGATTCCTAATATAATTGAATAATTGACCTGCTTCAGCTGTAGTCAAGACATGCAATTTGTTCGAGGCATTAATCAGTACGTACATACAACTCTCCAGAACAACCCTCATTGACAAACGCAAGCATTAATTATGACACTTACTTCCTCGTGACAAACTCACTCTCCTCCTCAAGCCACGTCCCCAAATCCTTCAACCCAGGATGAATAGTCCTCAACTTGGCAAAATCAATCTTGAACCCATGCTCATAGAACCAAATAAACATAGTCCTCAAATCCCCCACCATCCACATAACAAAGTACATAAAAAGCGAATACGTCGTCGGCATCGGCGCCCCCGTCTTCTCCTGGAACACAGCCTGCATGCCCTCATACGTCAACTCATCCCCCGCAAGCGACAGACACTGATTTCTGAACCGCGGATCATGATACTGCAGGAACGCCTTCGCAGCAAACACCCCGATGTCGCTCACCGCGATCGCCTGCAGCGGCCGGCCCTGCAGGTACGCGTCCCACGCCGTCGCGCACACCTTGCCGAAGAAGTTCGGCACCAGGTTGTCGAAGAAGAACACCGTGCGCAGGACGGTCCAGCTCATGTTCACGCCGAGGCTGCTCGTCCGCTCGAACAGGTACTGCTCGATGCGGTGCTTGGTGATGAAGTGCGGGACGTTGGTCGCGTTCTCGGCGGAGGCGGTCTCGCCGCCGCGGTCGATGGAGCTGAAGACGAAGTGCGTCACGTTGTGGGTGATCGAGGCGTCGATGAGGCCTTTGCCTTGGGTGACTTCATTCTCGAGGTTGGCGCCTTCGGCTGCGGAGGGCTGTTTGTGATTTGTTTGTTAGTCGGTTGGTTACTTGGTGATAGCTACATAGCATAGCATGGTATAGCTAGGTCCGTGAGAATAGTCATAGATGCTTGAGGCAAGCAAGCAAGCAAGCACCGGATACGCGCGCAAGAGGGAAAAGGGAAAAGGAAGAAGGCACGGGAAAAAACGGGCGAACTAACCTGCACGCTAAACACCCCCCACACGGCTCCCGTGGAGGAAACCTCCTTCGCGGTCTCGAGCAGCGCATTCGGCTCGTCCAGGTCGCCCTTGACGAGCTTGATCTTGGGCGACTTTGCCGCGAGCTTCTGCGCGGACGCCGAGTCCGGGTTGCGTGTGACGGCGAGGATCTCGACGTCGGTGGTGGAGTCTTCGGCGAGGAGGGCGTTGACGACGCCGCCGCCTTGTTTACCGGTGGCGCCGGTAACGAGGATGGAGATGGTCATGATTGTATGATTTTCTTTGCGTTTGGTCTTTATGTTCCCTTGATAGTGAGAGGACAGTTCGTTTGTTCGTCCTGTTGCTGCTGCTGTTAGGGGGAATTGAACTGGACCCGGAAAAACGGGACCGGGTGGAGTGGATTGGCGGATAGTTTAGATTGGCGGAGGTTTAGTATCTTTTGTCCTGACGTCATCGTTGGATATTGGAGGTAATTGGAGATATCTTGGGAGATAAGTATTGGAGGTCTAGAGACATTCTGGGACCGAGATCTTTGTGATTAGCCCTCTGTATTTATTGTGGGCCTGTTTTGACGCATGAATCACGTCTAACGGCGCCCCACTCGGGATATAAACGTGTATCCTGTAACCCCGTTAGTTAATGAGACAACCCGCATTTTAGGTTCCAGCAGGCACTCTTATATACTTATATCTTAGTCTAGTGAGGGATATGCCATGTGGATGTGATAGATCAGCTGCATGAGCTTGAGGACCCATCGTTCGATCAGATTAAAAATGGAGAAACAACAGGCAACTACCGACAACTTTAAACGCAGAAATTGACACAGGCAGTAAATACTACATAGATATGTCATCTCAATAGATACTATAGAGTCGATCACAGCTTCCCCACCCCCGCATTGGCAACCACCTTCTTCGGCACCTCAGCCACCCCGTAATGCTCCACCAACGACTCCTTAAACTCGCCCGCGCGATCCAGCACATCCTGATCCGTCTTCGCCGTCCACTCCCCAGACCCCTCATCCACGCGATTCCACTCACACACATACCCAACCGCGGCCTCGCACGCCCCCGCAGCCGTCTCATCCGGCACATTAAACAGCAGCGCGCCGCTCGCCAACGACGTCTCCGTCAGCGGCGTGTCCACCTTCTCAAAGTAGTTCCCCTCCAGCAGCGACCACGTGTTGGTGTCGATGTCAAACGCATGGCCCCCGATGTTCTGGAAGTAGTTGTTCACGGCGTGGAAGAAGATGCCGGACTTGGTCTTGTCCGTGCCCATGTGCGGCGCCCGCCCCGACACGTCGTGCAGCCAGTTCCCCGAGAACGTGTACTGGTCGTCTTCGCCGATTAGCAGCGCCGTCCAGTAGTGCTTCCCGTTGCAGCCGCTCGACCACTCCGTGACGCCGTCGAACTCGTTGTTCGAGATGGTCACGTGCCCGGCCTTGCCCCAGCCGCTGACGATGAATTGGCGGCCGATGAGGGAGATCTTCATATATCAGCAGCCTGTGTGGAGCAAAGAAAGAAAGAAAAAAAAAAGGGCATACCTTGTTGTGATCAACCCAGACCTGATCCGTGTCGTCAAGCGTGATGGCGTCTCCACCCCAGACATACTGGGGGTTCAGATCCTAGCATAATCTCAGCTTTCTTTCCCAACGGAAGATAAGATAATTTGAAAGACGCACCGTGATATGAATATTCTGAATAATGACGTTCGTGTTCCCCTTCGTAACACGCAGTCCCTTCCCCTTGAGGACACCCTCGCTGCCCACGCCCACAATGCTCTTGTTGGACCCGACCTCGAGGGGCGTGCGCGCCGCGTTGTCGTACTTACACTCCACCCAGGTGCCGTCGTCGCAGGAGTCCTGGATCCAGGCTTGTCCGGCGGAGGTGCCGCTCTCGCAGGTCGTCGTGTCGGTGCTGCAGCACTTGCCGTCTGTGGTGCCCTCCGTGCCGGCGAAGTCCCACGTCCGGTCTAGGAGGATGGTGCGCGGGGTGTCGTCTGTGATCCAGGCGGTGAGTCTATCCACCTAGTTAGCTTATCTAGTACACGTAGTGAGAGAAAAGAGAGAGCGGGTCAAAGCCAAAGAGGGATATACTCTTCCAGACTAGCCGGCGCCTGGGGCTGAGCGTCTCCGCCGCCGGTGGTGCCCGTCGCGAACCCGAACGCGGCGCCCTGCACTTGGGCATGGGCAGAGCCGGCCCCGAGAGCGAGGAGTACTGATAGGGCTGTCGCTTTCATACTGGATGATCGTTGAATAATGATCTAATTGCCCAATTGCAATGAAGGTTAACCATAGTCTGATTCAGGATTTGAAGCATCTTTTGTAGATGAGAGAATTGGAACCTGTTAACTATCACATGAATCTGACAAGTCAGTAGAGTACCTCCCGGACAAATTCTCCTGCAAAAATTGTCCGTTCCGAAGCATGGGTCTGACAATCACTATTTGACATGGTGGGTTCCTGGCTCGGAGGTGAATAAATGCACTAATCGGGTAGGGCAATGCTAGGGCTTGTGTGAGGTAGATTAGTAGATTAGCTTTATTCAATACACATCCCTGTACTCTAGAGAGTTGCTGCTGGGATATAAGTATTCAGGCCCGGAGATATACCGATTCGAGATTTTGGGACAGTAGGTATCAGTTGATATACGGGGTAGAAAGTATTAACTGTCGGTCATTGCCCCAATTAATGCATTAGTATTTGATTGGCTTGATATGAATGGTATTTCCATATCTACTATGGTATTACGGTGGAGATATCACAATTACTTTACCGGCAGGGATCTCAACATCAACAAGAAGAGATTCGTAACAGCTCAAGATATCGAAACAAATGAAGAACAAAATAAACCTACTCCAAACCTCCGCCCAATGGAGCATCAATCCAATGCAAGATGTTAATATCACCAAGAGTATGGCCTCCAGCCCACCAACTATTCCTTTAGTATAAAAACAACGCCAAACCCACTTCCACCATTCCAGCCAAATTCAATATTCACCAGAGAGCAGTTCTGTCTTCGGATCCCCCACGTAATTGTAAATCATCACCCCCCCTCACCACGAAACCAAAAAGGATGATATCTGTCAGCGAACCCAGCAACGCCATCCGCCACCAACTCCCACTCTGCAGAAACAGGATCAACCCCCCGACCCATATAATTCTGCTCTAGCTCGTAGGGCTCGGATAGCACGCAAGCGATACTGTTGGCGCCGGCTGTCATAGTCGTAGGGGACCGACAGGCTATCAGAGTTGAAGTAAGGGCTTTCTGTCAGGCCAAAAAAATAGCGAGGGAGGTCATCATCGGAGGCATAGCCGGGGAGCTCGTCGGCATTGGTGCCATTGTCGCTGGGTAGGAGCTGGTGCGGCTGCGAGCGTTGCATAGGCTGGTTGAGTGTGTTGGATGGGGGTAAATAGGTGGATTGCTCTCCGATGCGGTCGTTGTTGGGGTTTGGGAGATCCTCATATTCGTCGTTTGGGTCGGTGGACGTGGCTATGACTAGGGATATAGATGTAGTCGCAGCTGAGGGAGTTGGCTCCTCGAGCGGGGATGATCTGCCTGTGATAGATGAGTATGGGAATGGGCGGTCCTTCAGGCTAGGGTTAGCTGGGTTGGGTCTCTTGTAAGGGTGTGGAGTGCGTACTCGATATGGGAGCTGGAAGTGCATTTTGCTGGTTTGTGTTGGGTGGTTCCTTTGTCCTGGCCTTTGTTTCTTTTGTATATGTAGGAAACTCGATGAATAGGAATTGAAAGAATGGGGTTGAAATTTGATCTATGTTGGATGAATAATAATCACGACACTTTAATCCTCCGTAGGGAACCTTATATTCAGTGTGACGATTGATACTCTCATCATGACATCCACCTCTGTAATCCCGCATGGCACTTTCTTAAACTTAACGCCGATGCGCGGAAAGAGCAACGTATACACAGTTAACCAATAAAATCCAAACAAAAAGGGTATATCCAAAATGCTACGCGCCTTCCAAAAAACAGTATACAAAACCCCCTAAATCCACTCCCCAAGATACACATCCAGAAAGAACTCCCTCCTCTCCTCCCCCAGAAGCCACACCATCCAGACACCATCATCCAAATTGTCTTCAACCTCAGGCAACCGATCTTCAATCAGAGCATCCCGCAGGTCAGACGCGTGCGCATCCATGTCAACAATGGGTATGGGCATATCTTCAATGGGACTGTTATATCCAGGAAGGCTGTCGTCGTCGTCATAATCGTCGTTGCCGAAGATGTACTCTGCAACTTCAATCTCAGTTTCTTTAACCAAAACGCCTTCTTCTTCGTGTAATGGTTGCTGGGCATGTTGTGCTTCGATCCAGTCGTAGTGGTCGTCGTCGTCGTCTGGGTCGGTGGTTCTGTCTGGGCCTGAAGGGGATGCTTCAAGTGGTGATTCCGAGAGTGGTACGTCGAAGAATGTGTTGGAGGATGGGTCCTTCAGGCTAGGTTAGTTAGGTATTGTGAAGGGGGGAAGGGTGATGTACTTCGGCTGGAGAGCGGACGTTACTAGGGCTGGGGTTTGGGGACTGCATTTTGTTGATCTGTGCTGGGTTTCTGGGCTGGTGTGTAGAGTATGATAATTTAATATCTGATGGATGGCCGGTATGCCTGTTAATACATATAGTGTGTCTGTTGTTTGCTTTCCATCAAAGAATAGTGGTACCTAGTTATGGTGGGAAATGATAAAGGCAACGAAGTAGAAAAGAACACTAGTAGTGAAATCAAATCTTCTACTATAGAAAGTGCTAGAGAAACAGAGAAAAGCAACAGCCCTAAATACATCATAATGTTTAACACTTCTTTACGCCAGACAAATCCCGAGCAAATCAAAGCATATATCGATTCCAAAACACCGGTCCGTCTATGTAATTCCGCACGCCAACCAGAAAACTTCAACCCTAACTCCAGCAAAAGTAAACCAGTAGCACACTCCCTAAAAAAATAGTAACGAAAACGCTATTTAGTTACCCCAGTACCCCCCAAGGGCGTGTACAAACCCTGCATCCCACTCCCGAAGAGACCAGCCCCCCCCCAGATGTGGTCCAACACCTTCCTGCCCCCCACCCTCTTCTTCGGCGTCTTTACAGAGCCATTAGTAACCCGGCGCAATCTCTCGGACTGGAACCCCGTTCCGACAGACAGCGACTTGACATCGTCGTCGTACTCGCTCGGATCGAGAATGTGGGAGATGCGCGTGCGGCGCGGAGTGGGCGACTGCAGGAAGGTGCGCGGGACTGGCTCGTTCTTGGAAGGGGTATTGCAGAACGGGTACCAGGGTTCCTTGACGCGGGGGTCGTCGGAAACGATGTCGAGAACGGGGTCCGCGGCGGACCTGAATGTGGGTTTGGGACTCGCGAGTGTTGACTTGAAGGGGATGAAGGCGGGGCCGAAGAATGATTTCTTCTCGCCGGTTTTGGCTTTTTCTTCTTGCGGCTTCTCTTCGGGGTGTTCTTCTCCTTCTTCTTCTGAGTCCGTTACCTCTCCCAGGTCGGGGTAAGTATCGTCGGAATCAGAGTCGTAGAACCCACTGCCCTCTCTAGGCTGGGAGATCTCGAGCCAGATATCAGAGACGTCGTCGTCGGCGGAGACGGGGATAGGAACGGGGGCGGCGGGGCTATTCTGCTCCGCACGGGGTTCATATTTCGGCACCTCGAAGAATGTAAAGGCACTGGGAGGAGAACGGGGTCGGTTGTCCGACCCGGGCAGCTCACCGGGTGAAGCTTTGGCTTCCGGCTGGCGAGATTCCGGAGCAGGCGGGAGGTAGACAGTCCGACCCTCCTGCTCGACGGTCATCTTGAAATCCGCCGTGATGGTGATAAAGGAGTCGCCGAGCCTTTCCAGCTGGGTAAAGGCTGGAGATGACGAGCAGGTGTCACTGGTCTCGCTGGATCGGCGCATCGACTTGAACTGTTTCTCGCGTATGCGCTCGAGATATGCGGGCCGGCACTGGTTGCACATGTAGGGTTGATCCTGGGGAAGCAGGTCGTGGCGCTCGATATTGAGGCAGTTGGTGACTTGTGTGGGACCTTGGCGCAGCTGTTCGACCAGATTCCAGCAGCTGTCCACGGTGAAGGTGGCGATGTGGCCGCACTGGACGTAGTGGTGGTAGGTGTACTTACACATTTTGGTGGGTTTGTAGGTTTGTTTGAGTTTGGGAGTAGAGTTCTTGTGAGGATAGACAGAGAGAGAGGGGCAAAAGATGTGTATTTATATGCTGTCGGGGAGATCGCATCTGTAAATGAGCAGGGAGATCAAGAGACGACGACAATGCAATTCTTTATCGAGGGATATCAAAGACATTCCCTTTGATACTTACTAGCCCCGCGCCACTCCAACAAACCCATAAGGCCAATAACAGACAGCATAAAGCCAATCCAAACATAAAGTCAACAAAGAGAGAATAGAGCAAGCAGAAGAAATAAGAGGATAGAACAATCACCCCGACCTCCCTAAGCTCACCAAATACCGCACCCCCGAATCCAACAACCACCACGACGCAATCTCATGCATAAACCGCACAGCCGGAACCTCCAAAGGCATCGCCGCCTTCTCATCCACTCCCGTCCACATAACCGCCTCACTACAGAAGACCACATCGTCCCCTTTCTCCTCCCACCGAATCACAAGCCTCCCCTCAACAGACGGCAGTCGCGGGGATCGAATTCCCATCTCGACCGCGTTCTCGCTCCGTCGCAGCACCGGGTAAACGGCACACACGATGTCGCCCTCGTTGAAGCTCAGTGCCTGGATATGGCTCTGCGCGAATGTCTGGCGCTGTGCGGCGGGGCTAGTCAGCCATAGGATCCAGGCTTGCGGGAAGCGCGCGAACGCGCACATGTTGCGTCGGACCAGAAGGGTGAACTGGTCGGGGAGGGGGGTGCCTGGGAGTTGGCTGCGTGGGATACGCTGCGTTGCGGAGTCGTGCACGATGCGATATGAGGTGGTCAGTGCTGCTGGTGGGATGGTCATTATTGCGGCTGTTGTTGCGGGTGGGAGGCGCGTGCCGCTACTGCGGTGGGTCTCATGGAGTACGCGGGATTTTAGCGATGTGTGGAGGAGGTAGATGCTGGTTGCTGTTGCTGTGAGGAGGACTGCGGTAGAGCTTGCTAGGAGAGAGGGCATTGTGTGATGGTTTAGTGTTTTGTTGGTTGATGGTGTATGGTTGATGGTGTATGGTTGATGGTGGATGGTTGATGGAGTTTAATAAGTTCGCGATACGAGGTAGTCATACCTCTGGGGCCCGTCACTGTAGCCATACCCGATTGGTCTCACCAACCTATTTATATACCGAGTAGAGACGAGCAGACGATTGAATTAATGTATGATTATAGACGGGGACTGAGCAGTCCGATATTAATATTACTAGCCAAGGAGTCTATACCAGACATCCATACAGTAAATCATTTAACGCCAATCCTAGCCCTAACCCCCTAAACCAATGCATATCCCTATCCCAATATCTACCCCTCAAGCTCCTTTCTAGCTGCACTCCGTGCCATCGCTTTTCGGTAGATAAATAGCGAGACGATCCCGACACCAACGATAAAGACAATGCAGAAGACTAGGACCACGCCGGGGTTTTCGCTGGCCCAATTTTTCCGCCGGACGAGTTGGTGCGTGATTTCGCGCGATAGGAGGTCGATGGCGGCCATTTCTATCTTGTCAGATTCTTTTCTTACTCTCTTTTTATATTCTGATGGTGCTTTGCAGACATACCAATGGAGTCAGGGACCAGACTCACTTGCTTTAGAGACTCCCGTCAAAAGATGGACACATTCAATGAGGAGATAGATGAATGAATGGAAGAAAGCATAAAAGGAGATGAACACTATTTCTCCTTACCTGTCGCTGTCAGACCAGAGATCGACAGAAAGAAAGAAGAAGAAGAAGAAGAAGGGGACCGGGACCAACGGAAGACGATGATGAATGACGTGGAGGAACAGACCCTGGTGCAACGTCGGGTTCCTGGGCGAGAGTCGAGGGGAAGGATCCACAGGCTCGTTCTGCTTGGCCTAGGGACTTCTTCTGCCCTGATCAATGATCATTATAAAATGGATCAATTAATCTGGAAAAGTCCCTGTGCCTGCTGTACATGATAGCGATGCTACCCCGGGATGATGAAGCTGATCCGCGCTGATCCAAGGTTCCGGTCCACTTTGATCCACCGTTCCGGTGGCGTCACCACTTTGTGGATGGAGTCATATACTATTCGCGTCATACATCTCGAAATTTGCTTTATATAGTAAATATGTCTTTAGATAGGACTGGTTGATGAGATGTCATCTTAGAGCTGATGGTGGATGGATGGATTGGTTATCGTATATAAGGGCACGAAACTCAAGATAAATTCAAAAAATCAACCAGGAACACCAACAATACAATAAAGTCAGTAAGAAAGAAAGATGGAACAAAACACCCTCGCCCGTCGCGGTCTCGGTCTCCGCGGTCTCGACACAGAAAAACTTTCCCCCGGCTACGTCCTCTACACCCCCCTCACCTCGTCCACCACGCATCTCATATCTAGCGCAACCGGCGAAGAAGTCCACCGCTGGACCCTTCCCTACCGCGCCGGCCGTCACGCCCGTCTCCTTCCAGATGGCAACACCCTCGCCTACAATGGCGCCCACCCCGCCCCGCCAGACCAACCCTCCTTCCCCATGTGGTCCAAGTACCGCGGCGGTGTCATGGCGCACGTCTCCCCCGACGGGACCATCCTACGCGAGTACCGCGACCCGCTCGCCCACCACGACCAGCTTCACTCCGACGACGGCCGCACCATCCTCTACACAACCATGGAGCCTCTAACGCCCGCCGAGGCGGCGCGTGTACGCGGCGGCGTCCCCGGCTCTGAGGCCGACAGCAACAGCACCATCTACGGCGACTGTATCCGGCTCGTTTTGCCGTGGGAGTCATCCAACCGTTCCTCAAGCGACGACTTCAAGCCCGGGGGTGGCGGCACAGGCGGCGCGAAGCTGCTCTGGGAGTGGCGCGCGGCAGACCATCTCGATCCCGCTGAGTACCCTCTCCTACCGCACTACGCGCGCGACCACTGGCCGTTCATCAACGGGCTGGCTGTTGACGGAGACGGCAACATTGTAGCGTCGCTGCGGAGCGCGTCCAAGGTGATTGTGATCAATCGCGACACGGGCGCCGTCGTGTGGAGCGTGGGCCAGCCGGCCGTCAACCAGCAGCATTGTCCTGTTGTCCTACCGTCCTCGGGGAACCTCATGGTGTTTGATAATGGGGTGTTTCGGCCCGGGAAGTCGAAGCCGTTTTCCAAGGGGGTGATCGTGTCGAGGGAGACGAAAGAGGTGATTTGGGAGTGGATGGATGCGAGTACGGGCGGGGTGGGGTTCCTGTCGCCGTTTATGGGCTCCGCGATGCCTGTGAAGGGGAGCTCGAATGTGTTGCTGTGTGAGGGCGCTATGGGGCGCATACTGGAGGTGACGCGGGATGGGCGCGTAGTATGGGAGTTTGTCGTGCCGCAGTTGCGTGATTATCGAGGTTTGATGGAGGAACGTGAGGTGCTGCGGATGGAGAAGATTGGGTCTATGTATAAGTCCAATGGTATCTTTAGGGCCTACAAGTATCGGCCGGAGGAGATTCCTTGGCTAAAGAAATAAATGAAGCAAATTGCGGTACTCAAATGGGGGTATATGTATGTATAAGAACAGAAGTGCTAAAATATTATGTACTCGCCAGCAATCCAACGCCTTCTTCTTTTTGATTTTGTTTTCTTTGTCACGTATCTCGATACACTGGCCGCTTCGCACTTTCCTGTGCATCCATCTCTACCACCTGGTTCGTATTGCTCAATTCCGACTGCACGTCCCCGGCCGCCAGCTCCGCCATCACGACAGGCTGATAGCTCGGGGGCGCCGGCCCTTGCGGATGCTCATTGGGAGAATGCAGCTCCGGTAGGTCTCCCTTCTCAGACGATCCATACGCGCCCGCCGCCGACGCCGCAAAGGTACTCTGGTCGGGGTTCGTGGACGCACCGCCGGGCGAGCTGGGGGGCGGACCGGTGGGCGTCTCCGGAATGGGGACAGCCTTGGCGCCGCGTCCGCGTCGCCAGAGGAAGAAGATGAGGCCGGCAAGGATGCCCACCCCGGCGACGATGCCGACCACGATGCCGGCAATGCCCCCGCTCGATAACCCCGTGCTCGAGTTGTCGGTGTTGTTGTCTTTCGTGCCGTCTTTCGTGTCGTTTTTCGAATCGTTTTTCGAATCGTTTCTGGTCTGATCGTCCGCGGTCGGCGTCGCATCTGGCTGGCTTTGGGTCGTCGGAAAAGGTGTGGCAGATGAGAGGCCGTAGTAGCTCATGGACGACTCCGGCATGTCCCGCACGCTGAAGGCCGCTAGATCCTTGCTGGCGTCCTTTTTCCAGGGCTTGCCGTTGCAGGTCTCACCACCGGGGTTCTCGCATTCGGGGTCGATGAATAATCGCAGACAGAAGAGACCCTCCGGGTCCCAGGAGAATTGCTCCCCTTTTTGGTGATAGATTTCTGTGCAGCCCTTGGGCTTTTCGCCCAGGTTCAGCATGCCGCCGTTGGTGTGGTTCTCCCATTTGAGGGTCCAGGCGTGGGTGAGGGGTAGGGCGCAGAGCGCCGCGGCGATTACAGACGGTAAGCGAGTCATGTCGCTATATTATCCTTGGTTTGGGGGGAAGGTCTCCTTGGAGATGTTGGAGATGGGTCTCAGGCGTGGAGAGTCAGGTGGGAGCCGCACTATAAAAAGAATGTGTCTTCGATGGTCCTTGCTCAAGAGGGATTCTGGCCCCTTTTCATTTTATTTCATGGCTCGCATTTCCTTTCTATTATTATTATACTATTTTGTTTGTCCTCTTTTTCTCATTTGCACCAAGAATGTTCCCTCGTCGTGGGCTGAAATCCGCCAAGGGGAAATCTCGTGTCAACGGGCGAGTCCTTACCGCAACGGTGCTAAACCGACGCACCACCACGAAGCTAGGGGTTGTCCAACCAGTCAGTGTCGAGATGCTCGGCTGGGCACCGAGCAGCCATCCCCTCAAGGACATTGTCAAGCGGGGCCATGATTGGCGTTGAATACGAGGACGGCACGCTTAGCTGCGTCCCGAACCTATGGCTTCACGGGAGGAGATTGGTAAAGGGATCTCCCGGGAGGTCCACCACAGGCTGGTCGAGGGTTGGTCGGGACCGTTGCGATGAGATTGGTCGGACTTGGGGTGGAGCCCCTCGCAGAGCTCATCTGATATACAGGGTCTGATCGTGGACACGGAAAGTCACGAAGAAACATCCTTGTCATGCGAAGAAGGGCGACGTATCGCAGAATCATGCATGTTTCAGGTTAGGGCTGGCTGGACCCAGGAAGTCTGCAGAGCACGAGATCAATGCCTGCTTTAAGCATACTTTGCGATCTCTTTCTGGGGTACTGTGGTCCCCTTTGATAGTATCTACCAAGAATTGAATCATCAACTACAGGATTGATGAGAATGATAGATATATTGACAAGGACGATCATCCTGTCAAATGGAAAGAATAATAATAATTAAATAGAGCAAAACTCTATAATCAGAGGTATAAAACCCTAATTATAGTCAGGAGGCATATTAGAAAAGAGCAATCGTAAATTATAATCACTAAAATCTCGCCCACTTCCCCAGTATCTATATTAGTGGAATAGTACAAAGTACTCCGTAGATTTAGTGTATTTTCGTGACTAGACTGTCGGAACTTTGTAGACCCCTGGCAGAAGAACAAGTAATTGGCTGTCTATCTGTCGTTTTGTTGTAGACACGGGCAGATAATCGGAGATATTACAAGGTCTATTGTCAGGAATGAGACGGAAACTTGTCCATTTGAACTATCTCGCAGTCTTGCTGTTTCTAAATACTGTACATTGGTTTGGTCATTGGAACAAAGTAAAGAGTGGCCCCTAATCAACAACCAGGATAGTTCACCCCCGCTTCTCAGAGACTTTGCGTTCTTGCAGGGCGAAAGGAATATGTAAGAACGTGGAATGAAGAATGTCGCCAAAAAAGGGACGGGGGAGAAAGAAAGACGCAAGAAAGACACATGGCTAAATTTTGAGCTGGAGTATGACAGACTAGCGATTTATTAGTTCCTGTCCAGACATAATCTCCACGGCTCACTCGAGATACAACTTCTGGAGTTCCTTGCTCGTTTCTTGCGCGGGGGACAGATCCTGGCATCCTATCTTACCCAAGTCCTGACTCACCCAGGATGGGAGGATTATAGGCTCAATGATATCTTCTTGCAGGATTATTTTGCAGACCATTCAGTCATAGTTCGCTTAAGCTAGTGAAGATTGTCAAAATTCAATACAGTGTCACGCAAGAGATCGGTTTCTCATTTTGGGCGATCGCGTTCCCAGGTCTGGTACGCCATGTCAAACACTTCGGCGGCTGTATGATTGATTACGCCATGATTCGCGATCAACTCATGTCGTAGCTGCACCCAGGGGTAATTGTTGCTGTAGAGTGGAGTATAAATAATGTCCGCTGTGTGTACCTTAGTACCATCAATGGACATAAAGTCCCAGTGGACCCTTGCCCCTTCGTTCACCATGGCGCGAACAAGGACCAAGCGTCCCAATCTACCACGACCCATATTTTCTTATTATTATCTGGACAGGTCTGTTTAGTATAACGTCCTGGATATATCCCAGCCATCATTGATCAAACTCTGGAAAAGTGAGACATATCTCCTCCCTATCTTGTGAGATTATGATGCGTCTTTATTTTCATCAGCAAAAAATTAAACAGCTGCTGTCACTTAATATGTATGAATAAAATACCCACTGGACTCTATAAGCCATGTAATTTCGGAGGTGTTGCCGGAATTTCTGCACGCCGACAAGTGAACGCACAGCCGCGTCAAGATCGCATTTCCCATTATAGAATCTCGTGACTGCAACTCCCTCTTTGCGTCTCGAGCAGACTGCCACTGCTCAGCGGATCTTCCATGATTTATCGTAGTAAAGAAAGCCCAATACTACCTTCTCCCCATATAAAAGTATATACAGGGCCACCGTCTGCTCCTCCGATGAGTTATTCCCATCAGTTCGTTCAACACGAGGCATCCGTAGAACACATGTTTGGTTTGCCATATTCTCCTCCACAGAATTAATGAACTGTGTCATGTCCCCAAGCTTGTGTTCACAGGCAACACAACACAGTCTTTGAAAGTTGGAGCGCACGCATTCTTGCGCTGCTCGCAGAAGTCTAACATCACAATGCCCCATTCGTACAGCAAGTCTGCATGGACTTCATGGGATTGCTTATCGTGCGAGCTGCACCAGCTCACACAGCCTCACGAGCTGGAACTTGAGTTCGGACGAGGGAACGAAGAACAGACCTTGTTGAAGCTGCACATCTGGTTTTTTGAGTGTCAAAGTCTAGGTAATGCCAGAAAATACCGCACAAGGACCTGGACTTATCAAAGTCAGCGGCCGGAAATAGCAAAATATCTCGATTGCACTGTCGCATTTTCTGCGTCTGCCCTTGTGGTTTCCGTCGCACCAGTAGCAGAAAAGTTTCCCTTGGCTTACCTAGTGATAATGGCTGGAATGTGGATATCAGTCGACCTGTCGACGATGGTCTTCCGAACGGCGTATCCTGGTTCTGCAATCTTGAGCTTTGTTGGATTCCAATATCTCAAACATTTCGTCTAGGACGCGCCCTATTTTATATCGCAGTAGAAGAAGAGAATTATCACTCGGCTACTAAATATACCGGGAAGCTTTTGAGCTTTTTGGGTAGCCCTATATTTGGTGCGACACCATTTGTTTAGCCTTGCACCCCCACACACGATCACATAGTACCCGGCAGTACTCACCTCGAGAGAAGCACCACTTGTTGCATATATGATGAAAGACCGTAGAAAGTCGCGCAAAGTCTAGACGCTACTGTGGCACAGGACAACATAGCCCGACGAAGCAGATAACTGGACATCGCATCTGTCCCAGCTTCAAACTCCCCCTCTAAGTCTCCAGGCCCGACTTGACCTGGCTTTTGGTACAGTCAAGCCGGGCTTGGCAGCACCGCGCCAGCCCCAAAAAATCACGAAAACTCTCGGGCCAGAATTGCAAGTCAAAAAGATGTAAAAGCGTGCGCTGACCATTGCGTAAGTGGACTACCTTTTCTAGGGTCAAAAGGCCCATAAGACAGCTGAACTGAGCTGCTGCAAGCTCTGAAAAGACAAGTAGAGCATTTCTCGTAGGAGTAGATAGTTGTAGGAGGGAGGGGGGAGGCAGAGCGGAAGGGAGGCATGGGTTTTCCCTACGTTGCGTAAGAGCACGCCCATTTATAAAGGGACTTTGCAGTTGATTGCCCTATGTCATTTCTGCAGGTGAAGAAAATACTGCATGTCTGCAATTCGATAGGAGTTTGTACATCCTGATGGCACTTTCTCGATCTTTGAATGTGTGCCATTTGTATGTATACTGCTTGGGTGTATACCAACGAAGGATAGAGTAAAGAAATCTGTAGAGTTGTAGATATAAAGTGTATAGATAATAGAAGGGATAATAGAAGAATAAACTTGCCGGTGAAAGGATATAGAGACATCTTATAGAATATAAGTAAGGAGAGAAGTGGGCTGAGAGGAAGAGGAAGAGGAAAGGGGGAAAAACGGAGAAGAACGCTCTTATAATAGTTGAACTTGGGCTAAGGCGGAGATAGTGAATATACTTTTAACCAAAAATATGACAGTGGTGGAGACAGACAAAGATTAGAAATACAAACAGCTGTGAACATATTCTGTTACTTGAATATGAAACTATTCTTTGTCCAATTTGTGTGTATGTCAGTCACAATGAGAGGTACCTCACCGTAACAATCACGACTGCTGTCTTGTTGACAGCTTATCACTGTTCTGTATGATCATTCATTGTATTATGAAGTATCTTGAAAGACGATGATAGGAAATTTAATCTACAACAAACGAGCTCGGCAAGTCTCCTGTATGTCCATCCTTTATGCAGGTCTGCATATGGTGATTGAGACACCCTAACCCCCAGTCATTGTTCAAAAGAAACAATACTACTGTCAGCCCAGCCCATCTTTACACATCAACCGGTCTCTCAGTCGATCCTTGTAAACAGCCTCCTCATTCACCTGGTTCCGAAGCATTCCTCCGCTCCCTGGCTCCAGTAGGGACTGATTTTACGGTCAAACACGCGCTGGGTGCAGTGATTATCGCAATAATTGCGTTGAATGTGCTCGTTAAACACGCGGAGAAGACCTTTCGGGCTATGTAGCGTTTGGAAATACCAAAAGCTTCCCTTGTTCCAACAGTTTCTCATCACTTCTGCGTGGGAGGGGGTTGACAATTGAAGTGACTTTTCTTCTTTCTCAAAGGCATCCATATATTCAATGGTAATCTTGTCAAAAGTTTGTAGATTTGGTCCAGTCCATGCTCTGGACCCTTGCATCTGTAAACTGTAAGGATGGCTATACTAAACTTCCAAATATGAATGGGAATAAGTAATGACACCGGAGGAATTTCTATCGATAACGCAAGCTTATGATGCATTTGGATTGGAATTTTCTCCTCGCTGACGGACAAGCGTAGGTCACTGATACCGATGGATAGTTCCATACATAACTCCCACCCCGATCGGTTGTATACTGTCCGTTAGGGCCACAGACAAACCCGAGCCAATGCCCGGCTATCTACTCCAACAAAAACGGGATCAAGGCGATGTGATTTCCAGACGGAGTACTCGACCCCGGCCTCGGAGCAACTCCGACACCCACCGAGCCCACATTCTCGGTGACGAGAGCGATCGACCGTATAAATGCGCCCCCCATCGTCCCACCTTTCTCGCAACCCCCCATCAATACCTTCATTCTCGTGCAATCTCACGATCGCTATGTCTAAACCTACAATCGGCTTTGTCGGCCTCGGAGCCATGGGCTTCGGGATGGCCACCCATCTGGTGAAGGAGGGATACCCCGTGCACGGGTTCGACGTCTTCCCCGCATCCGTGCAGCGGTTCCACACGGCGGGGGGCATCCCCGCCGCGTCGCTCAAGGAGTCCGCTGCGGGTAAATCTTTCTACGTTTGCATGGTAGCGTCCGCCCCGCAGGTACAGTCTGTACTCTTTGGCGAGGATGGCATCGTCCAGGGTAAGCTATTGTCATGGATTCCACCATCTCGATCAAGGAACGCTGACTCTCTAGCGCTCCCCCAAAACGCAACCCTCCTTCTCTGCTCCACTGTCCCCGCCTCCTACGCACAGGCCGTGGCCACAGAACTACAATCATGCGGTCGCAGTGACATCTACTTCATCGACTGCCCCGTCTCCGGGGGCGCCATCCGAGCCGCCAACGGCACACTGTCGATCATGGCGGGTGGCACGGACGAGGCCCTGCAGAGCGGGCGCGACCTCCTACAGGCCATGTCAGCCCCAGATAAGCTCTACCTCGTGCCCGGGGGCATTGGCGCAGGAAGCAACATGAAGATGGTGCACCAGGTGCTGGCGGGAATCCACATCCTGGGCGCCAGTGAGGCGATGGGACTCGCGGCGCAATTGGGCCTGGATGCCCGCAAGACGGCGGATGCCATCATGGCGTCGGATGCGTGGACGTGGATGCACGAGAACCGGTTGACGCGCATGTTGGAGGAAGACTGGAATCCGGGGGCCAGTGCGCTCACGATCATCTTGAAAGACGTCGTACGTATTCTTCCTGTGCCCTGCCCCTTGAAAACAAAGAAGAGAAAAAGAAAAAGGAAACGAAACGAACCTGACATTCCCAGGGCATCATCACCACCTCCGCCCGCCAGGCCCACTTCCCCACTCCCCTCTGCTCAACCGCCGAACAAGTCTACCTCTCCGCCCTGCTCCAAGGCTACGGAGCGAAAGACGACTCCTCCATGGTCCGCCAATACTTCGCGACCCCGATCGCAGCCGTAGCGGCGACCGAAGGAGAAGACCAATCCGTCAAGCTACAGCTAGTGCTCGACCTCATGCGCGGTGTCAATCTAGTCGCAGCCGCCGAAGCGGTCGCCTTTGCGCGCCATCTGCACGTCGACCTGGGGCAGTTCCACGGGCTGGTGCGCGAGGCGGCGGGAGCCAGCCGCGTGTTCATCAATCAGGGGCTGGAAATGATCGAGGGCAGGATCGGAGATAAGGCGCCCGCGGGATCGCAGACGCTCGACGAGGCCGTTGCGCGACTGGAGACGGTGGTGCAGCGGGCGCGCGACCTGCACTGTCCGCTGCATTTGGGCAACGCGGCGCTGACGGCGCTGCTGACTGCGCGACGGGCGGGGTTCGGAGGAGAGGCGAGCACGAGCGTGATCAAGGTGTGGAATTAGTTTTCTGATAGTATATACCATTAGTAGCCGAGGGTGGGATAATTGTTTTTGTACACATACCCGGGTCGCGGGGGTGGATTACTGGATTGACGTCAGTCGGAGATGGTCCGACCTTATTTACTATATAGACCCTCTCTACCTTACCTCTACTTGACTTTACTTCTCTAACCAGACTATACCTACCCCTCCTCTTCCTCCTCCTCCTCTTCTTCCTCATACCAACAACTCTCAAACGCCTTTTCGGTTCCAAGAAAAAAAAATAAATAAATAAAAACACTCCCCAACGGGAAAACCCATCACCCAAAATGTCCCCCCCAAACAAAGCCCTCACCATCCTCAACCACGCCTCCGAAAACAACTACGGCGTCCCCGCAATGTGCTGCTACAACGTCGAAGGCATCCTGGCCACCGTGCGCGCCGCCGAAAAAAAGCGCTCCCCAGCCATGATCCTGCTCTTCCCCTGGGCGATCCAACAAGCCGGCGGCATCCTCGTCCACGCCGCCGCCGAAGCAGCCCGCAACGCCAGCGTGCCCGTAACCGTCCACCTGGACCACGCGCAGACGCCCGAGATCATCCGCGAGGCGGCCGACATGGGCGGCTTCGATAGCATCATGGTCGACATGTCGCACTACGAAAAGGAGACGAACCTCGCTTTAACCCGCGAGTTGGTCGCTTACTGCCGGGAGCGGGGGATCGCGACGGAGGCGGAACCCGGGCGGATCGAGGGCGGGGAGGACGGCGTCGCGGACACTGTTGACTTGGGGGGGTTGTTGACGACGCCCGAAGAGAGCCACGAGTTCGTGGACACCGGCATCGACTGGCTGGCGCCTGCGTTCGGCAACGTGCACGGCGAGTACGGCCCGCGGGGCATCGTGCTCGAGTACGATCGGTTGAGGGCGATCCGGGATGCGGTGGGTGACAAGGTGCGGCTTGTGCTGCATGGGGCGGATCCGTATACGGAGGAGATCTTCGCGGAGTGTATTCGGTGTGGGGTGGCCAAGGTGAACATCAATAAGGTGCTCAATAATGAGTTTGTGAGAGTTATGGGGGAGAAGGCGGGGCGGGTGCCGTTGACGGCGCTGTTGGAGGAGGCGACGAGGGAGATGCAGGGGGCTGTGGAGAGGTGTATGGATATGTTGAAGTCGAGTGGGCGGGCTTGATTTCTCTTTATTTGTTTGATTTGATTCTTTGGTTCGAGATACTCTGTTGAACCTACCAAGTATAACGGCCATGCAGTTGCAATCGCGCGGAAACTACCTATTGGATCAGCCTACGAAGCCAGTCTCCCATGATATAACCAGATATAACCAAATATATTCACATTTACACCTATCGAAACATCAAAACCTCACAATCCGAGGGAATCAGCTCAATAACGCAAGATATATGAAACAAAAGAAAAGTTCAGGCATGACACGATAAAGATAAAGATAAGATAAAAGTTAGAAGAAAGAAACAAGAAAAAACCATTTTTTAAAAATCCTAATGCGCAGCCATCATCTTCTTGATCTCGGCGATGGCAAGGGCCGGGTTCAGACCCTTGGGGCAGGTCCGCGTGCAGTTGAGAATCGTGTGGCACCGGTACACGCTCATGCTGTTGTCCAGGGCGGCCTTGCGCTCGGCGGTGCGCTCGTCACGCGAGTCGGCCAGCCACCGGTACGACTGGAGCAGGATGGCGGGACCCAGGTACTCCTCGCTGTTCCACCAGTACGACGGACACGAGGTCGAGCAGCAGGCGCACAGAATGCACTCGTACAGACCGTCCAGCTTCTTGCGCTCCTCGGGGCTCTGGCGGTATTCAAGGCCCTATTCCCTGTTAATATTGCACCAAACGACTCGGCGGAAGAGAAGAAATATACGTACATCCTCAGTAGGGGTATCGCGCTGCAGGTAAGGCTTGATGGACTTGTACTGCTTGTAGAACTGGGTCAAGTCCGGCACCAGGTCCTTGACGACGTACATGTGCGGCAGCGGGTAGATGCGCGACTCCTTGGTGGTATCCGTGGGGATCCGGCACAGGCAGGCCAGGGTGTTGGTTCCGTCGATGTTCATGGCGCAACTGCCACAGATACCTTCACGGCAACTGCGGCGGAAAGTCAGGGTGGGGTCCATCTCGTTCTTGATGCGGATCAGAGCGTCCAGCATCATGGGGCCGGTCTTGTTCAGGTCGAGGGAGTAGGTCTGCATCTGCGGCTTCTCGGCCGGCTGGTCGGGGTTCCAGCGGTAGACCTGGAACTTCTTGACGCGAGGCTGATCCGAGGGGTTGGGGTCCTGTGAGACTCGTTTAGTCTGAATCCTTTGCTGCATCTCGTTTTCCTTCCATCTAATCGTTCGTTCCTCCCTCTCTTCTTCCCCGGTACTCTTTCTTATTTCCCTGAACGATGTCGAAGCAATTGGCTTACCTGCGCGGAAGCATCAACGGTCGCATAGGAGCGAGCGAAGGCGGCAGGACGGAAGAGGGGTCGCGCGGAGGCGAACAGGCGCGAAGACGAGCGAAGAGCAGCCATGATGATCGAGTCGAAGGGAAGACGCAGGGAGTGGCGGATGGACGGAACGGGGCGCAAACTGCAGGTGTGCCGACGACAATGGCGATAATATGAACAGGGTTGGAAAAGAGAAGAGGAGAGATGGTCCCAGACAAATCGACCAACGCCAGCCAGCAGCAAGAAAGGAAAGGCAAGGATAGGATAGGAATAGGAGCGAGTCCACTTGGAGGAGAAAAAGCGGGCACAACTAACCAACGTGAAGGGAAAGTCTGAGCCAGCATCGGCCGGATTAACTATGCTAACCTCGGGTTTGCCAGTCGGCAATCGCGTGACTCAGCAGGTGGCGGCCAATCAGGGAAGGCCTAATTGCAAGCCTCGGGCGGACACGGCGATGCCACGGCCTGAGGCAGCCTTACGGCTCTTGATATATCCATCACTCGTATTGCTTATCGATCTTGATGGAATTAGCCACTTCGATGGAACTGGAATTTCGCCTCCATTTCTTCCCCCTCTCTTTCTCTCTCGATCGATCGACTAATGTCCGCCACGTCCATTACATCATGACTGCGGTCTGACACGTGACGGGGGCTGCCAAGTCTCAGGCTGTCAGGCACCGGGGGGCTATTCCACTTTGGGATTCGCACATCTAGCCCTACTGGATACACTTCTATAGTTCATGGTTTACCTTTATGTATTTACTGAGATGTTCATAGATAGAAGAGAGCAAAACCTATGTTCATAGATTTGAGCTCCGATCAAGTGGTTGCAAGATAGGGAATACCTATCAGTGATCCTCCTCTACTATATATTTATCCGTAGACTCCGTGGTAGCCGAGGCCACTGGTTAACCACACGGTAAAAGCTTGGAGCATAATGGATAATTAATTCATGGATCTCTATACTATACAAGCAAGGGCGTCAACGACAGAAGAACAGCACTCTCAAACCCGACAAAACTAGTTAACAATAATCACCCCCGGTCCATACAACGTCGAAGCCGTAACAGCATTGACGTTCGCAAATGGCCCCGAGCTGTTCGTCACGGCAGCAATGGTCAACCCATTCAACAGATGCTCCTCATAAGGGAACCTCGCCTTAGCCAGCACAGTGGTCCCGTCAAACCCGATAAAACGCAGCCGCTCCACGATGGGCAGATTCAACTGATTGATATACACCAGCCAGAACTGGCCGTCCTTCCCTTTGGCGTATCGGAGTTTCCTCGCGGTATCCATATCTGGGAGTTCCCACGTAACGACAATATCCTGCGTCATAGGGCCGGGAAATTCGACGATTGTGAGCGGCAAGAACGCATGAAGCGGGATGCTCGACACGTTCGGGCAGCTCCCGGGCAGGACGAACTGCTCCACATAGGAGAACCCGAACTCGCGGGCCGACGTGGTGAGCATGGGCGTCTCCGAAGGAACCTTGCCCATGAAGACGCGATACCAGCCCTGCTGCTCTCCTTCGTTGCCGATGGTGGCAGCCACAACGCGCGTCAGGGCGCTGTCGCCGTTGCGGGCGAAGATCTCGGCGATGTCCTGCAGCGTCCCGAGCATAACGGAGGTGAACGTAGACGCAAAGTCGATGGCATTGTTAATGCTCGTCACGGGAAAGGAGTAGTTGCAGGGGAGGACTTGGGCCGTCTTGACATGTTTCAAGGCGTTATTGGCAGTCAGGGCATGAATCTCTTCTTGCTTTTGTGCCGTTAGTCAACTGATCCTAGTGGCAGTAATGGAAGAGAGGGACGCGAGGTACCGCAAGTATAGTAGAAAGACTGTCGACGATGAAATCCCTGTCGTCGTCTTCACTCAGGAAGAAGCCCTCCACCTCGTTGGTGATGTTGGCCAGCAGCTGCTTGAAGAAGGCCACCTCGAAGAGCTCATTGAAGGCGATCAGCTGCAGATTGGTGATGCCTGCCTTGCTGATGTTCGCTGGAGGGGGCATATTCGACAGAGTCCCATGGGCGCGCTGTTCGATCTCTCGCAGCTGTGACGGACTGGGGTCAGGCATGCCATCCTGAAGAGGAACGACACGGGCAAGAGGGTTGGCCAGACAGTTCTGGATGAACAGAAAGGCAAAGACAAAGAATGCAGTAAAATGCATGTTGGGTATAGTGGAATGGAGTGGTATGTATGTGATGGGTGGTTAACGGTACAGCATCTAAGTGTGTTGGTGGAACTGGGAGTGATGAGAATCAAGACAGTGCTGGGGGGATTCATGTCCTCTATAACTTGTGATATAGCGTACCTTCCCGTACCTTTCATGAGTGGCTGCCAAATGGGGAAGTCACAATGCGTAACCTTAGTGAATGCAGTGACGTTGATGAACTTATTGAGTTAGGGCTATGCAATAGGATGTCATTGCATGCTGAGCCAGCAGCCATTCACTCATTGCCCTTTACTTATCACTATTCACGCATCTATACTTTATTTAGGCTGCTGTCCTTCTCTTAATTACACAATCATTCGCACTCTTGTATCTATTCATCCAATTCATCTATCTACATTATCCTACAACATCTACTACATCGACATATCCATCAGTCTTACGCAACTGCACACTCTTTTCCAACATCCCCAAAGACCTCCAAGACCTCCAAGACCAAAAAACAACCTCATCCCAATGCCCACCCTCTCATGCACCTCCGAAAGCAAAAGCATCAGAAAAAAATGAACAAGCTCACCAAAATCATCACCAACCTCTACCACACCGTCCTCCACAGCAACTCCAATCCCAACTCCAACTCACCAACGGCCTCCTCCACCACCGAGCCATCCACTCCCCCAACAAAACACAAAGTCAAACACCCCAAGAAAAACCTCTTCATCCCAACCAAACACCGCAAGAAAACCGCCCAGGAACTGACCGGCCTGCCCAGCTCCTGTCCTATTGATATCCTGGCGCGGGGCCGCTCCGTGAACCCCACTACCCCCGCCGCGCACACCCTTGACTACTCGATGTTTGCGTCTTCTTGTCCTGATGGGCGCTGGGCGGGCCTAAAAGGCGGCGCTGCTGCTGCGCAGGGGATCGAGCCGGAGGCGGATATCACGCTGCAGCCGCATAGGATGGATCATCTTCTAGTTCCTGGGCTGCCGCGCATTCAGCGGGGCCGGAGTCGTGAGGAGCAGTTTAGCAATGAGGACTATGAGGTGGAATATTGTGCGTGGTGATTTCTTGATTTTTTGTTCTTCGAATGTTAGGAAGTTTCGGGTTTTGTAAATCTGTGGCAATTGTATCTATGTCAGTTGGAGGGCCATTGATCTGGGCGCGAGCGGTTCTGGATGGAATTACGAAGTCATGTCTTTTCTTTCTGTTTTTTGATGTATTATGATTTCACGAGATATCCTGATGTACTGTACAGCATCTACTGTCAATCAACCACGATATGATATGTATCCTAATCAACATAACCGGAAAGGCAGTAAATATCCAACAACACAGACCCACAAGCAAAATAGAATCCAAAGCCAAGTAAAGAAGAAGAAAATCACCTCACAAACAACGAACTCACAACCCCCAACCCCCCAACCCCCATCCACAACTTCCACAAATCCCCCAACCCCTCCACAACATGCTGCAACAAGATCTCGCCCTCCCTCGACCGGAACATCATCCCCAACACACTAGTCACCCCTTCTGGCCCTTCCACATCGACCTCCCCGTCCCAACCGCCCGCCCAAACTAGACGAACAAGAATCGCGTAGCAAACTGGGAGTGTGGCGCATGCGCCCCATGTGAAGAGCAGACTGTGTGTTGCGATGGCTCGTACTCCTGCTGCAGAGGTAGTATAATTACTACTAACAGAAGAAGATGATGATGATGATGATGATGAAGAAGAGGAGGAAGACAAAGATGACAGTAAAAGCAAATGCGTCCCCCTCGCAAGAACAACATGGCTCAGTCCAGCCCCTAACAGCGCAAACACCCACCCCGCTGTGGGGGTCTCCTCGTCGAGCAGCGCGAAACATCCAGTTAAGAGCACGTTGAGCGCCCAGCCGAGTCGAACGGCCCATAGGGCGAACTGGGCGTGTTTCTGGGACGCGTCGACGCAGAAGGGGAGCGTTAGGGTGATGGTGAGTGCTGCGAGGCTGAGGCCTGTTTGCGTGGGGGTTAGGGTGCGGATGAGGCCTAGGTAGAGGGAGAGGAGGTGGATGTGGGTTGAGAGCTGGTTGTGTTAGTATAATGTGCATCATTCTGATGGTGAGTATGGAAGGGGGAGAAAGAGAGAGAGGAAACATACCACAACACCATGCAAAAACCCCCCAATATACAACATAACAGTCCCCACACTCACTCTCCTCACTGACACAAGCGCAACAACACAATAAGCCCCAACCAAGCCCGCCATACCCGCCAATCCACCCCCTAGAACAAAAGGAACGACAACGCTCCAATCCGCCCACTGCGCTCTCGTCCCGCCTCCGCTCACCCCAAGGAGAAGTAATCCTGCGCCGACGGGGCCTAAGACCACTAGGCCCAGCTCGCTTCTTTTCCTCAACGGGCTTTTGCCTTTCCATTGCCGTTTGTCTTCTCCTATTCCTCCTCCTTCACCACAGCAGTTACCACCGTTCCCATCGCCAAGCGCAATATCACCAACGTCGTCGTCATCATCATCATCATCATCATGGTCAACAGCAGCAGCAATGGAAGAAGAAGAAGACGACGGAGAAGAATGAGACAATTCCACCCCAAAAGGCCCAACCAACAACGCAACCGCGCAAAACATCAACCCAAAATAAAACCCGGCAGCCCAATTCCTCCTCTCTCCCAACAGTCCCCCCATGACCGTCCCGACGACAGCCCCCGCGCCCCGCGCACGCAACACATACCCCGCGAAACGCGCGCGATGCGGCGGCGAGATCGCGCGCTCAACTAGCTGCAGCGAGAGCGCGGTTGCGGCGCCGCTGCCGAGGCCCTGAATAATGCGGCCTGTGATGAGCGTGGGGAGGTTGGCGGACCCGGCGCAGATGCCGGTGCCGACCGTGGAGGTTGTGAGGGCTGTTAGAAGCGGGATTCCTGAGGGTGTTGGGGTTGGGGTGCGGAAGAGAAGGGCGCATAGGGGCTGGATGGCGGCGTTGGCGAGGAGGTAGGATGTGCTCAGCCAGAGGGCGTTGTCGAGGGGGGTGGTGAGGAGGGTTGAAAGGGTCTGTTCGTTATTATTATTATTATAATTGTTCTTGAAGGTTAAGGGTGTTATAGGTTTAGGTTCATATAGGGTGTTGTATGGGCAGAATAGATAATGTAGACACGTACTGGAATCAAAGGAATAGCAACGGTAGCGTTATACCCATCCATCATGGCCGCGGCCAACACGCACGTCAGAACCAGATACTCCTTCACGTCAGGCGTACGGTATCCAGCGACAGCCGGGGACACGCAGACATCAACCGCGGACAGTGCATCATCATCGATTTCCTCGCGGTACGTATGCTGTGAAACCGGCTTCTTGTCATCGTGGGTACCGCTGCTGCTTCTGCTTCTGCTGCCGCCACCGCTGCCGAGGTGGAGGATTTCAAGGCCCATGTCTTCCTTACCAGAATCTTTCCGTCTGGTGACGCTCGCGAGGTGGAGATATCTGGCGTATATATAGGCAGGGACGCGGGCCACCCTGCTCTGGAAAGAGGAGAGTGCGGGGAGAGGGGTCATGTTATAATTATACTTGGGTATGGCTTCCAGCAAGGGATGAGATGGCGATGATGTGTAACGGGAGAGATTGGCGTGCAACTAAACCGCGTGTTTTTGACTTCTGGGTTCAAGAGACGTGGTATGCTGCGTTCTTGCTATTGCCCTTGAATAGGCCACGTGAGCCCTGATTGGGTGTTTTGCGCTCTGGTATGTGGGCTCCCCTTGCTTAGGTGCGTATGATACTGTCTCGGCGGCGTGGATTCGAGGTCTGTTTGTGGTGAGGGCATGGAGAAGGATGCAGCTCGTTCAAATAATTGTGGTAAGCACAGTAATAACCAGCAGTCGCAGTTTGAATCCTAACGTATAGCCTTATACCGGCAGTAGTGCGAGGCAGTACGTCCGCAATTCAGGATAGTCAGCTTTGATGACCAGAGTGCCGTGCAACATTCGCGGCGAAGCTGCAATTCTGGCTTTTCCATAATGGATTCTTTTTTTATCCCCCCCCTTCTTTTCCTGTCTGCCGAATGTGACCAATCGTCAGAGGGATACCTTTTCGTAAGAAACCAGGTAGACCATATGGTCAGATAAGCCCCGACGCAATGTAAATCAGGGTCTGCTGTGTAGTACGTCTCATTTGTCCGTCTAATCGACATTCCTCCAGTTGCAAATGGCCGATCATATGGAAAAGCTCCCGAGAGGCAGCGGGCCAGGCCGGCAAATTAACACCCCTTTGTGACAACATAATTGATATTGATTATCCGGCCGTGGGTTTCGTAGCACGTCTGACGAAAGGTACAAAAATAAGATTATATTATGATGCCTCTATTCCATCTTATCGCGGTCCGTCGCCCGCGATGACCGTGGCACATCTACGGAAGACTTGGTGCTCTGGCTCTGCGCCGTGCTAACCGCGTGGAACGAAAAGTCTAGCTCGCCCACAAGGGATTTAACGTCCCTATTTAGTCAGTACCATTCTCATGAAAATCATTCGTTCCGCCGAAAAGAAAAAGAAAAGTAAAGAAAAGAAAGGATAAGACAAGAAAGGAAGGGGAAGGAAAAGAAAGGAAAAGAAAGGAAAAATAGAGGAAAAAAAGAAAACCTACTTCATCAACCGCTCTACATCCCCCGCAATACACCGCGTCGAAATCTGCAAGACAGAAAATGTTGCAAATCCTGGTTCGGCGATATGCCGCACACTCAGGATGTCCTTATCGAGCGCTTCCAGCCGCGTCGAGAGGCTGTAGGGACGCGGCGTCTTCAGGTACGGTGGCAGCGGCTGCCGGTTGGTAATACTGGCAGACAACAAGCACAGCAAGGAAGTGATCTCGTGCGTGGTGATGCGTGCGTTGATGATTACCCGCCGAAGATCATTGAGCCACACCGAGTCGGATTCATCATCGTCACCCATCGCGAGGAGGGTGTCGGACGCATAGCCTAAAAGACTCAGGTATCTGACGATACTAGAGATCAGTTAGTTGGGAAACCGAAAGAAAAAAAAAAAAAAAAAAAAGGGGATGACCATGGTACGGTGCAGACTTACTTCTCCACACATGAGATGATGGAATCGTATTTCTTCGTTGGAAACCGACCGCCCACCGGAACCTCCCACCGCTGGAACTCCGAATACGTGCGGAGCCCATTTAACATCAGCGTCAGCTTGGAGAACACCTTGTTGCGGGCCTTGAACAGTCGTCGCCCCGCCGAGGTTTTCAGCGTCCAGTCGCCTTCCCCGCCGCGCATCCGTACCTTCACCGTCTCGTGGATGACCGAGTAGTAGTTGGCGAGCATGTACAGCGACGCGCCCAGGCTTTGCCGCATCATCGAACGCTCCGACATGGGATACGGGAAGAAGGTCCAGAAGAAGGCCACGGCGATTCCGCCCGTCACAGTGGCGAGCCGGTACGGGGCGAGCAGATAAGTCGGGTAGTACGTTTGACCGCTAGATTTGGCGACTTCCTGGCCGACCTTGTTCACCTGCAGCTCATACCCGACCACCATCGCGGTGGAGATCAGCGTAATCATGGCCGCAATGCGGAAGCGGAACATCTTGATAGGAACGTAGAAGACGCAGGTGAGAAAGACAAAGAGGAAAACGTGGACCCCCGCGCTCTTCTGTCCCGGGATGTACCACGCCAGCAGGCTCAGAATCATCGCCAGGACGGTTCCCAGAATCCGCAACACAAATCCAAAGATGCTCTGCCCAGCCGTGGGCGACATGCTAAGATTGACCATGATCATGGCCCACACAAAGCGTTGTCGGACGAAGAAGTCCTGCGTGTTGCTGATGAACGCGACCACGGCAATGGTCATAGTCGCACAGGCCACACGAAACCCGTACGACGATTCGTCAGAGCGCAGCAGCGCAGGAATCACGCGGATTCCGTCACCTATCCTCTGAAACGTGGTCTCGGGCGGGAGGTGCTCGGGGTCCTTGTGGTACCGATACGCCTCGCCCAGCTGCAGGACATGGTTCTGTGAGTTGAGGTCGCCACCCATATTGCCGTCTTCGTGGGCATCTTCGGTCGTAAACATGCTGTGCGCCCATTTAAGCAGCCGTTTCGAGCCTGGGATGATGATATGTTTCTTGGAGAGCTTTCCACTCTCCACGCGCTCATCGGCGAAGCGGACGAATTCCAGGACCACCTGACCCGTTGATTGGAGTAGTTGTTCCATCTATCCAGTCAATTTACCAAGACAAAGTCATGAGGGGGGAGCAAGGTACGTACATAGAGAAACAGGTAGAGCTGGCGCCGACTGCGGTCTCGGCTCACGCTGGGGTCGCCGGGCGACACGTTCCGTGGGATCTCGCCGATGTCTCCGTGAGCCGACGACGGACGCTCGAAAAAGTCGGGCGGCAACTTGATCCCCTTTTCCTTACTCCAGGTTCGCAGCGCCAACCGCTTGGCCACCTTGAACTCGCGCAATCGTCGTTCGAGGTAGGGCGCAAAGCCCCGATCCCCCGGCTTTGGCACCGAGGACGCCTCCACATCGTCGCCGTTGGTCGCCCCGTTCTTGGCCGCTGTGGTCTTCTTGGGCGGCTTGCCTAACTCCAAGCTATACAAAACATGTTCCAGGCCCTCATCGATCGACTGGATCATCGAGCGGAACGGGTCATGGACCGCGCGCATGATGTCATTCCACTCGCGCACGACACGTTCGCGCACCTCATCGGGGACATCGGCACCCGCGCGGTCCAAGGGGGGATTCCATTTGTTGTGGTCGGACAGGCGCTCGAAGATCTCCACGACGAAACTCAGGCCGACGACGGGGATCATCACAAAGCGCAGATGGCGGAAAATGGTCTGTAAGTCGTCCGCCCCCAATTTTCCATAGGCAAACTCCCGCTTGGCAAAGGTCAAATCCTGGTGCAGCTTGGCATGGAGCTCGGTGAGCTTGGTCACGGCGGTATGGATGGCCTGCGCCTCGGGACTGTAGACCTTGCCCTTCTTGCTGACCTTCTCGATGGTGGAATCATGGGTGTCGGCACGTCCAAACATATCGTCATGCTCCATGGTGATGAAGTAGTTGCGATGGGCGCGCAGGGTGCCCCTGAGACCATCGATGTAGCCGGCCATCTGCTTGAAGACGATGCCGCGCGAATTCACGGGCATGATGAACAGGCACGTGCCAGTGGAGACGGCCAGACCTGTCAAGGCGACCTCCAACAGCCTCCGGACCATGGCGACCGCGGCCGGCACGGTCGCCATGCGGGGGGCGTAGGTGAAGGAGACGTTGGCGATGATGGAGTAGATGATGACGGGAAACTGAAACTGCATGAATCTAGCGCGGACGGAGTGCACCAGGTAGATCTGAAAGAAGAGCCAGATGCCGCTGACGACCGACGCCGACGAGTTGTAGGGGGCTGTCTTGGTGCCAGGCGACACGCGGGCATCCTCGGGCGACTGAGTGTGCTGGCGGGCCTTGACGCACGTGTACATCATCAACAAGGCGAAGGCGGCGGCGAGACAGACGGCCAAGACGTCGAGCACCATCATCTGTATGAATTTGGCCCGAGGCATGATGGCGAAGCCCAGGATGGAGATGACGGCCATGAGATAGCCGACCGTGCCGAACTCAGCGGCGGCGGAATCGGCTTCATATATGGCCAGACAGATGGTGGGGGGGAGGGCGCCTTTGATCATGAGCATGACCGTGTGGCTATCCAGCTCCAATCTGGCCCAGGCATCTTTGATTTTACGCCCGAAACCGACTCTTGTCGGCTCCTGGGGCTCATCCGATTGACTGGTGGTGGATGAGGATGTCATGGTTGACGTTCTGAGTTCCCCGCAACGAGAGAGGAAGCTCCCACGCGATCGGTCGAGGCAATCATCGAATGTCAATCTTCCTCGGACGAAGGATGTATCTAATTGGTAATTGAGGTTGACAGGCGATGAGAGGGGGATAATAGGGATAGGAAAGAAAAACCTGATGAGGGGAAAAGACGACGTTCACGTACTGACGGGAGGTTGAGAGATGGACGGAAGATGAGCAAATGCCAAGCCATTATTCACACAACGTTATGATCATGAGTCATATCAATTACCTATCCATATTACAATGGATTGATAGATATAATACTTTATGTATCTTGATATAGTTATAGAAATATCATCAATCAATCATCTTGTCAGTTGGCATGGGTATTACTTTGGATAGTCGACGGATAAGCAGGATACACTATGACGCATGCCTGTTTTTATCCAGACCAGATCCGGGTCGACATCGCCAACTGGCAAGACCCACCAGGTCTGGGGATGCACGTGGATCCACCATCAACCATTCTTTAACCACTGATATAATCTGATATCATGCTCAACTTAAATAGGGAACCGTACCTTAAAAATGACAGGGAAGGGTGACAGTGGTACCTGCATACAAGGCAGAGAGGTTGTCTGTTTGAGACTAACCGCTGCAACTAATCCGAATGGTCCATAGGGTTGTCAATCCAACCAATTACTTCTTCTCAATCACCTCCTTTTTCTCTTTCGATTTCTTTCATCGCTCTACCATCCGATCATGATGATCCTTGGCTCGGGGTTCTCTTGCTTTTGTTGTCTACGTTCTTCATCATGACGGATAACGGTTTCCCTTCCTCGGTCGTCCCTCCGCGCAAACCTCTTCCAGTCTCCAAAGAGTTGAAAGAAGCCAATGCACCACCCCCGGCACCCTGGTGGGATGTCCGCCAATTCTCCCGTCGGAAACGCATTATTTTGGCCGCCGCCATTGCAGCGATCGTCTTAATCGCTCTGATTATTGGATTGGCAGTAGGCCTGACCCGAAAGAAGTACTGATTTCCCCTCTACCCTCTGATCCCAGGCGTAAAAAGGAAGTGACTAAAGGGAGTAGGAATTCCAACCTTCCGCTCCCAACCACCAATGGCCCCTACACAGGCGATTTGACCTACTACGACCCGGCTTTGGGCTCCTGTGGCATTGAAAGCGCCGCCACCGACTCTATCTGTGCTGTCTCGCATGTGATCTTCGATGCTGCCTCCACGGGATCCAATCCTAATGCCAATCCGCTGTGCGGCAAAAAGCTGCGTGTGCGGAGGGGAGAGAGCAGTGTTGATGTGACCGTGGTTGATCGCTGTATGTTCCCCCCCCCCCCTATTCCCCGAGTGACGTGACTAATGGAGATAGGCGTCGGGTGTGCCGCTACTGACCTCGATGTCTCGCCTGGTGTGTTTACCAACCTGGCAGATATGGATCTGGGGAGAGTGCTGGTTCAATGGGCGTGGTTGGACCATGCTTGATGGTGACGGCGTGTATGTGTGATGTTTTTGTTAGCAATCTCAGTTTTGTATGCAATCAGAGAATTAATGAGCCTCTGATCGATGCTTTCTATACATAAAGTCAAGGCTTTGAAATCCCACGTGGATACCTTCTCTCTCGTCTCGAGTATTCAGCACGGATCCTTCTATAGTATTCCTCCTATAACCATGACCACTTTGATCTGCTTCATGTGGCTCTTGCGCTACTGGAGACACGCTCTATAAGCACTAATGTCCTTGAATGCGACCTGGTCGAGCTATGGAATCGTCTCGCGAGTAATATCGACAGACTGTAGGCTCGAGCCCGCGGATAGAAGGGACCAACCACTTGGCTGGTCCTTTATGAGATGATCGAACAACCCTAAACCAATCCGACAGAGCCTTGCGACCCGGAAATGGAATCGCGTGGCAGTGCACTGGACCATCTGTTTATCCCAGACTTGGCCCTTCAAACTACCCAAGCACACTAATCAGATTCGGAGATTCCTCCCTGATGGATGGATCCGATGTAGTGCTTCGCCCCCAATCCTCATCGGGCATAGATCGGCCCCTTCATTCGCTTCATGTATATTTAGCATCATCAAGTTCCCCAGGCTCATCATCCTAACACAACGACCCAGCTTGATGTCCAGGAGCCCTTCACAATGAGGACATCCAAACACCTTCTGCTCCTCATACCACTCATACAACCCTCCCTTCAAGCCGACCCTAAAGATCTCACCTCCCACGTAAACCTCTTGTACCTCCCCCTTTACCCCCTTCAAACAATTCAACCAAATTAATTGAATACCAGCCAAGGCACCGAAGATGGCGGCAATAACTTCCCCGGCGCCGCCCGCCCCTTCGGCATGGTCAAGCTCGGCCCCGACCTGCAAGACGGCGACACAGACGCCTACTCAGGATACCTCGCCAAAGGCGAATTCTCCGGATTCAGCATGATGCACGAGCAGGGGACCGGCGGGGCCCCCAAGTACGGGACGGTCGCCCAGCTGCCCCTCGCGGGCGATGATGAGCTGGACGATCCTCTGGCCAACGTCACCGTTGGGCGCAAGGGCACCGACGAGGCCTCGGTGGGTTACTACAGCGCGCGCACGGACGACGACGTGCTCGTCGAGTTGAGCGCCGCTGCTAGGGCTGGCATCTACCGGTATACCTTTCCGGAGGGGTCCGCGCAGAAGAAGGTGCTGGTGGATGTGTCACATGTGCTGCCGTCGCATCGCGGACAGGGTCTGGGGCAGGCTTATCGAGGGGGTAATGTGAGTGTGTTTGAGGATGGGCGCTATGAGGGGAGTGGGGTGTATGATAATGGGTGGAATCGGTCGCCTGAGTGGACGATTCATTTCTGTATAGTTCTTTCTTTTCTTTTTTTTTTTAACTCGCTTTTCAAGCCTTGGGTATGTTGGCTAACACGTCTAGGTGGCTATTTTGATCCCAAGCCCAGCAGCAGCAAAGCTTACGTTGGAAAGGACGGAGAGGATAGTACCGAGCAGGACGACGGAGTCGCGTCGTCGTCGTCAGGCGATACCCGTGTCGGGGCTGTCTTTTCCTTCAAGGAGAAGGTCGTGACTTCTCGCGTGGGCATCTCCTGGATCTCTACGAAGCAGGCGTGCGAAAACGTGAAGAAGGAGATCCCTGAGGGTACATCCCTCGAGACAGTCGTACAGGACGCAGAGTCGGAATGGACATCCAAGGTGTTATCCAAGGTGTCCACGACCAACACCAACAAGACAACCCTCTCGCTCCTCTACTCCGCTCTTTACTTCATGCACATCATTCCCACCAACCAAACCGGCGAGAATCCTGGCTGGGCATCCTCTGAGCCTTACTACCAAGATATCTTCACTTTCTGGGTATAGCCCCTCCCTGTCAAATCCCGTCATCCTACACAACAAATCTAACATCAACAGGACCTCTTCCGCTGCTCCACCCCCCTCTTTCACATCCTCCAACCCAAAACCTACACCGAATTCCTCCGCTCCCTAATCGACATCGCGAAAAACGACGGCTACCTGCCCGACGCGCGATCCTCGAACTACAACGGGCGCACACAAGGCGGCTCCAGCGCAGACAACATCCTCGCGGACGCTTACGTCAAAGGCGTCCGCGACCCATCCCTCGACTGGACAGCCGCCTACAGCGCCATGCACAAAGACGCCGAAGTCGCACCGCCCAACACCAATCCACCCGACGCCATGGCGCCAGACTCCTCCACCAAAGAAGGCCGCAGCGCCCTCCCCGACTGGCTGCGTCTCGGCTACATCACGCCAAAGTACTCCCGCGCTGTATCCCGCGCCGTCGAGTACGCGGGCAACGACTTCGCGCTGTACCAGGTTGCCGATGGGTTGGAGAAGACGGCTGACGCGAAGAAGTACCTGGGGCGCTCGCGAAACTGGCGCAATCACTGGAATAAGAAGGCTGAATCGAAGGGGTTCGAGGGCTTTGTGGGGCCTCGGGATCAGAACGGCACGTTTCTTGATCCTGGAGATTTGACGGCGTCTGGGTATTGGGGCGATGCATTCTATGAGGCGAGCCCGTGGGCTTACTCGTTTGGGGCGGTGCATGATATGGCGCACACGGTGGAGCTTATGGGTGGAGAGGAGACAACGAGAAAGCGGTTGGACGCGATGTTTGAGGAAGATGATGAGGGGAAGAGCATTTTTGATGCGACGAATGAGCCGTATGTTCCCTCTTCTTCTACATCTCCGTTGACCTCTCTAACCAGTGATGATAGCATGTTCAATACCCCCTATCTCTACCACTTCATCAACAGCCCGCACATCTCAACCAAGCAGTCCCGAGCCGTCGCCAAGCAATCCTACAAAGACACCGTCGACGGCCTCCCCGGTAACAGCGACGCGGGCGCCATGCAGACCTGGCTGCTCTGGAACATGATTGGGCTGTACCCGCTTACCGGACAGACTACGTTCCTTATCCACGCGCCGTGGTTCGAGGCCCTGACGATTGAACTGGGCGAGGGACGGAAGCTGGAAGTGACGGCTAGTGGTGGAGACGGTAATGGAGACGGGGCGATTCAGGTGCAACGGCTGAAGGTTAATGGGAAGGAGTGGAGAAAGAGCTGGCTGGCTTGGAAGGATGTGTTTGCTGAAGGGGGGACTTTGGAGTTTGAGTTGGGGGAGAAGGAGAGTGAGTGGTTTAATGGGGAAGGACCGCCGAGTCCGGCGAGTTAGTGAGTTGATACTATATGGTATGGTTTGATTTGATGTGTATATTTGTATTTATACCAATGTGGAAGGTAGGATATAAGGTATATTGACTCTCCTTTTGGGTTCATGCAGCTATTGATCAGGTATTATACTTGCTGTATATTGGTTGGTGAGCTTGTGCTAGAGGGATATACTACACCTCACCTTTGCCTGTTCCTATAACCCTCTATCCTTCACCACAGCCCGGTCGGCACACGGAGTCCGGTGTTTATATGCAAAGACCCCGAGAGGATATGTTATCATAGTGCTACATACTTCAAGGACCAAAAAAACCCCGTCTGAAGTCATGCCTGTCGCACTTGTGCGCCTCCTTCGTCAGGCAAACAAGAAGAGTGACTTGGAAGTCACGTTCACTCTTCACTCTCTCTTTCCATTTTCTCTCTCTTGCCTTTTCTGCTTTCTTCTATTCTCCTTCCTCTTCCTTCCCTCTCTCCAAGCCTCATCACGTCCTCAACGCAATCACCTCTATCCATTTCGTAGCTTTGGCATCTGCTGTCTTCCTTACCACACTTGCTCATCATGGCATCTATCGCTCCTATGAAGTATTTCCTTTTGCTAGCTGTTTTGCTCCTCTCGGTCATTGCCTGTGCTCAGGGTGAGGATACTACTACTGTCATGACAACCGTCAATCAGTCCCCCTCCACTAACCAGTCCCTTTCACAGATTCCATAGACCTGGACGACTTTGATGTGGCAGGTGAGTGGTCAGAGTTTGGATCTCCCGGTAGGCCTGGACTCTTGAATTTGTGAGACGTTCATGTTTTCTGACCGGGCTCGCCCTCTCCCCAGCCTCCAACACTAAGATCGATGAAATTGACGGATATCTCTCCAAGCTGGACCACATCCTCCCCCGCGCTGGTGAGCCATGCACAAGACTCTATCTCGGACAAATGAGCTGATATTGACTTGTCAATCCAGAAACGGTGACTGTCGTCAGCACCGATACTATTTGCTCGTCTGAGCTGGTGCCCACCGCGTTCTCTGGCAGCTCGGTCACCCACCAGACCTCTGCGGTGATGTCCGGTACTACTTGGACTTCTGTGACCCCTGAAATTCCAGAGACTTCTGTCGCACCTGGTACTACCAGCACTCCGGTTGGACAGGGTAATACCGTGATCTCGGGGAATCAGGGTACCACTTTGACGTCCGCTGTGGCCCCGACTGCTTTCACCTCGCCATCCGCCTCAACTGTGAGCCCTCCAGTATCCTCAGGGGCACACAGCGTAACCCACGGTTCAGAGTCCTCTTCCATGGAGTCCTCTACCAAGCACTCAACGACCAATGGTCCCACTACAACTGCCCCGAGATCCAGTCACACCTCCGCGCCTGCACCGGCTCCCAACGCCGCGACGGCCCAAGGACGTGTCGATATGACTTTCCTGGCAATCTCAGCACTGTTCATCGGACTCCAGTTTGTCTACTCATTTTAGCATTTTCTATGAAGTCTCGTCCGCTTCTATGCTGAACTCCATATCTGGAAGCTGGCATTACAAGAATTGCTTGACGGCCTCTAGTATGCATAGTTCGTGTACTGCATTTATTTCTGTGAGCTATTTGTCCAAGCTGCTTCGAGTCGCTGGACTGTCACCTTTTGTCCTGGCCTTGCGGCTGTGGTGAATGCGACTGGTCCGCACTCGACTTTATGAGTTGGTGGAAGTATTCAGGCTCCGAGAGCTTCGTAATCAAATTCATGATTTATACTCAAAGGCTCCAACATTCAGGCACTGTAAATTGTATTACGCAACCATGGGTATCTCCTAATGCATAAAAATCACATCGCGTAGGACGACAGCACGAAACAGGAAAACAGCGCCAGCCGTCACAGGCAGAATGAAGGCAAAAAGAAAAACAAGAAAAGAAAAGATAATCAGATGATTCAGACCAGCGCGCCCCAAAAATCAATAAAGAATCACAAATCAAAATCCCCCATCGCCTCAATCTCCCTAGCCTCCGCACAAATCCGACATCCATCCCCGATTCGATCCCGCAGGAGCCGCGCCGTCGTCACCTTAGGACCGACCGTCCGCGACGTCGACAGCGACGCTTCTTCCAGCGTTTGTGTTCGGACAGGCGGGAATAGACGGGGGGTCTGCGCTTCTGAGGAAGAACTCCCTGGTGATGAGGGAGGTTGTTCTCCGTGGACGTGGGAGAGGTGGAAGACGTGGCCGCAGGCGAATCCAACGAGGATTTCTTTTTCTGCGTGGGAATCAGTATTGGACTTTACATATGACATGTACATATAGGTGGTACTAGAAGGAAAGAACAAAAAGGGAGGGGATCTTACCGTTGGTGTGGAAGGGTAGATGGCAGCCTGCACATTTCCCTACTTGTGAGGCGGTAGTGGTGGCAGTGCCCGGTGGGACGGAGGTCTTTTCCGTGTCGGCCATGCTTCTGACTTCGTCCTGGGTGTGGTCGTGCTCGGTGAGCGGGGTCTTGGGCGGCTTTTCGTCCTCGAAGACATTGAATTTGATGCCGCGGCGTTGGCCGCTCCGGAGGGTGTCCATGCCGACGGCGACTTCGCTCTGGAGGACCTTTGCTGCGCCTTGGCTGATGCTGGCTTGGAGGTCGTGTTCGCGGATCATGCGGGTGAGGCCCTCGCGGAGGCCTTCGATTTCCAGCCCGTTGGGGATGCGGCGGACGAGCTTGATGGGGTCGATGGCTGTGCCGGCTTCGACGAGGAGGCCGTGGATGAAGCGGGGTTTGTCCATGGAGTAGTCGAGGAGGTCTTCCCAGAGGTCGGGCTCGTCTTGGGACTTGGCGAAGGAGATCGCTTGGGAGACGTCTTTGAGGTCTGAGAGGATGAGGTTCAGGGCCCGTTTTGTCTGACCCGTCTTGGAGAGGAGGTAGATGAGCTCAGGGGTGAAGTGCCGGGTTTCGCAGATGGAGACGGCCGTGTCGAAGGAGTAGGACGTGCTTGTTTGGAGGAACTCCATTAGTAGTGGGCGGTTGTAGTCTGCGAATAGCTCGACGGCCGTGTTTGCGAACCGGTCGACTAAGGTTTTGCCCTCGTCGGCGGCGAGCTTGCTTGCTGCGTCAAGGACGTGGGCAAAATGGCCCCGACGGGGTTTGGCCGCTCCGTGTGGAAGGGATTCGCCGCGCCAGAGGGCCCGGATATAGAAGTAGAGGAATAGCAGTCTGTTCGCCTCTTTCAACTGCGTGACTACTAACTCTGGGCGCACGATGCCCGTATATGCTTCGCTCACCAGGAGGCGGATGGGTTCTGTTGTGATCTCTTCAAGTTCCGCTATTGGCGCGGTCTTCATCTGCTTTTTGGATACGCGGATCATGATGAACGCTGGGATGTCGTCGGTGAGTGTATCTAGTAACCGGTGGTGCTTTATCAGCTCCATGGCCCTGTCCGCGTCCTGAAGTCGAATGTAGCAACGCAGAGCATCGCCGTAGTGGCCGCCTGCCAGATATAGTCTCGCGAGACCTTGCATAAGAGTGCGCCAATCGTCCGTTTCCGGTGTTACAGTTCCTGAATTGAGTTGCTCCTCAACAGCAGATGCCACGCTGTTGGCATCGAATAAGTCAAATGGCCACAAGTCCAATAGTTCACAGAACCGGCCTCGATCTCTTGAGACATAGTGAACCAAAGCGGTTTCGTAGACATTTGCAGGCAAGGGTGGGTGCAAGTCAGTAGGGATGACTAGAGAGATATCGTCTATCTTATCGTGTTTGAAAAACACCTGAACCCAATGTTCCCATCGAGATGTGTTTTGGAGGACCTTAACGCAAATCTTAGCGGCCTCGGCCCACTGATCTTCCTCGATCAGCTGGTCTATCCACAACTCGCCAACCCGGCGTTTCTCTTGATCGGCTGCAGAGGATATCGCGCGACCGGTTGTTGTGACAGAAGATTGGTCATCATCGAAAAACTCCCCAAGGCTGCTCTGAGACCTCGCAGGTGTGCCAGGAACGACGTCGCCTGTTTCAACGCCACTCGCGGCCTCGGGATGCTCGTCAAGGAGATTCCATGCTTCCTCGTATCTCTCATGCGCATCTAGCCACGCCAGTCGATCTGAGAGATCCCTTTTGAGCGCCGCTACACAGTCGTATGGGCTCTGAATGAGTATCTTCGGTCCAATGCTCCCAACGACATCCTGCACCTCTTTAGACAGCGATTCGTCAGTGGAAGGCCGCCGGGAGGAGAGGACACTAGGCGCCCTGATGGAGCCTTTATCACCACTGCTCGTGGAGCTGCGTATACTAGCACCCGAACTAAAAAATCGCGCGGGGTATAGAGTCGCGTCCCAGAGGCCAGTCCCTAACGCTTCTAGCGCGCCGCGCTGAGATACAGGGAGGTCTGCCTTCCACGGAGGAAGTACGCACATGTGGTAGTCAGACGAAGTGAGACTCTCGAAGCGGCTGATAGATAGAGTATCTGCGCTAAGCTCTTCTTTGGTCTCAATGTCGATTATGCGGAGTTCAGGCTCCTGTCCCCTTGGGCGGCGCCGTGTTCCTGGGCGAAGCACGCCATGTTTTGACCGCTCTTCTGACGCATCCACTTCAACTTCGATGTACGACAGAACAACCAGTCGGGTGGGCGTGTATAAAGAGATCCCCGATATAATACAATCGGTGCGTAGTCTAGACCATAGTCAGCGACTGGTTGGCAAGCAATTTGACATAGACAACTCACATTGTAGAAACCTCAACAGAACCGATCCTTTGGTTCCTGTTGATTTTGCTCGGCCGATATGGGTAAACCTTGATTACCCAAACAGTACCCCCCCAACCAACAACTAATTTCTCTACCACTTCCTCTGTGGTGACCGTTTGCGCCGGAGTGTGTTGGACATTGTCAGAAGCTTCGTCGGAGCTACTTCCATCCCAAAGCGAGCTTTCGTCGATCCATTCAGCATGGGCCTTCCAAACGCTAGCCATCTCTTCCCATCCGGGGCGATTCGGACGGTCTATGTGGCTAATGCGCTTCCAAGCCAACTCTTGATCGGACGAGTCCAGATGTAGGTGCGACCGCATAATTTTGATCCCTTCTTCGTTGACCCAAACAACATATTTGCCTGACAATGACCACTTGATGGTGCTGATAGCGCCTTCTCCGCTGTGCAATACGGTGTCTTTCCCTGTGTTGGCTCCTAGCCCTATAGAACCCAGCCAACTCGAAGCTGCTGCTGCTGCCCCACCCATTGTGGTAGAATTTGTACTCGCGCCCACTCGACCTCCCGTGGTGAGTATTAAGTCTCCTGCTCGCCCTCCGGACAAAAATACCCTATCACTCTTGTACTCCGGCGACAGTGCGACGCCTTGGACAGGTCGGCCAAAATTGCGCAAAATGACATCCTTAGGGTCAACAAGCGACGAGACGCAGACATTGCCGTCAATTGAGGACGTCGCTATGTATATCGAATTTGATGGTGTCGCTGGTATAGCTGTGTGGTGACCTGAGCGTGACAGACCACGGAGACTCGAGGCAGCGGATCCAGGTCGTGCAGGATACCCTTGCTGCTCGGGTATGTTCTGTACAGTGTCCGCTTTGGAAGTCGGTAGAGGAGGGGGGAATGGAGAGACTGAGACAGACGTGATGCTCGCAGTGTGTGCATGGTAAACTCGAAGAGGCTTGAATAGAGACAGCGATAGTACGTGCTAGAGGGGTCAGCAACCAGCAACTTCCATCCGAGATCCAAAAAGCTTACAATGTTCCCATTATGCGTTCCAATAATCTAGATCAATCATCAGCTCCGACAATGTCTGGAAGTCAGATAACACCATACCATTTTATCTGCCGCCGCAATGAAGGAGCTCGTTGCATCCCCATTGCGGTACACCGCTCCCAAATGTTTCGTCAGATACGCGTATTTCAAAAGTGGCTCTTCATCATCCTCCTCCTCCTCATCATCATCTTCATCTTCTTCACTTGTCGTCTCGGCTCCATTATCGCTATGTTGTTCTTCGTTCTCCTCGCGCTGGTCGTGCGTAGGACGATCAGATCGGTCGCGCCGAGGGCTGATTTCACTTGAGGAGCTTCGCCCAACAGAGGGTTCCTGGACCGGACTGTCCTGTCGAGAACTTCCCAGGGCCTCTGCTGCGCCAGGCGCATCCATAGTCAGAGAGCCTATTCCGTGGAATGGAATCGATCTCGAAATCGCCGCGAGGGGGTGAAAGGGAAGATGTCATCGGCCTGGCAGCTCATGGACCAGCTGGGGTAACTTACCCGATCAAGTAATCCCGGTGACTAAGCGCTTTTTTGCGGCATCCGCGGATTGTCGGGCATTTCGGTCTGGGCTCCAAAATACCGCATATTCATCAGCAAAATACCTGCTGGTCGACTGGCATGGGAACAGCACATTCTTCTTGATTGTCTGTCATCTCCTCCTTCGATTGGCATTTGTATAGCAAAATGTTCGCAAGACCGTACATCTGCACGGCGTGTAAACGGCCTACGACCACCAAGCTCCTAAAGCAACCCCGAAACCAATATCTCCATGCTTCGTCGCCACTAAACCTTCCTCGACGCAAAGATTTTTTCTCATCCAACGCGAATCTCAGTCAGAAACAGCCCAAGAATGGCGATGTGTCTGACGAGAGTGCGGAATCTCAGAAACAACGAAGGAGAACGGGGAGATCTCCAGCTGCATCGACATCACTACGGAGAGTAGCAGTGGAGGCACAAAGGTCGAAAGACGGGATATTGTCCAAGGCCCAGCTCCGAGAGCGAGGCGTATTTCAAACTAAGGTTTCATTGCCTGAGCTTAGTTCCCCACACCACCTACTAACTCTTACTGCAAGTCAATAACAGCGTACGCCGTTGCCGAACAATTTAACATTCGCAAAGTCCGCGACATTCTACAACACAAAGGCTTCGAACCGGATCCACTCGGAACTGGTCTATATCCACAGGTGGTTCATGTCCAAGTGCCTTCGGACTCGATTCGCCGCGTGAGTAACCCCGCGACGACAGATCTGTGTTCCGATGAAGTTGGCGATATATTCGTGTTCCCGTCCGGCACAGTTGTTGCCTGGTCGCTCCCTGAAGGATTCACGTCATTCTTGGCGACGAGGACCCTTCTCCCGGCTGCCGAGGGGGCTCACGTAGATTACCTAGAAACCGAGGATCTTGAATATGTCGAGGACCCACAACGAGAAAACAGCTACATCAAGGGCGACACCATCTTCCTGGGGACAAAGCCGACCTTTGATGGATATGAACTGCAGCCCACCACTCTTCAGTCTGTAGATACGGTGTTGACGAAGGTGGCATTCTCGTCCGGCTTAGCGCGGAGTACCAAGTTGGCCGTGCTGGAATCTCTGCTCTCCGATTATTTCGAGTCGACCAGAGCGATCCCGACCCTCCTGTCACAAGGGACCCGTCTTCCTTTTACTAGAGACTTCATTCTCCGCAAGACGGGCCAACTGCTCAGCGTGCGTGCTCAGTTGAACCTTTATTCGGAGCTCACCGACTCCCTGCCGGATATCTTCTGGGATAGCCGGCACGAGCTTGGCTTGGAAGGATATTACGAGCAAGTGGGCAGGGCGTTGGATGTTGGGATTCGCATCAAACTTTTGAACGAGAAGATGGACTACGCCCAGGAGATCGCGAGTGTCCTTCGCGAGAGGCTGAGCGAGACGCATGGACTTCGGCTCGAATGGATCATCATCCTGCTCATTGCCGTTGAGGTTGGATTCGAGATCTTAAGGATGATCAAAGAGAGAACCCAGGAGAAGGAAGAACAGGCGAAACGTGACGAGGAGAAAGTTGTATAGCATCATTACCCATCGCCTTGGATAGGCTGGTTTGGGCTTCAGGATACCCCCATTTATTGTTCTCCACTCAGATCTAGAATTGAATATAAATTCACAAGGGAATCAAGTTGTCTCCGTTCTATGCCATCTCTAGGCAGTACATGCAATAATCTCTTGACGAGTTCGACCGATTGGTTTACGAATACAGTATGAGTCTCGAACGTATGCACGGTGATGCTGACAAATTGGAGGGGCTTCTAACTATAACATTCGGATATCTTTCCTTTCCGCCCACTCTCCAAGGTAGTTCAAGAGTAAACCCAATGGATATATGACATAAATTGTCCCAAATCTTTACCGGCAATATAAATCCAAGTCGCAGCACTATCAAATTACTCAAAATCTTAAAAACGCAACCAACACAGCCATGCCAACCAACACCATTACAATCATCTTTTCGCCGTACCATGTTGGTCTACGAGATCACCGAGTGGGCAACGGACCTCACCGCATCCGATCGTTAGGGATTGTTCAAGAACTCGAGCGTCTGGGGATCACGATCGAGATAAACGAGATCGACCATGTGGATGACTACGAGGGAGAAATCGGCCGCAGTTTCGAGATCCTGCGTCGGATCTCCAAGGCAGTCGCAGAAGCAGTGTCCAAGAATACCTTCCCATTGGTCCTCGCGGGAAACTGCATGTCCAGCGCTGCAGTTGCCTGTGGTCTGGGCCGCAGAGATCTGTCTTTCATTTACTTCGACGCACACGACGACCTCGACTCGCCAGATGTTAACGAGAACGGTTATTTTGACGCCATGGGCCTATCCATGCTCCGCGGCGAAAGCTGGAAGACCCTGATGCGGACGGTCCCTGGTTTCAAGCCGTTCAGTTACGACAAATTTCTCTATTGCGGCCTGCGTGACCAGTCCGATATTCAGCGACAGCGTGTGATCGATGCAGGGATGAAATCGATTTGGGGAGAGACCTCGAGAAAGGTGGATTTTGCCGGAGAGCTCGCGTCGGAGCTAGCGAAGACGTCATATGATCCCGCTCTGGTGCATCTTGACCTCGATGTCTTGGACGGGTCGTATGGGAAAGTCAACGATTATCCGTCTCCAGGGGGGATGTTGGAATCCGACTTGATCAGCTGCATGGATATTGTGGGAAAGACTGCTGCGCCCAAATCACTCACCGTTTGTTCCTTTGATCCCAATGCTGGGGATGGTGATAAGATAGCACGAATTGCCATTCGGGCTATCAGTACTTTTTTCCAGACCCTGATAGCATCTGGGGGGTTATCCAAGCATTAACTAAAAGAGACTCGTTGAGTTAATAGCTGTGTATTATATGGAAAATAATGCCAGAAATGGATTTCAGACGTGCCAACACATTACGTAGGGCCCCTGGGTGGATCAGCCGATAAGCGATAAGATAGCCGATAAGCTTATCAGCTGACGCCTCCATGTGACGCCTGGTCACCGGTCATGGGATGTGGCAACTCATCGTGCCTGGACTGTCGGTTGTTCCTGCTTCTCCCATCATTGCTTGTTCTCTTCGGTACAATACTCGCTCTTACCATTCAATTTCTCAAGTACCGTTTTTTCAAACCGCGGAGACACACTATACCTTTTTCCCGTTGTTCAATATCGGCTTGGACGTCAACAACGCCATGTTGATCCCAACTAGCCGCAGTGACACCACTGCGAGCTCTCTACTCCAGCAGATCCCTGGGCCACAGCGGATCTTGAAAGCGTTCACAGGATCTTTGGGTATCTCGTCCCTCTCTGATCCAGGATCAAGCTCGACACCCGGATCGGAGGTTGCTGTTCCGAATACTTATCAGGAATGCCCCAATGCAGAGCTGAGCTGCCAATCCAAATACCAAGGCCAAAACACCTGCTGTTTCAATTACCCCGGGGGTCAGTTTCTGCAGACACAATTTTGGGATGCCGATCCTGCGGTTGGGCCGGACGATTCCTGGACGATCCACGGACTTTGGTAAGCCCTTTCTATACCACATGGTTTACCCGTGTCAAGGAACGATGGGATGGGCTGGTGTCAGAGGATCGCTGACGTTTCGCTCTTTGGTCTTCTTTAGGCCGGACCACTGCAACGGTGGCTTTGATCAGTTTTGCGACTCCAAAAGAAGATACAGTAATATCTCATTGATATTGGTCGACGCCGGACGCGGCGACCTACTTGATGAGATGCGCGAGTTCTGGAAAGACTACAAAGGCGACGATCCGAACTTGTGGGAACACGAGTGGAACAAACATGGCACTTGTGTCAGTACACTAGAGACCCATTGCTATTCCGACTACTTCCCGCAGCAGGAGGTGGTTGATTACTTCGACAAGACCGTAGAACTCTTCCACGGCTTGCCTTCGTATAAGGTTTGTCTCGCTACTAGCCTCGTCGCGTGGTATCTGCTCGAAATTTTATTATTAACAGCAAGCCCTTCCAGACCCTTGCCGATGCCGGCATCACCCCCTCGCACACGAAAACATACACTCGGGACGAAATTGAAGACGCCCTGTCACAGGCGCATGGCGCCGAGGTCACCGTGCGTTGCCGGAACCACAACCTCAACGAACTCTGGTACTACTTCAACGTCGCGGGTTCCTTACAAACAGGCAAATTCGTCTCTTCCAACCCAGGTATGTCTCTATTCTACCATCTACCCAATCCCAACAAGCCCAGCCGTCCGCTAATCATCCTCCCCACAGACGGCCAAACATCCAACTGCCCCCGTACAGGCATCCGCTATCAGCCCAAAACACCCGCAAAGCATCCCGAGCCCACCAAACCAGGAAAGCCAACAGAGCCGGCCCCAACGGGGACCCCCTTCGCCGGAAAAGGGTACCTCGCCGTCTCAACCCTCGGCCAACGCCGCGGCTGTGTAATCAGCCCAGGATCATGGTACACATCAGGAACGTGCGCCACATTCCGAACCAGAAAATCATCCGGTTCGTCATACCATTCCCACTCCCTTCCTCATCACACCCGAATTCAGATTCAAGTGTGAACATCAATCTTCCCAACTAAGAACTGACTAACTCACCGACCATACAGAAGACGCATTCACCCTACACTCCAGCAAAGGCGACTGCGCCTTTGAAGAAGACACCTTCACCTGCGGAAGCCACATCTCCACGCCTAGCGAATTCAGCGCCGACGGTGAAAAGCTCGCCTATCGCGGGAACTCGACTTTTTTCGCCGACAAGGCGCCCAAGGGCCCAGTGCGGAGTGAGATCTTTGCATCTGAGGAGGACCATCCTCTCCAGCTGAGCGTCTCGTGGAGTCCTCGGTAGGGCAATCAGCAATTTGCAGGGCATTTTGCATGGGCGTGCCTATCGGGTAGTTGCATGCATATAGTATAGTTACCAAGGATGATAGAAAGAGCTTTGATAGAGTTGAACTCCTCAAGCGAGAGTCCATCCAATGCATTTCATAGTAGAAGTACAAGACTAGATAGAGATTGATCACAGTTCCACATTATACCTTAGCATACCATACAGACACCAACAGAAAGCTTTATCATCGTTTTATAAGTCAGTGGATTTCTATCGCTAGCTAGAGTACAGGCCGTCGGGGCAACCAAGGAATTAAATGCATCCAAACCAAACCACGGGGTGGGAGAGAGATGCCATGCAGGAACCAATGAATGATTTTGGTACAATGTTCAAAAATCAAAAGGGGATAGGAAATGGAACGAAACATGGAAACAAACAAATAAGCACGTAAAGGGCATGAACATCATGAAGAGGACAAAGAAAACTCATAACAATCAGATCAGATCAATCATATCAGATTAGATCAGGAAAGAAAACAAAACAAAAGGGGCACAAAACAAAAAAGAAAGGATGGCCTGCAAAACTCCGTTGGTTTGGACAGAAATGTATGGGACAATGCTTTCTTTTCCCCCGCCCGCTCTGCAAAATGCCGATCAGTAGGTACAGGGAGTCGCTAAAGTAGAAAATTGTAGAACATGGTTGGTAAAACAGCGTTGGGAAAGGTAAACAATAGGAAAGATATTGCCCGAAAAAAAAATTGTCACATAAGTTTGTCATTCACAGCATTGAAAGTAAGGTAGTCGTTGAAATTTGTTGTCTTTGGTCGTGGAGATTCACATAGTTCTCGTGTCGTACAGTCTTGAAAGCATATAGTCGAGTCATATGCATGGGTCCAGTTCGCGTCGTTCTGAAGTCGTCAATTGAACCGGAGTCGTCGTGTCAAGTCATTGCATCGTTTAGTGTGGTCTTTTCTTTCGTTCTTCATGTTGCATTTCGTTTTTTACTTTATTTTCGTGGTTTTCGTTTGATCGTTCAGTCTTGCGTTGTCGTCGTGAAATGACAATTAAGTGTTTTTAGTCCATAAAGAATTCCCGCGACATAACGTCCGATGGTTGGTCGTCGACCTGGAATTGGAAAGAAAAGAAATCATCGCCCATGGGCGGAGCCGCCGAGAAGCCTTTTCCGGGGAAGAGGTCCAGTCCGCTATCGAACGAGGTGGGATTCACGTAATCGGGGAACGTTGCCATGCCAGAGTCGGTCATATCGGAGAACTCGGTCTTTCCAAAGGTCGTCGTGTCTTGGTTGATAAAGATATCAAGATCGGAGCCATTGGAATCACTCAGAGGAGGTGCCGGGTGGGGCGAAGACAAGGCTTGCACGGTCGAATTCGCCGCCTCGGTGTATGGGCACACTCCCTTGTCAGACAGGAAAGGCAAGCCTTCCTCGCTGATCTTCTCCAGGCCATGTTTGGATGGTGACAGGGGAAGGAGCTCGTCCTCCGTGGTGGGAGTGAGAGACCGCTGCAATCGACTGGGAGAGGATTTGTGACCGATGCTGTCCCTAGGGGATGCGGGAGGCGTGAAGGTGAAGACATCTGGAGGCAACGAATAGTCGGGGTTGCTGAACACTGGCATCTCTTGAGATGGGCTGGAACCGTGCAGGCTCATGTGCTCGAAGAAATCGGACGGCGGCGAGCTCCGGGACATGTCAGATGCGGAGGAGTCATAAGTCATCTTTTCGGCGATTCTCTGACGCGTCTTGGCTGATTTGTCTTGTCTGTCCTCCAGCTCAGGCCTGTGCTTCTTGGGACGGCCGCGTTTGGTGGTCTTGCGGACAATGCCCTTGTAGCCGCCAATGCACATGCCCCGCTGTCGGTGCCGGGTCAAGGCATCATGTCTCGCAAACACGTTCCCGCACAAGCATTCGTAAGGCTTGTCTCCAGTGTGGATTTTGGCGTGGCGCTTAAGGTCATGGCCACGAACGAAACACTTGTTGCAGTGGTCACACTTGTACTGACGGTCACCCAGATGGGTCTGGACATGGGACTTGATGTTTTCTTTCCTTCCAAACCGCCTTTCGCAGCCCGGGTGGAGGCACATCCATTTCCCATCCTCTGGGTCGGGGCCTTGGATGTACGCCGCGATCTCATCGATGGTGACACCAGTTTCCTTGATCGAGGCATGGACCCTGTCGTCGAGATTGAGATTGTCGATCGAGGCTGCCTTGGGGGAAAGCTTGGACTTGGAGGTAGAGGCACTCGATGACGTGCTCATAGCCTTCTTTGGGGTTGCACGGCTGGGCGTGGCTGGCAGGATTGGGACCTTTTGCGGCTTTTCATCGTCGGGAGGCAAGGGCATGGCGACCAGTTCTGGGGACGACATAAACGACGAGGCGACCGATGACGAGGCATAATGACTCCGGGACGAATTATCAGACATTGGAACTTCGAAACTAGAACCCTGCTGACAGTCAAATGCATCAAAACTCTCCACGTCAAACGACGCTGTGTTTGGGGGGGAAGGCATATCAATTCTAGGCTGAGAAAAGGATGTTCCGGCCACTCCTTGAAGCGACCTGGCACGCTGCATGTACGCGGCCTGGGCCGAGCTAGGGACAGAAAATCTCTGATGCTTGGTCGGACTTGGCTGCACATCGTATCGGGCAATATCCACTGACTTATTAAACGGTGTTGTTGCTGGTGTGATGGGAAGGTACTCTGGGGCTGCGATCAGCGGAAGGTTCCCTCATGTCGATAGCCTACGGCGACGGTGGACTTACCTGCGGGAGTCGGCTTCGGCGTATGCGGTTGTTGTGCGAGATTGAGGTCTGACTGCACAGAGAGCCGTCTCATATCGGCTGGAATGGCGTTGGGCTGTTGCTGCTGGAGGCCAGAAGCCATCATATCTTGTTGAAACATATCCCACGCGCCATGATCCAGAAATTGCTGGTCATTCATCGCACTACCACACGGAACTTTCGACTGCTGAAACTGTGGTTGTTGAAGCCCATTGAAGGTGTTGTTCACAGGGCGATCTTCGAGACCCTGGTCTCCCATCTTGACATAGGCAGGGTTCATGTAAGGCATTCTCGGTTGGTGCGTCGAGCCACTGCGGTTTGCGAATGCCTGGACTTGTTCTTGACTATAACTCGCGCATTCGGACATCACAGGCATGGGCTGATGCTGTTGCGGTACTGTTGTGTTAGTAATTGAAAGGGAACCATCTTGCACGGACTGCGGCCGCCGGTTATGTAGAGATCTCTGGTCGAAGCTCTGGCCTCTCCGGTGGGCATGGTATCGCTGCAATGCCTGCGCGGGGAGGCTGGGTGCTTTCGCGGCCTCAAGAGCAGAGGGAGTCGAGATCTGCCGTCGGTGTTGCCGGTGTCGCTCGTGGAGATTGCCGCGTGGCTGGGTTAACATGGTGGGTAGGATCTCCCGATCACTCGTCGCCAACTCGAAATCGGTTGCTATTTGTCGGATCTCTCGTCTGAATCTATGCAGTAACCCTGTAAGCTCTCTGCAAGGCCAATTGCAAATGCAAGTAACTATGATGTACGAACCTCGCGCAGCGCTAGCCGTCTGGCTTGGCCAAGATGGTATCGGACCGCCTGTAACCGTGTCAGTCTTGTATCCTCCTCAACAAGAGCACAAACCGGAAGAGAGAAAAAAAGAGGAGGCTAGAGGTAGGAGCGAGCCAGGCGCAAGGGAAGTAGAGTTAAAAGTCTAGATCCCAAGCGTTAGATCTCAAAATGTGAATCGACGGTTGCGACGAGGAGAGTGTATTGACGCAGTCGACGGAAGTTGGACGGTTACCCCCAACTATTTGTGGTGAGCTGAGAGAGGAGGAGCGGCTGAGATCGAGGAAGACTGGGTCAATATTTAGAGCAGATGAGAAAAGAGGGGGGGGGGAGGAGAGCGGATCTAGAGAAAGGCCCCAAAGTGGATGGAGGCGGATGAGGCTATCCCGATCTACTACCACCCACGGTTCAGATCAACAATCGGCGGGGTTGGCCCAGCAACGCGCGGGATCAGAGTCAGGCCGCCTAGGAAACCATGTCCGGGTAGGGTGGAGATCAGCCCGTCGTTACGCCCGGGTTCCCAGTTTTTGCCAGATATTTTTATTCTAGTCTTTTATTTTCATTTTTCTAAAACCACTAATCACACAAGGGGAAATCGACCGACCACCAAGGAGACCAACAAAAACCCCAGTGATCCGATCCCAAGCTAGCTGCAAGGAGCTCGTTCCCTTGGTTCCTCCCTTGTGGTCCAGACAAACAACCCTATCTGAGCCTCTCTCATCCCTATAAGTAGGTATTTATTTCCTCACAGATATCAATCTATGATCTATCACCCACCCTCGGTCCGGAGTACATAAACTCTCATGTACAAGGGACGGTACCTGCACCCTGTGAGGGCGGAAGGCATAATTACGCGTGGAAATCCCTTTCCCTACAATAGCCCGATAATAATTGACGCCAATCATTCCGTTCAAGCGACAACTCATCAGTGAGGCAGGCTGGCGGATGACAGGATCCGGTTTGATGTCAGTTACGTTAGTCGCTAGTCCAAGGATAGCTGCCTACCTAGTTACGTGCCTAGGCAGGAGGTAGGTAAGGTAGGTAGTCTATTATTGTGTGTCGTTTTAATTTTTTTTCAGCTCGGGTTGCTGCATATGCGTCATTGATTGGACGCTCCTCCTCGCCTGTTTCTAGAGCTGATCTTTTAGAGCTGATCCGATCAGGGCCCATAGTCAACCGGATAGTAGACGACTAGCTCTGAGCAAGGACCAGCCGATGATGTAAATGTAAACAAACACACAGATCGGGGATCGAATCGAAACCGGATCGATGGATGACTAATCTCCACTGGTCCTAGCGAGTGAACGGATCACATGATGCATATTCGGAGCCGGAATATTAAATAACCGAGGCAAACCCACACTAGCCGAAAGCGGTAATATTTAAAACCACGTGATCACACAACCGATTTTAACGACCCAAAGCCCTCCACACAGCCAACCTTCTTCTTTCCACGATCCGCATGAAGGTTGAGGAAGACAAGTCTGTCTAGGTAAGCGCTTCTCCCCCTAGTAGGATGAAGATGCGGTGCACGGTAATGGAAAGCCATCTCATCTGAATCTCCTCGTTCCTCAATTTACACAGTCGCGCCGCTGTCCAGCCCCGCGCACTGAAAATTGAGACAACCGCAGGAAGAGGAAGATTGAAGATTTTGCGAACCCCGCCTGCACCGCACAAATCCAACCCAAACCAAACAACACCAAGACTGGAACACTCTCTAACATACGAAATGTATAGGCCTTCTTCAGTATGCAGATCTTCGTGAAGACCCTCACGGGCAAGACTATCACCCTTGAGGTGGAGTCGTCCGACACCATTGACAATGTGAAGTCCAAGATCCAGGGTATGTCTTCATCAACTTCCTCCCATCAATTCGGACAACAGTCTAATATGAAACAGACAAGGAGGGTATCCCCCCCGATCAGCAGCGTCTGATCTTCGCTGGTAAGCAGCTCGAGGACGGCCGTACCCTCTCGGACTACAACATCCAGAAGGAGTCGACCCTGCACCTCGTGCTGCGCCTGCGTGGTGGCGGCAAGAAGCGCAAGAAGAAGGTCTACACCACCCCCAAGAAGATCAAGCACAAGCACAAGAAGACCAAGCTCGCCGTCCTCAAGTACTACAAGGTCGACGGTGATGGCAAGATCGAGCGTCTGCGCCGCGAGTGCCCCTCGCCCGAGGTATGTTTTTTTCTGAAAAATCTTTTTTCCCTTTCCCTCGGATCCAGGCTAATGGTTTTTAGTGCGGTGCCGGTATCTTCATGGCCGCTATGCACAACCGCCAGTACTGCGGCAAGTGCCACCTTACCTACGTCTTCGACGAGTCCAAATAAACGGATCGTCGCTGATGCTAGCGTGAGGGTCTTGGAACGTGCCGACTCGATCGTTCTCTGATAAATAGCCTTGATAGTACAAGAATCTAAAAAATTCAAATCAATACCCCAAAACACCATTGCCAGTAGAAGTAACATGTAACGATCGTATTCATTCTGCCCATAAAGAACGTAAAGACAAGAAAAGAATAAAGTCCTATGCAAGCGCGCGGGTATCGTAGTCCAGCGGGATAATCTCTATTTGAACCCAGTCCGCAGGTTGTCGTACTTGCTGTCGGGGTAGTCGAGCGCGTTGGCCGACTGGTCCAGGGCGGACGGTCCTCCAACACCCTCAACAAAGGTTCCAATCAGACTGCCGTCGGCCTTGTTGGCCGCTTTGCCCCCCTTGTCGCCGCTTGTTTCCCACCACATACCGCCACCAAGCTGGTGCTGCTTAATGAAATCCACTTTCATTTCACCCATGGCCACGTTATCGTAGGAGACCATCGTGCGATCGCTTCCGTTGTAGCACCATGACGCTCCAACATTGTGGTCGATGGATTCCGTGGCTCCTGGTCGGGGAAGGGCCTTGTAATCCCAGACACCATTTTCCCAGCTACCCTCGCCCACGCCATTGAACGGCGTACCGGGTCCGTCGGTGTTGGTGAAGGCGCGTCCATACAAGGGCATTCCAAGGATGATCTTCGAAGCAGGAACCTGGCCCTCCTGCGTGTAGTAGTTGACCGCCTGGATGGTCGAGAAAGGTGTCGAGGCCGGTTTGTCGCTCGAGGGGTAGAGGTTTGCCTGGTGCCCAGCATTGGTGTCCCAGCTACCAGCATAATCATAAGCCATCAGGTTGTAAAAGTCGAGGTAAGGGGTCATTTGGGGAAGCTTGAGCTTCTTGTAATTGTCCGGGCCTGTATGCGGTTAACGAGGTCCATGTAGCGGATATCTGCCGTCAAGTATAACCTACCAGCCGGACAAGCAATGGTCAGAAGGAACTTCCGGTTCGCCCCAGCTGCCGCATCCAAAGTCTAATTCGTTAGCAGACGGTACCCAATTTACCATGTATGCATACATGTATGCATCGGTCAGAATTATAAGGATCAGGCACTCACTTCACGACACCTCTGGAGCAGCAAGACGAAGTTCTGGGCCTCGGTTTCGTCTACCTCGCTGTCAGTTTTGCGCTTGCCTGTCATGGACATGTTGGCAACTCACCCTTGGGATACTCCCAATCAACGTCGAATCCTGTCTACCAGTCAGCATTGGCCCCAATTAGATAGTCATGGGGTCACCTACCATCAAAACCAAGATCCGTCACCAGCTTGGTGGCGGATTGAGCAAAGTTGGTCCGGCCAGCATCGGTGCTAGCCGCCTGGGCGAAGTTGGGGGAGTAGGTCCAGCCTCCAATGGAAAGCAGGACCTTCAGCTTCCGATTCTGCTGCTTGAGCAGGAAGAACTGCTTGACGCAGCCGTACACATTGGTGCCAACGTCGTTCCATGAGTCCGAGGGGTAGTGCTTCTCGATGTCGGACCAGCTGTCGGTCATGTAGCTGCTTCGGATTAGATTGACATCATTAAGATGGGATGGAAGTAGCACGTACACTTCGCCAGATTCGGGTCGAACATTGGCAAACGCATAGAGGACATGGGTGAGCTTGTCAGCGGGTACATCCTGGGGATCATGCTTGCGGCCATAGATTGCCTAGTGATGTTAGCCCCGCTATTTACCGACCTCTGGGGCAATAATAGAAGATGGATCATTGTTGCTGCAAGAGAAGAAAGAACTCACCCAATTGACAAAATAAGCAACAGACTTCATTTCCGACATTGTTACTGGAGGAGGGTCCTGAAGAACTGCTTCTGTGCTGCTCGGATGAAGAGGGATCAGATATGAATTGTTATCGTATACAAAGTAGCGAATAGCAAAGATGGAAAAGAGCGTGAATATTAAAGTCGAAAAGAGATATCGAGAGCAGGCCATGGGCGCATATAAATAGAACTCACCACGACGAAGGAGCTAAGGAAGTGGATTGGAATATGCTGCAGCCTGGTAGAGCCTGCCATTATTATAAATTAGTTCGCCCATGCTGGCTCAACTAGTGAAGACGCTTGAAACAGGAAATGGAAACTATGATGGGCCTCAGGTGTCATACCGGAAGTCACGATTGGCTGGGCTGGCGTGTGGCGGTGCTCTGTGGAGAAGCTATTGCTGATTAAGGTGGAAGCTGTGGCTGTGCGGTGAAAACTAAGATGCCTGAGGTGTTCAAGTCGGGGAAGATCGACGGATCTGACAGAAGGGGACATGCCTCCTTCATATACCCCCCTCCAGCGTGCCTGGTGCTCAATACTCTCGATAGTGCTCTATACCAGGTGGTCGATATACGGTACGGACACGGACAATATCGGTGGCGTAGTCATCTCCTGTCTGACCCTATTCGAAACTTCGATGTTCCTGGTTATCGTGTCCGGGTGACTTTGCCATGCCTATTGGTTCTGCTAGGCGAACGTTGGAGACTGCCACGTTGGACGCAACCCTCAGGGTGGGCTAGCTTAAGCCCCGAAATTTAACCCGTTCTCATCTGATACGTTTTACGGTTCCTGTCGGCTTGTGACGCGTGACTGGCAGGGAGGGAACAGTTCCTTGGTCCGGGTCGCATGGCTACTATATCCGTCCAGTGCCCCTGCCTATCCCCGAGCTTCCTGGAGGTATGCTAACTCGGCTGATACCTTGTGCCCTTGGTCAGTCCGGCTGTTGACACATCATGGGGGGTGCTTTGGGTTGCACTTCGCCGAACCACGATGACGCTGGGTAACATCAGCGGAGACCCGCGTGGGTTCCTGGAATCGGACCGACTGGGCGGGGAGGTCATCCGGTAAGACAATTTAAGGTTATGGTTTGTCGGGGTTGGTGAATTGCGATAGCGGTGTAGAGAGTAAGCAGCAGGAATGTGGACGTCACGGTAGTAGAACTGTACATGACCTGGTCGTGCGGCATTCCTCAAACTTCAGCCAGGCCAGATGAGCTCCAATGTCATTGCTCCGACAGATTGTCGTAATCCGTAACGGCCACTGAGTAGCGACTTTTCGGGCTCCAGGCATTGCCCCATTCCACGGACAGGAAATCAGGGATGTGAGCCCCGCTGGGGCGAATTGACAGACACAGGCAGACGCGTATCTCATGGGAGATTGGGCTTGATAGCACAGGACAGAGCATACATGATCCCCACTCCTCAGTGTTTCCTATCCATGCCTATGAGGCTGAGGGAATGTGCTCAAACGGTCCTTGCAATTGCCACGAGGGGTACGCGTGGAAGGCGACCCTGCTCGCCACTAGCTAGTGGCAGCCCGACCATGATCTCCACCAGCACAGTAGGGTCAACCAGCCACTCGATAGCTGAGGACATGGGGAATCCATATATCTAGGTAATCTAGTCAGATATCCACCTGTGAACCGTGTTGACTTATAAGTACCTCGTCCATTCGTCTTTATCAGATTAGACACCCTAGGTTTATGTTCTTCATCGTTGTCCAAGGCTCTCGTAGGCTTGTCTTCAGCAAGCTTTTTTTCTCATCTAACACAAATGACTCTTCCATCATGGTATGTCCAGCCCTAATCTCCAGTGCAGCTAAGGACATGATACGTGACCGGCTGCTAATCTAAGAAAAGCAGGTCAGTCTTTATCCATACTTGACCAGAAACAGGGGATTACTCAACAAATTCACCCTCAAGACCATAAAAGAACAACATATACCAAGACATGGCTGGTATCGCACTATGGAACACTTTCATAGTTGCAAGGTTTCGTTCAACAAATACGATAGGGGACCTATGAGACCTCGAGAGCGGCATACAACCCATTCCTATCACCAGTTCGGGGGGATTTATCCCAACACCCGGTTACTGATTCTAGCTAACAGAGAGTAGTAGTCGTGGTACTGTTGACTCGGACCACTGCAAGTTGCTAACCGACTTAGTATCCGCCAACACACAAGCCACGACCTAGCCACCGTACTATCTAGCGCCACGGTGTCAATAATTCCAGGCCATCACGGAATAGAATAGGTCACAATTCAATACTCCTGATAATCCGATATGAATTAAAAAAAAGAATTAGAAAGAAAATAGCTCCCATTACCCCAGGAAGAAGGATCGAAACGTTTCCAAACCATTCTGAACCCTCAACACATCCCAGCTGAAACCCCTTCCCAGCGCAGTCCCCGATTGGCCCAACGCCCATTAAACTACTGCAGGGCACTCTAAGAATAATCAACCAGTGCCGGCATGCGGTTAAGTACCACCCCACTGTCGAGTCAAAGAAAATAAAATCAAAATAAAATAAAGAAAGGACAAAATTTTTAACAGAGAAAAAAGTGGAGCGCGCCACGTTCTGTCGTTGGGGGGGGCTTTCAGCTGGGATGTGCTCGCGCTTCTCTGCCCTATACGGTAACTATCGTCCACACCCCCCTGTACTGCATGGCCATGACTCCATGCAGCGGAAAACGGGACCGCCGTTGTATCGGGATGCCCGATCGTCTTTGGGATTGTTATTGGGTGGGGAGTGGGGGTTCTTGTCGCCAATTGTCGTCTTTCGATTTGCTTTCTTTTTTTCTTTTTCTTTTGTCTCTGGTTTTCATGCTAACCCTCCCCCCCACCATTCAGCACGATGTAGGAAAAACTCGTCAACTATGAGGGACTGGAGTAGGGACTTTGTAGCTGATCGGACTTTATTCTGTGTCATAGAGTTGGATCCACAGGTAGATTGGCGCCAGCTCGACCGTTAGTTCGTCTCAGGTTGATGGGCGGTTACAGCAGTCGGTGGCATCATGGCATCCGTTGTCCATGTTGTAGCTTTGTCAAAGGTAACAAGAAAAATACTAACTATGATGGAAGGGATGATTTGGACAAGATAGAAATGAGGATAATATTGACATAGAGTGATTATTTTGATATGAAGTTCACGGGAAATATCAAATTGGTCTCTGTACGGGGCGGAGTATTGTTAACAGTATAAATCATATCTACAAGTAGTATACCAAATCAAAAACAGGGTCTATTAGCATTATGCAAGCTTAATCATCAATGTAATTTCATTTAATCGGCTATAGAAAATCTGTAAACAATCTGTAATAGAGACCAAGTCTGGATTCTTGTCCGAAATATATATGTCTGACTGGGACAGACTGTTGTGTACAAAACCCGAGATCAACAAACAATGCAAGTAGATGCAAATAAACATCGATACAACACAAAAGAGATAGAAAAACATCAACGGAAGTAAAAAAATAAAGAAACAATCTCAAACATCTCTCGTAACAATCAGTCAATCACTCTTGGGATATCTCATAACCATCAACATCAACATCAACCATCACAGCATCAAAATAGTGCAGGACATCAACATAAGGAAGACTACTTTTGGAACCCCCTGTCATGCTGTATAAACCGAAACAAAAAGAGGAGAAGAAAGGAAGTAGCTCAGCGCCTGCGCTGGCGTGGAAGGCACCTCTGCCGTCCAAATTAATCGTATCAAAGTCACCCCGAGGGGAGAGAAAAGGAAGAGAGAAGGAAGAGGATAGTTCCGTCTCTCCCATATAACACAGCCATTCAAAAAAACGGATGACAATCACGAATGAGCCTGAATCCATCCGAGAATGTCAGACAGAGACGGATCATCATCAAGCCAGTGGCCTGCACGCGAATCAGCAGCGCGCAGGTCTGCAACAACATGCTGGTCTGTCACTTGCGCCAGTTCCTGTTTCACACTCGCAATCAGAACGGATCTCATTAAGTTAATGGGCATAGGAAGGGAACCAACTTCGGCCAGTGTATTGCTAACCGCTTTGAGTTGCGGTGCGTGCACCGGAGCCGGACGCCCTCCGCGAAGTAGATTATCCCGGTTAATAGCCCAGCGTCTGGCGGCAGCGGCGCGGAGGTAGAAGCGATGAGCCTGGAAACGTCTTGCGCTGGCATCGAGGATGACCCTATACGCGAAATCGTCTTGTCAGATAATGAAAGGGAATGGGGAGAGAGAACAAGGAGGACAGGGTACGGACCGCTGTAGTTCAAGCTTTTCGGTTTCGTCGCTGCTCGAGCAGGCTGGCGGGATCGCAGGGCTATAGTTGGAGTTGAGCAATGCCTGGGCTCCGCCCAGGGAGTCCCGGATCACGACGTAGCCTTCCTCCCAGTAGTCTTCGGCTGGGACTTGGACGTTCTGCTGCGAGATGTGGAGGAGAAGTGTGCGGTAGTCGTTGAGGATCTCGGCTAGTCGCAAGGCACGTGCCTGGTTCACTATCAGGTGAGTCAGTATACCGTCTTTCTTCTCCCGCTGGGGACGACGATGTCACTTACATCCGTCAGACATGATGGTATAGTATATCGACCACGTTCTTAGTGATTTTTGGTAGTGAACAAGGTTGAAGACGAGGCTAGCGCACGGACACTATAGCAAGGCAATTGGGTATAACAGAAAGACAAGGTAAGATCTAAGTCAATTGGAATGAGCGGACTGTTTCATCTATAGTCTCATTCTCAGAATCGAGGGCGAGATGACCCTTTTTTTAAGCTCAATCGACCATGGTCCCCTACCCAAAACTATGAGTCGCCGAGCTCCGTGAAAGAAAGATCATCGTCCGTCGTGGCTGGCTGTACCGATAGAAGCTGCCGAGGATGGAGACCATCGAGGACATCGCAGCTGGACAGGGACCGTGACGTGTGGATCTGGACTACAGCCAGGAGACCCAGCGACAACCATGTGTCCCAACTGACTCTGTTGCATGTTCCCGGTTAAACGAATGGAGAAAGGGCTGGGATCTAAGCGTGGAAACTAAGCAGCTGGAGAGAGGGATCAGTGGGTAAACGGGGTCCGCATGTGCAGCGGCGGAGACTCCATCTGCAGCCTTTTTCTTTTCTTTTTCCCATCTTATTTTATGCTTTGATTATTTTGATTTTTTAATTTACGGAAGCAGCCAGAAAGAAAGATCCGAGGTCGACGATCAATTGGGGGCTGAGAGACCAACAAAAAAAAAAAAAGGAAAGGCGAAACCGAGAAACAATCCAGCCCATACTCCACAGTCATAGCATCGCAACAAATTCAAACGAGAAGCCGAAGCCGAAAGGAACGGAGAGGAGGCTTCAGGTGTCATTGTTCCGCGCCAACGGAATTGCATCCACTCCGAATGGATACCTCCTTTGCGTTGGATCTTGCAGTTCCCCGTCACGGTGGAGTCTACATGGATCCTGCACTAACGGAAAGTTAGATAAGTGTCTGGGCATGTTCACAGCCGCCAGCTGGACTCTCGCCACAGTAGACTAGATGGGTCACTAGTAGGAATGTACGGGGGAATAGATCAAAAAGGATAGAATTGATCCGTCAATTGCAGGAGAAAGAAAACAAGCTAGATGTATTGATTTGACCTTCAATTGGAGTATGTGGGATAGAGAAAAAAACAAAAACAGGAACTATATATAAAATAGATCGTGAAAAAAAAAGAGTATTCAAGCCACATCTTGCAGCTGCGCCACACTCACAGCTCAGCCCAAGCTGAAACGGGAAAAGCAACATCGGCCTCAGGCCCTAGTAGCTAGTACCCCATCAACCAGTATATCTTTTCACGTAAATCAGTTCGATCGGGGGAAAAACTCACGCTCCAATGGCTTAATATCTCGGTGGCGATTTTCCATCCGATTGATCATCGTCATCGTTCAGATCGGCTTAATTTATTTCCACCCTACTCGATTCAGAAAGTGCTCTCCCTGTCCCCTAGCCCCGGGTCATTGGGACCGCGCGATTCGTCCGGCTTCATCTGCAAGGGCATCTATTTTCAAGTCTGCAATCCTGGAAGAAGTGCACCAGCTAGGTACTATGCGAGGGTTTGATCTTTTCTTTTTCTCTTTCGCATTTGATATTTCAGATTATTTCCATTATTTGCATGTCCTTTCTATTTCTCGGATTAGATTAGCTTCGCACGAATCGAGAGCTTGGAACTTGCAGGTGGGGTTGGCTGGCAGTATGCTCCTCTTTCCTAACTTCCTAGGCTGTGCGGTCATGTAAACGGACGGCCTGTCATATCTCGATCACGGTCCGAGGTCGTTTTTTTATTCATGTTGCCACTGATGTTGTGGGGTAGAGATGAATCACCGCGGACTTGGCCCTCGTGCGTCAAGCTCTACGTGAGACGGACGGCTATGTCGGAGGCGAATACCCCAGGATAAAAATAAATCTAACCTCAGACGCAGATATAGAAACAGAAAGAAAAAGAAGAAGAAAGAAAGAATGGGAAATAAAAACCGATCCAGCAATTATCATCCCCGGTGAAAACCGAAGGAGGCAAGTGATGTTCATAGGTTATCTGCGTCTAGACAGCCATGCGACTGCGTTACTCCAATCATCAATTCAAATCAAATTCCTCAATCCCCGCACCTCGTTTCCCTCAATCCTTCTCGCTAATAGCCTGCAACCGTTCGTCGATCTCTTCCTCCGTTAGGGCTCGGAAACCAGGATCTCTCCCTTCCTGGCCGTCCTTTCGCGGGCCCCCGGCAATACCAATCTCCAGTTCGTGTTTCTTGAAATCGACGCTGAGCACGGTGCTCAGGGCGGTGATCCCCAGCTCCACCACTTCCTCCCAGCTGCCCTCGGCACAGTCCTTGTTCTTCAGCTTCTTCTCCAGGTGGTTGAGCGCCTCCTGCTGCTTGGGACCCGCCGCGGTGCCCTTGTATCCGACGTAGTAGCCAGCGGGGTCGCACTTGTAGAGTTGCGGGCCCTTCTCGTCATCGACAGAGATCAGAGTCGTGGCAACGCCTAGCGGACGCATGTAGGCCTGGGGAGACGGTTACATCAGTACGCAGTTCCAACCAACGCAACCGATCATTCAAATCGTCGCTCATATCATCCTCAGCAAGGGGAACATACCCTCTGGGTGTAAACCTGGTTGATATTGGCAATTCGCTTGGCCAGAACATCGCACGGCATCTCGTACCCATACTTGTATCGGAACTCGGCCGCCTCACCACGAGCGCGGTCGACGCTGGCTCTGGCATCCGCTATGGAACCGGTCATGACGCATCCCACCGAGGGAGACAGTCGAAAGACGTGGGATACAGACGACGGGTCGATCAGTTTATCCTAGATGGGGATTTGCGAGGTCAGACCGGCCACAGAGTGGGGAGAGGGGGTTGGTAGTGAGTCGCCGGGCTATGCTTACAGCGACTTTCTTCTGCGACAGAACAACGGCGCAGTCTTTCCCCCTGATGCCCATCGAGGTGATATTTGCCGAAGTGATGGCCTTGAACGCATATTCTATCCGTCACACACATTGCGTCAGTTGGTTGCCGTGTAGAGCATGATGCCCGAATCCAAGGCTAGGCAAAGTATCGTGGTGGTTCTGTTCTCCGGGGGGGCTCCTTACCGACTTGGTACAGACGTCCTTGGTCCGAGAAGATCGTAATATGTCTATCGTAGCCTGTTGTTGTCCGCGGGGTGTTAGTCTATGATAAGGTCATGGCAATCGGGCCGTCAGGATGGGAGGATACGCACCGGACATGTTGGCGGCAATGGAGAGTGATCCGCTGGGAAAAGATAACTATCAAGTAGAAAATAACAACAGTCACAACGGAGGAGGTATGATGCGGAAAATAGAGGATTGGGAGTGGGAGATGAAGTGAGGTTCAAGAGGACGCGTGCTAGAGGATGCCTGGCCGAAGCTCCAGACTGTAGTGAGAGGTCCACCACTTGAGCTCTCGGGCCCCAATTGAGTAAGCTCCGTCACCGCCTTTCATCATTCATCTACATCAGCCTGAACATGTCGATTTAACAGCTACAGTCTTTATATACCATGAATTTTACTTTTATAATGATTTCAGCAAGTTCTACTAAAATTTCCAATCCCAAGTTCAATCTTGTAGGATAGTGAATAATCTTAACTGTGACTTTGGACTTTATCATCAATGCTTCTATCAACCCGGTGGAGCATAGAACTATCATCATCTTCTATGTAAACGCCTTTCAATGCCCAGACATGATATCAACTTTTCACCGGAGCCTGTAAAATATGACGCTGCGCCCTTAATATGTATAAAATAAGACCGAGCGCAGCTGTTGAAGGAAAGAAAGGGCGTATATGAAGGTAGACCCTCTCGAGAGGGCCAGGTCTATGATGAGTCGCTCGAACTTGAGCTATCCGAGTCACTGTCGCTGCTTGATTCTGACGAGCTAGGGGCTTGTCGCGACTTGCTCTTGCTCTTGGCTGTGGCTGCAGCCTTGGCCTTGGTGGGCTTGTCGTCGTCGCTGTCGCTGTCGCTGCTGGAACTCTCGCTTTCACTGCTACTCGAGATCTCCACAATGACAGTCCTGTTCTTCTTCTTCTTCTTGCCAGGCTGAGCGGCATCCTGCGCCTGCTTCAATTTGGGTTTCGGCTTCTCGTACAGCTTCCCATCAAAAGCGAAGACCATGAGTTCTGCCCGCTGTCTCTTCTCGAGCTGCTTCAGCAGATCTCCCTCCAGTGGCTCCGGAGACTCGGTCTTATCCAAATTCTCCTTCCCCTCCAGCAAACGCGCCCGGAAAGCCGCCACAGCTTTGTCGTAGCTCGACAAAGGCTTATCCGCATCCTCCTCGGCATTGTCCGCGTCGCCTTCAGAAGAAGCTTGTGCCTTGTCCATCTCCGCCCGGATGACATCCTCGGCAACCTGGCGCAGACGCATCTTGGCCCCCTCGCTCTTCAGCCCCTGGAGATAAGCCAGCAGCGCAGCGTTGTAAGCAGTGGGCACGTGTTCCAGCGCCAAAACATGCTTGAAGAGGTTCGTCTCGCGGTTCTTCTGGAACTTCCACTCTGCCCGATGGCGGTAGTAGAAACTGAGATAGGAGAGGACGGGGCCTTCGTGCGTGGTCTGCGCCTTGGGCGCGCCAGCTGCGCTTTGCACACCTGATTTATCCTTATTCTTCTTCTTCTCCTTCTTGGGCTTTTTCTTTTGCTCGGATCCGTCTTGCTTCGCGGGAGTATCGGGTGCGGCCTTCTTATCGGCGTCGGCGTCGTCTTCGGTGTCCGCGTCGTTCATGCGATCATCCTCGTCTGCTTGTTGCTCGACCTGCGCCGGGGCGGCAGACTCATTCTGCTCATCCTTGTGTTTCTTGTCCTTTTTCTCCTTTTTCTCCTTTTTCTCCTTCTTTTCCTTCTTCTCTTTCTTCTCCATCTTCTCCGTCTTCTTCTTCTCCTTCTTCTCCTTCTTCTCCGTCTCCCCGTCGTCCTCCTTATCTTTCTTCTCTTTCTTATCCTTCTTGTTCTCCTTATCTTTCTTCTCCTTCTTCTCCTTTTTGTCCTTCTTATCCTTCTTCTGCTTCTTCAAATGCACCTCCTCATCCTGTCCCTCCCCAGTCTCCCCCTCCCCATCAAGCTTCCGCTTCTTAGGTTTCACATCATCCGTCTCCTGCTCCATGTTTGTCTCCTCCGTAGACTCCTTAGCGTACTTCAGCTTCAGCCCCAGCTTCTTCCAGGCCGGCACAGGCGCCGCCCGCGAAGAGTCTTCGCCCGCCATGTGAGAAGCAGAGATCGTTTCGTCCGTTTTCGTCGCGGGAATAGAATCCGTTCAGGTGGGATTCGCGCGGTCTCTAAACGATTGTAGACTGTTCAAGAGACCGTGTAGGGCGAGTATTTCAATTGTTGGGTAATCGGGTAGTTTGTGTTTGTTTTGAGGTGGGATTGTATGGTGAACTGAACTGATCTGATCTAATTTACTTTTTTATTTTTCTTTTCTTTTTTTTTTCTGCCGGGATGGGGAAAATTTCCACAGCAGGAGCGGCGGGCGGAGCTTGCTAGGTTGGCGCGGGCGGTGTGGGATTGTTATTATTATTTATTTATTTTTTGTATTTGCTTTGTAGATCTTGTCGTTCGCACCTACATGGTATAATTATAAGTGGCATAAACCTAGTTTATTAGATAGATTGTACAGAGTTATTGTCTATCTTCTTTACATAGCTATAACTATCTATGAGAATAACATGAATCATCATCATGCCCACCCACCCAACCTTCCCAGCCTATTCACCATGACTCCGTAACAAACGACAAATCTCAATCCAAATGAAATGCAGGGCTCCTCAATCAATTCGAGAGAGAAAAGAAACAAAAATTTACCAGGGAATAAAATAGAAAGTCCGAGCGGGGAGGAAAACAACCGAAGTAAACCGGAGAAACCGTTCTACCCACTGCTTGCATTTCCAACATCAACCGCACCGACATCCCTCTTCTCCCTCTTTGTCTCTGGCTGCGCATTGCCGTGGCTGTCGCTGGCATCGGCGGACGCTCCAGCAGCAGCAGCAGCCGCCTTGCGACGAGCTCGTTCCTTTTCTCGCGAGCTGGCTCCGACAGTGCGTCGTCTGCGGACTGGTTCGTAGACGTCGTTGAAGTTCATGACTACGCCGAGGAAGCGCATGTCGAGGTCGGGTTGGTAGGCTAGGTCGCCGAGGAGGATGTTGAGTCTGGAGCGGAATTCCGCGGACAGATCGCGGAGGCGGACGCGCAGGGACGAGAGCATGTGGTCGTCTGCTGAGAGGTCGTGGTGGGCGAGGGAGGACGGCGTGTCCATGCCATCGTTGCCGCCGGGGCGGCTGGCTAGATTGGGGGTCGAAATGGAAGACGATGCGGTGCGTCGGGAGGAGAGCAGGTCGCGCTCTGTGAGGCCCCAGCGGCCTTGGGCGGTGCGGGTCTCGATCTTGGCGCTGACTTCCTGTCGGCGGGTGAATTCCGCGACGGAGAAGGAGTACAGCCCGTCGACGGCGTCTTTGTAGGAGAGCATGATCTTGAGGATCGTGTGGAGTTGGGTGAGGAAGCTGTCTTCTCTGTTTGTGGAGGCCGTCTTGGATGACGACGTCGAGCCTAGGAGGCCCTTGTGCGTGATGGAGTCGAGGTAGATGGTGTGCGCTTCGATGAGGTCGTCGAGTGTACAACCGGGCTTGGAGACGGACGCTTGCAGTTGGTCCCAGCTGGACTCGATGACTTCGAAGAGGATGTAGTACTGCAGCTGGTTGACGAAGTGGATCATTTCGGCGATGGCGCACCGCGCGCGCTTCCAGTCGTAGCCGACTTTGTCGTCGACGCTGCCGAGGACGCCTCGCGCGCCGGTCATGCATCGGCGCCAGGTGCTTCCGAGTGCGAATTCGACGCGTTTCACGCGCCAGAGGAAGTTGAATACCTTGAGGTACTGTGTGGAGCCCCATGGCGTGATCACGACGTCGACGGGGGCGTCGATCTTGTACTCTAGAGTGAAGCAGTCCCATCCGATCTCGCCGTGGCTGAGCTCGAGCATGCGCGCGTCCAGGCGACGGAGGACGTCCGGTGGGTCGTACTGCGCGTTCGAGGCTCGGATCGCGTGTTCTAGCTGCGCGGTCAGAGTGTGTCGATATTGTGAATTGGCCGGGCGATCGAGGTTCGAGGCCAGTGACTCCATGAGCAAGGCTATGAAATCGCCTTGTCCGAGTAGTAGGTATTTCTTCAGAGCCCGCAGGTGGTCGAACAGCTTGAACTTGTCGTCCATGAGGTAGATCAGTCGCGCCATTGTGGTCTTGTAGGCTTCGTCGATTGAAGTCTCCAAACTGGCCGTATCGCCGTACCGCAGCTCCTTGGAGGCTTCTTTGGAGTATGCTTCGACCCAGCCTGAGTCGCCGCAGCCGTATCGGATGAAGTTCAGGGACTTCCCGATAAGGAAGATCTTCTTCGCAAACTCTTGGGTGATGATCGACGGCACCATGTCATCATCCAGCTTGTACTTGTCTTCCCACACGCTCGTCGCAATGCGCCGCGGATCAGTGCTCGGTCTGAACTCTGGCTCGAAGACGAAGAATTCTTTATAAGGATCCGAGAGCTCTCCATCGTAGATCCACAGCCGCAGCATATCGTAGAAAGGCCGTGTAACCTGCGCAAGGATTTTCTCCGCAAATGCACAAACAAACGGATCTCCATGAGAAGTTGAAAACCCATGGATGAGGGAGATCAATTGGCCACCTTTTCTATCTATAGAGTCATCAGTACTGAGGGATCATCATCGGAAAAGCATAAACGGCACATACTATTACTTTGAGCTTCCTCCACAATCAAGCTCATCAATCGCAAGGCCATGGTCGCGTCTCTAGTCCATACCACGCACCGCTTCAACGTCACTCCGCTTTTGAACGCACTCTGGGCATCGTCGGACTCGCTTATCGCGACGAGCGCCCGTCTGATCTCCCCTTCCAAAGTCGCAACTAGACCCAGATAAGACCGCAGCTCGATCGAAAGAGCGGCCCGTAAACTCTGGCTGAGTAGCCCATCGCCAGAACTCTCAACAAAGTTCGCCAGACCTCGATATAGCAAGCACGGTTCGGCTAGGGTGTTCAAAAGAGACACCATGGGGACAGGCAGCGTAGTAGGTAGCTTCAACGTAGAAGGCGACAGAAACTCTAGACTCGAAGACGACAAACCCTGCAGGTTGAAGGGCAGATCGCGCAAGAGACCATGCTCACTCGGCGGTGCCACGCTCTGTACTTTTTCCACCGTTGGCTGTTCCTGCTGCACTGGTTCCATTGCCGGCGCAAGAGGCTCCCTGGCCCCCGTATTCGCCCGCGACCGACTCACCGGCGCCGGCGGCCGAACATCACGAGCCCTATCCGAATCATACTCCGCCTCCCTCGCCTTCTCATTCTCCAGCTCCTGCTGCTGCCGCCGTGCCGAGACCTTCCGCTCCACGCGGGCAGGAATCTGCGACGCCGACGAGCTCACAGCCGGCCCATCCTCATCAGAGTACTCCGCCATGCGCTGAATGGTACCCCTCCTCGCCCGCTGGCCCTTAAACAGCATACTCTGCAAATTCCCCGTCTCCACCTGCGGACTCCGACTATCCACCATCATCATCTCCTCATCCCCATCCCCACCATCATACTCATCCGAGCCAGACAGCCGGTAAAGCAGGTACAAAATCGCCCACTTCTGCGACAGCACAGGCTGCGTCAACAGACGCGAGTAGAGATTCCCAAACCGCACCGCCTTATCAGGACTCGCGTTCTGCCGCAGCAACTTCCGCTTGATCATGTCCGCCGCATTGTTGATGTTCTCCCCGCCCGCCAGACTGCCCCGTCGGTTGATTCCCCCCGGCGGCGGCGGCGTGCCCGTGACCGGGTCGTTTGCGGGGTTGGCGGCGTGCGCGTCGAGCACGCGCCATGAGTGCTCGAGGTAGGCGTTGTGGCGCTGTTCTTCGGCTGCGGCGAGGGCTTCTTCATCGTCGTTGGGGAAGGAGTCGCTTATTGGGGGCGTGAGGGAGTCGACAAGCTGGGAGAGGGCGTCGTCGATGCGGCGTGGGCGCGCCGGTTGGCGGGTGGACATTGTGCGTCTCTTCTCCGTTGGCAGTTTTGGAGGGATTGTTTTCCCGCCTAATATCTTTCTTTGTGGGTGTGTGTATGTATGTGTATGTGTGTGACGCCTATTTTATTTCGTATCGTAGGCTCAATGGTTCGTGGGTTGCGAGGTCGCGCCGTCTATCGGAGAACGGGAAACGCGCGGCGTGAGAGGGGTGTGTCGTATGCGGTATTGCTGGTTTAATAGTGTTCGATAATACAGCCCATGGCGTCCTGCACCGGTCTATATCACTCGATCGCAGTTCTCACATGCAAGAGAGTTTCGTGGACTGTCAATGGAGTCAAGTCTATCGCCAAAGAGCGCGTGGAGACAAACGGACCCGAATGTTTTTGTTTGTGTAGTTTGGGTTGTTTGAATGGTTATGTATGCCCGCCATGCCAAGCATTGTCAGATCGCATCGCCAGGGAACAGACTCCGCCCTTCTTCAGCATGTTCTGTGCCACTCTACGGCGCAAACTACTCCTTGGCGCGCGTTAACTACTCAGGATCATCTGGAGCTTAGAATCTTCATATAACCAAGCACATCGATAGCAATTGCTTGACTAGCAAGGTCGCACTAATAACAATAACAAGTCTCAAAACAATAGACCAGCAGGAATCCACCAGAAACGCCCCCAAACAAACACTTATTCCCGCAGGAAGAATTAAGATAGGCCAATACCCAGTATCACAAATATGAAACAAGCGAATTGAAAAACCCCAAAGCCAGGCTGCGAGGGAGTGGAGGACGCAAGCCAGGGCACACTATCATGGTGGTGGACTTGTCCAGGGCCCGACACGTGCTTCTCGCAGGCTAGTGGTTGGGTCACAAAGAAGGACAAAAAAGGGGAAATAGAAATAGTTCAAGAAGATAAAAAAAAAAGAGAAGAAAAAGACACGGGAGAAAAGAAAACAGCAGCCAACTTTTGCGCCGAATTTGCACTCCAGTGGTTCAACAAATCCCATGTCGCACAACCTAACTAAGCCCGTCCGTTTTGAATTCGTATACATCATAACACCTGCCCATGCCAGCCAGAAGCCCGAGGGAGAAGTCGGGGGCTCGAAGAAGATTGGAGGGAATGGACAATCTCTTCAATGAAGAATACCAAAGTGATTCCCCGGACTCCGGCGAGTATCAAAGATTGGAAGCAAAATAATCAGATCCGGGATAGCGGCTTACGCTCGCCGCATTCCTTGCGCGGGAATAGCGCCCGGTTGCATTCCCATGTTGTAAGGATGTGTCTCGTAGCCGGGCGGGATACCGTTCATCATCATTGAGCCAAGGCCCTGAGCCTGCGAGACCGGGCAATCCTTGTGGGCGAGCAACATGGTTTTGAGATTGACAATCTCCTCGCGCAATTGAGTGACAGTCGCCGTGAGAGCATCATTCTCGGACGTGAACAGTTCGACCTTCGCTTGCAGGTTGGCAAGCCACTGCTTCTTGCGCTGTCGACACTTGAGTGCCGCGACCCTAATCGTTGTTAGCACCTGGGATGATATAATTGCCCGCAGACGTCAGGTTTCAAGTCACTTACCGGTTCCTCTCAAGGAAGTTCTTTCGCTTTTCTTCGTCAGTCATCTTCTTGCCATCGCCCGGCATCCTCTTCTTGTCGTCTTCCATGTCCGAATAATCGAAATCCGAAGGCGGCTCCATGCTACCAGACCCACTGTTGAGTTTCGACTTCTTGTTGGCTCCCTTGGTAACAGGATCATCAGCCTTGCGCCTGTTATTGGCGGCGCCAGCCCCTTTCGCCGAAGCATTCTTCTTTCCCTTGCCCTTGGTAGTCGGCTTCGCCAGCTCTTCAGAGAGATTGCCGCTCATCTCGCGGCCCGCATGCGCCGAACCATTGGCATTCTGGACACCGGTGTCCGGCTCATTGACCTGGACACTTTGCGGCGGGACGGAGGTAGGATTGGATGTAGAAAATTGATTCGAAGTCGGTTGTCCGCCTTTCGCGAGCATAAACAACCCGTTGGCTGCATCCGCCGCATCATGGTGGCCGAACGGATCGCCTCCCGCCGCCGCGTTCGGTTTCACATCCATGTTGTTGGCGCCTTGACTACCTGGGTCGGGTTCGGAGGTCGGGTTCGAGGTCGGGCCGTTCGCGTTGTTCTTCTTTGCGGCGTTCAGGGCGGTCCGGTGGAACTCGATGGTCGATGGGGTCGCACCCCCGCTTTGCAACTGCTGGAGAAGCGCCTGCGAGTTTGGGCTGGGGGCCGGGAACATGGAACCGCCACCGCCTGGCGTTAACCCGGTGCGCAATGAGGATTCGTTCGGGGTGGGGAAGCCTCGACCGATGCTGTCGAAGTAGTCGTTGGTGCTCGTCGGACCGGCGAGCATAGCCGGGCTCAAAGGCCCAGAGCGGAGCGAATTGGACCAGTTGTACCCACCACCGGCAGAGTTATTACCGGGCAAGGCAGGAGACGTCAAAGAGGCTACGGGAGGAAGGATCGACTTTCCCGGTGTTTCCCCCGAGGCACCGCCGCCGTTACCGCCGCCGCCAAAGGATTGTTCGAAGGGATTCGGTTCCAGGGAAAAAGGGTTGTGCACTGAGTTGAAGTAGTCCGGTGTATCAGCAGCACTGCTGATAGCAGGACGCGGAGGTGGTCCTAGCGATGTTTGGGAATCACCGTCTGGTTTTTGATTTTTGTTTTCTGAAGCCGACGCTTGCGAGTCTGCCACGTTCAAAGATCCCGGTTAGCGACTCGTGATCCAACCAGAGAGAGGTTTGTTTGCACACGCAACACCGAGGTGTTAGGGTACTTGATGTTGTTGACGCGACGGAGATGACGAAGGGGGAGGGAAATCAATCAGTGACGACAGAAATGAGATCATCCCGACGGCAAAGCGGACAAAAGGTACTTAGGAAGACAGTGGCGCAGACCCCAACCACCAAACGAACAAAGTTTCAAAACAACGGCAGGAAAATGTTTTTTTTTTTACAAAAACCATGGAGATCGGCAGAATACCAAAGACAAAGTACAAAGTAAATAAAAGAAAAGGGAAAAAACAGAGAGGGATTGAGAAGGGAAGGGTTGATGTGGAGGGCTCCAACTATTCACGCGACAGAAAGGACTAACGAGCATACTAACCTTCAGCGTCCAAGTTCTTTTTTGAATCCATTGGGGATGATTTACGATTGTCGGAATGGAGATTAGCGGCCACAGTCGGAGCAACCGCCGCAGACATCATAAGAATAGCAATCGAAAGAAAAACAGAGAGGTCGGCAACGTGAGGACGGTTGGGAGGTGCGAGCGCAAAGACCGAAGGGAGGAAGAAAAAGAATAAGCAGGCGACCGAGGCGAGTTCAGCAGTGTCGCGCGATGATGAATAAGGGAGAGAGGGTTAAGAGATGAAGATGAGTCAAGACCAGTTGATTGCAGAGAGACAATCGACTGGACAGAAGGAGAGGTTGATATCTATCTCCAGATCTGATATAATGTCTGTTTTAGAGTTGGTGTCGATGCTTTTTTGGCGTAGTCACTCGGTATAGTAAGTAGGGTTCAGTACTCCAGAGTACCTGTTGAAGGGGAGAGTAGAAGAAAAGGTTGTGACGTAGTCGGGGGGGGTTGTTTAACAAGGGATTTTTTAGGGGAAAAAGGAAGAGGGGAGGCGGTCGAGGGTCGTGAGCTAAGCAGGTTCTTTTCTGGAGGAGTGATTGGAGGAGGCGACAGAGGTGGAGAAAACTAGGAAAAACTCGACTCCTGTCAAGAAAATGGAAGAGAAAAAGAACCATGCAACCCTGGGTGCAGTACAAATAGTCACTGGCTACCAGATTGTAACCTTGACAGAATTCTTTTTTTTTTTCTGATCTTTTTTTTTATGTCGTTTTCTTTGATGGACTTTGAACTAGGTTCTATTCTGATTTTATCCTGAATTTAATCTATACCTTCTATAATTCTCTTAATTCGGTTTGATCTTGGATTGATAGGATAGATCAGTCAGCAAACCTAGAGAAGACAAGCCGAATAAGGCCAGTGGTTGGCCTGTTTTTCCAGGTTGGTTTCCAACCTGGATACTTCTCAATCAATATGAATGACGCAAGTCAGACACTGAATACAACTTCCACCTCTACATCTTACTCCCTCGATTCAATCTATAGCAAATCACTATATCGACATATATTAGATCAATGTATTATTCTATACACCCCTCGGGTTCCCCAATAACAACATATACAGTTCCCATCCAGGGGGAAACTTTCATTCAATCCATTAAAGCCAAAATCGAAGTGTGGACAGAGATGAGATCACGGTGACGACGACAGGAATTTTCCGGGAAATCGGACCAGCCGGGTGGCCAGTGGCCACTCGAAGCGAACCACCCAACCACCAGATCCAGCCACTCATCGGTTTCATTCAGACCCACCTCTCTCTTTTCCTTTCTTTTTCTTTTGATTTCTTTCTTTTTTTTATTTCCCCAAAAGAAGGGTGTCAGGAAAAGAAAAAAAAAAAAAGCTTCCCAAGAAGGGGAAGGCCCCGTCTCGTGACACCCTCAATGCTTCTAGGCATGGTCTGGGTGGCACATGTAGATCGAACGGGATATCATTATTCTCCATCATTCAATCTCCTCGGATGTCTCCATTTGTCTCCTCGTCTCCGTCAAGCTCGTCAATTTCTCACAGCATGTGTGATTGAACGCGTTGACTTCTCCCCTCTAGACCATGAAATTCGCCCCGAGTTTCCACCAAGAGTGACCCGTGCTGATTTTCTGATTGGGTCTCCTCAGGCCAGGTGATGACGCAATGAGACCGGGTTCTGGGACGTTCGTCTCGTGGCCCCCCCCCCCCCCAATCACGTGAGGATCCTGCTGTTCGCTCGTTGGTGAGCCAGCCTGCATCGATGGTCGAATAGGCTTGCATTGCACTCGTTTAGCTGATTGCCACTCATAAGTCCGAACGGGGGATCCAGATGTACATGTACAATAATCTACATGTCCAAGTGTTGCACATGTCTGGTAGTGGTACTGTAGTACTATGGAGGTCGACTGTTTTCGTGTTTGCTCCTCCTGAGTTAGATTGCACTCCGCATCTTACTAAACTCAAAGGAGGGAAGTACATGAACTCGGAAGAATACCCGGCGAGGGAAGCGGAGCAATTGAAGCCCGTGGCCTTAGCTGCATAAGTACCTTAGGTACATGGTGAAACTCTTGCAGACGGCTTATCATTTACCGTCCAATATTTTGGACCCGATCACAATGGGGTGTAACAGGTGGATAACTCTGGATATCTATTCATGATATGCAGGTCAAGTCAGATAGTATCACTTGGTTCTCTATAAGCACAGCATATGGGTCACAAATGTCTTACAATCTATCCACATACTGGACGTTTAGAGTGACAGCGGCATGTCCACAATCCAGGCTTTCCTTCCTGTTCTGTTTTAGTGCTCACCCTTGTCTTTTTTGCCACTGCACTTAATCTGAGGAGCCCCGTAAGCGCCACATTCGGCAGTGAGATACATCCTGGCAGGTTGTCTTAGCCCTCAGTGATATCCCGGATGACTATAGTGTTGACTCTGGTAGAGGTATGCAGTACTTAACCAGGCTGTACGGAATAGATATGACTTATGTGCCCCAGTAGATATCCCACACCACGTCACGCTTCGACATTACCATTGACTCGAGCCTGTCTGTATCCTGAAAGCAATCATATCCAGATACCAGCTGCCCTAATGGTCTTCGGGGAGCATAGGAAATACCTACTGCAGCTCCTGCAGCAGGATGATAGCATTATTAGCTCTAAAAGATATGACGGATGGTTTTGCGCCCTCCTGCAGTATCAAAGCAATAGAGGTGGGTTTTGCCCAGACGAACGGATCCGTAACGATCGACAGACAACAAACGGCAAGATACAGAGTACAGCGGTACGCAACATGTTTTCGCCCCGCCAAGCACCCCCTTACACGTGATTCTACACGCTCATCAACCATTTGGGACACATTTCATATAGTATCATCAAAAGCATCAGCATCAGCATCACAATGGGCAGAGGAAAAGAACTCGACCCCTTCATGCGCGGTCAAATCGTCCAACTCCATAAAATCGGATGGGGATACAGAAGAATCCACCGACAACATCCAAACATCCCCATCTCAACGATAAAATCAACCATCCAGGTCAATCCCAAGCGCGAGAATGGACAGTCTCAAACACGCTCTGGCCGACCCCGCATCCTTAGTCAAGGGCAACGGGATAATATCCGGGATCTGTATCAGGCCAATCCGAATATTAAGAATGAGGATCTGCTGAAGGCGATTGATCATGCGATAGCTTTACGCTCTCTGCAATATCTCTTGCGGGAATTGGGTTTGAAAAGGCTGACTTGAACGGCTGGGATTATAGTTGGAATACGCCTTTATACGGCTTTGATGAGCACATGCATACGATACCTGCACACCAAATTACTAGATACCTTGTCAAATGGGGACCGATGCACGGTAGCGCGTCATCAAGCAAAACAACCTACAAGTCTGGACTCCGTAAGGTTGGGGACACCATTGGGCATTGGGAGCGTCTGCGGGACCCACCGTCTACTACGGAGTTACTTCAGTACACCATGACCAACGCTCGACAGTCTGACACGTGACTATCTTTCCTGTCAAACATACACCTAGTATGTGCAGCTTCCACTTTGTTTGCCAGCACAACTCGACATAATATCTTGTCTAAACCTGCGAAATAAGCTCTATACGGAGTGGACCCCTGCAGTCCTGCATAACACACCTGGTGATTTTTTACCGTGCTATCCGACTTGGCGTGTTTGCGAGCAGTTCATTGTTGAGATACCCAGTGTTAATTTTCGATGAACTCACCTGTCAGGACAATGGTATGGCTTATATAAATGGTCCAGAAATTTCATTATAGAATTCCTGTATATTAGGGTATCAAAGCATGTGTTGCCTGGGGTACTCGATATCGAAAAATGGGATACAATGGCAGATGTACCCTCTCCACGGGTATAGTGAAGATCATATACGCAAGAGGTCACAATTGGAGAAGGCAATGTTCTAGAAATATGGAAGAAAGAGAATATCTAGCAGCACGACCTAAACAAAGGATATGTACGCCTTATGCCATGATGGATCCTTGTCTTCCAAGAGTAAGTCAGGGGATACAGGTGGGCTGGAACTCCCGACGATGACGACGGTTAGTGTTGCAGCCTCAGGCATGAAGACAGCAGTGCCACTTTGGCACAATTAGGCACCGTTCAATGGTCACAAGTCCTTTCTCATCTACTTACTTCACTGTCTCTCATTTCTCTCATCTTATCATATCCTCATACTTCTTATTTGTCGCAGAGAACCAAGTATCACTCCGGACTAGATAGTGACTGTTGAACACGGTCCCTCCCACCTTCCGGAACCTTCGACTGCCCGCAATCAAAAACAGTTGGATCTACCGGGAATCGCTGCTAGTGCGTCAGGTCAACCTCTCAACCTCGCCCTGCAAGGTAGCTTGATCTTGAAAACTGACACTATCTTCTTTGTCGAATTCCTCCAGACAACTTCAGAGAACCGTTCCTATCAATCCGATTCGAGTTTCAAAATGTCGTCCGCCGTCGTCCACGATGACGATCTCATGGAGCCCACCCTCCAGTCGATCATCAACCAGAACACTCTGCGCTGGATCTTCGTGGGTGGTAAAGGAGGTGTAGGGAAAACCACCACCTCCTGCTCTCTCGCCATCCAGCTGGCCAAAGCTCGCAAATCCGTCCTCCTGATCTCGACCGATCCCGCACACAACCTGAGTGACGCCTTCGGGCAGAAGTTCGGAAAGGAGGCTCGCCTGGTGGATGGATACACGAACCTGAGCGCGATGGAGATCGACCCTAATGGCAGCATCCAGGATCTCCTGGCTAGCGGCGAAGCACAGCAGGACGATCCGATGAGCGGATTGGGCGTCGGGAACATGATGCAGGATCTGGCATTCAGCGTACGCGATCCCCCCTTCCCCGCGAGGGGTAAAACGGTTTAGGGTCGTGCAGCCCCACTGACGATAACAGATCCCCGGTGTCGACGAAGCCATGTCATTTGCCGAGGTCTTGAAGCAGGTCAAGTCGCTTTCGTATGAGGTCATCGTCTTCGACACCGCTCCGACCGGTCATACTCTGCGTTTCCTCCAGTTTCCTACCGTGCTCGAGAAGGCCCTCGCGAAGCTCTCGCAGCTGTCCTCGCAGTTTGGACCCATGCTGAACTCGATTCTCGGCGCCCGGGGTGGTCTGCCCGGTGGTCAGAACATGGACGAGCTCCTGCAGAAGATGGAGTCCCTGAGGGAGACTATCAGCGAAGTCAACTCCCAGTTCAAGGACGCCGATATGACCACCTTTGTGTGTGTCTGTATCGCTGAATTCTTGTCTCTGTATGAGACGGAGCGCATGATCCAGGAGTTGACGAGCTACGGCATTGATACGCACTCGATCGTGGTCAACCAACTCCTGTTCCCCAAGCAAGGCAGCGGATGTGACCAGTGCAACGCACGGAGAAAGATGCAGAAGAAGTATCTGGAGCAGATCGAGGAGCTCTACGAAGATTTCAACGTCGTCCGCATGCCCCTCCTGGTTGAGGAAGTGAGAGGAAAGGAGAAGCTTGAAAAGTCAGCCCCTAGAAAAGCCCGTCTGTCGTACGATCGATCGCTAACGACCTCTACAGATTCAGCGACATGCTTGTACATCCTTATTCGCCTCCCGAGTAAATGTGACTGGATGCGGCTCTGGAATAATTTTATGAGGTGAAATTCTGCATCTGCTGTCATTGGGATGAGTTATGAAAAGTAATAGACAATAATACACTATCGCCAGGCGGGCCATCACAGCGCAAGTTACGTCTCCATTGTCATGATATAGAATATCTGGATTTGTATTGTTCAACGCCGATCTCTCTATATTTGCTTTTTCTTTTCCTTTCTTTCTTTCCTTTTCTTTTCGAGGCGCGGTCGACAACCTTGCGGCACCGTTTGCATTGCAAATGCCTCGTTTTCGCCTCCTCGAGGCTTTCATTGTTATTTCGTATCTGACAGCCCTTGCATCAAAGGATGGCAGTGCCGATGCACTTGTGGGTCTCTACCCAATCCTTAGATAGGCCGCCCATAGAGGTGACAAGCCTACCGCTTCCACGTCACTTGGATATGTCGGGTGTATCATCATCTGCACTATCTTCTCTCCACCTAGCCTCACTTGTGTCGAGTGGCACGTTCACACGATGCGACTTCCTGCTTCATCGCTCACGCTATTCACGGGTCGCCTTGGAGATGTTTCTATCTACTATTTGGAGCAGGGGCTGCGTTGCTTGTTGTCTCCGTTTTCAGCAGAAGCTGTGAGTCATGTTTCTCTAGAGGACTAAATCCCTAACAATGACGATGAGGAATACTCCACCCATTTCTCAGACATACGCCTCATACAGCGTATGCGCAAGCCCACTACGTCTCAATCAAAGGCATGCCGCCGGTAAATAAGTGAATACAAGTAGATCAACATCAACCTCAAGAACCTCCAGTCAGAACATGGGGAAATATACGTTTCAGTCCGTTCCAAACAGACTCCTAGCCTCACTAACTCCACTACTCAAGCGACCATCTCCACAGGCTCGGCCAGAATCGTCTAGTCCCATTGTGCCTGAGTGAGTATCCGATCAGCTGAGTCGGTCATGCTCTAGACATTGCTTAGGCTCGTTATGATAATGTGAGGAGGTAGCCGCATTAGCCTCATCCTGGCACCTGGCACCGGAGGAAATGTTGAAGGAACTGGATCAAAATACAGATAGATGATTAGCCTTACGCGCACTACGAGATCGAAATCTCCACATGAGCAAACAATGTCTATGTCTATGTCTCCCATGACTGGCAAGGGGGCGCGTCTTGGCTGCCGGCCGTCCTGCAAGATGTTGAATAACTAGTTAGTTGCAGCAGACAACCTGATCCTAGTCTGACAGTAGGGAAAGACCAGATCCACTAAGTTGGGCTGAAAAAAAAGTAGACAGTGATGGACTCGGCACTATAAGAATTAGTCAAAAGCGACTAGGGCAAACCCATGTCACAGGGAAGCTGTCTGCCTGTCTCGGAGCCAACCATGGCAATGCTAGTATATCCAGCTGAGTGACTAGGATGGATTTCTTCTCAAGTCCGCGCTTAACATGCAGCATCTACGCCCAGGAAGGCATTTCCGCCCCAATTCGGACTCTTGCATACCGCAACTGGCGTTTTGTGGGGGTGTTTTGGAGATGCATGGTGAGGACTAGTCGAATTTGCACCAGATCGGCGGTTATATCGACAGGACTTCATTTGAAATCGGAAGACAATTGGGGGAATTGACAGAGAGAAACGAAATAACAAATTGTATATTAAACCAGAATGATAACACCAAGATATCCGGCTCACCGCGGGCTAAAGATGGGCGAAATCCAACGTGGCTTTTCTCTGCGATCTATGGTGGAGGGTTCCTTTTTTTTACATTCATGCTCCGATTCCATGCAGATGTCATTTACGGGGATCTAAGCTCGGGATGCAAGAGTCCTAGATTGTAAGAAGTCATTTTGTACGACGCAGAGTATGGTGAGAGATTCACATCGGAGTAACTACATATGTCATGGCGCCATAGCATCATTTTTCAACATTCAACCGGACAGACCCCATATCAAGGCAAGAAGTTCACCGCAGGATGAGCCAAGAAACCGAACACAATTGCAACGAAAACTCCAGGGCGCAGCAAGAGCCCAGACGATTGGCATAGTGTCTTGATTTGTGGGCGCGCGGGACCTAGTTAGCTCCTGTTCGAAGTCAAGCCTCACTTTCTTCTCGGGAAAGGGTTGGATGACAAGAGTGAGGCGACTTTCTTTCTGGGATCCGACATGGCAATAGAACCACACACTGTTGATTTGATCTTAATACCGCTAGGGACTTAAGTGCAGGATTCTTAGATGTCAACAGTTATGCTGATCACTGCCCTTTCTTTGAGTCACTCGCCCATTCCATCCATGTATGATGATAATACTATATACTACGCTTGGGTTAGCCAGATCTCTGAGCGATACTATCCACATAAAACGGGCGATCAATTACTCTCTGTCATCTGTCTATCCTCGGATACCCTTGCATGAGAAACGTCGAATACTTATACAATCATAGTTGAATATGCGCTTCTCTTCGCTGTAGATCCCTGCTCACCGCTACGCTACCTACCGTCATCATCATCGTCATCATCACCGCCACCACCACCACCAAATATAACAGCGACACTTCCATATCCCTCTCACCAAGAGAAGACCGTCTGGACGTCTACCTTCGCTGCCACACACATACACACACATAACAAACCATCCGTTGAGAAGATGTCCCAAGTCCAACAATACTGGCTCCCAGGATTTGGACTCTCCCGCCATATAGTCCTAGGGCATATCCAATATTTCCTCGGCCCAACGGCGTCAGTCAGGCCATACACGTACCAGGTAACAACCTCCACCACGAATGCCAATGCGCACGCAGTTTCGCAAACAAGATGGTCGCCCTAACGCTTGGATTTGGTCAAGGGGCGCGAAGGTTATTTGATTGTTGGTGTACCTTTGACGCGGGTGTGTTCTTACTCTTCTTGGCTTGCCCTACCTTCAATTGATACCCACTATTGGGATTGCTTTGGAGGTTATATATATTAGGATGACCAAAACTAACACCATGAACAGGAACAAATCGACGATCTAGCAGCCATGTCAAGAGAATACGAAAGACAGGAATCCGTCCGCATGGCAAATGACTCCGTCCTGGACGGATCCTCCTCCCCGAGAGGCGACTCCGAGCCATATATCAATGATATCGTGCCCGTGCGGAACTCGAGATCCCGGACGAGACACGAGTCGCGGAGGGGTCTTTAGCTGGGGGGTTGTAGCAGTATGAGCTGGAGTTGATGGGTGGGTTAGGAGGATGTATCCTTTTTTTTAATTCATTTATGGCTTTTCGAGCCGTTTGGTATGGCTTTGCTGTGATATCCCTGGTTATTATTATTGCCTTTGTTTTCTTATTATTGTTGTGGTTGTTGCGGTTTGTGTTTTCCTGGTTTCATACCCATTTTTATATCATTGTTGTTGGTTTTCTCCCTCCCTCCCTGTCTCTCTTTCCCCTTTCTCAAATCTACATTACCACATGCATCACGATTCATCAACCATGGAACGACCGTCAGTATCGGCCTGACTCGCTTCCAGTTCCGAGTCTTGCCTCGCGTGGTCTTCTTTGACTTGATAACTTGGATACACTCTAGAAGTCTTTGATGTTCCTTCTGTACTTAGACACATACATATATACTACCTCCTTATACAGATGTACAGACGGAGTCATACATGAGTCTATGGCTTTCAAGCTCGTGGACTGCAGATGGAAGGAAGGATGACTGGCTCTAACCGGGACTGAAGATCTAGGTAGGAATTTCGGGATAAATGCTTGCAAGACAGCTACATATAAAAAAAGACGAAACGAAGAACGAAACAAGACGAACAGATACGTGCCGGGATGGAATTGAACAAACCCATTATATGATAATACCGAACTACGAACAAACTAACCTTCTTAATAGGTAAAGAAGCAAATAGAAAAGCCCTCAGGACGAATTTCCACTCAACTCTATAGAATCAATCATTCGTAACAGCATAGATCAAATCCAACAACATAGACACACTTTTGAAGATCAGAGGAAGGCGAGTTGGTCGATTTCTGCTTAGCGGTATGTAATTTTTTTTTCTTTCTTTTTCTTTTCTTCAGGTGAGAGACAATTCCCTCTTTCAAGATAAGAAAAATCAAGGGAATATATCAAAACGTCAGATCGCACCACGAAACCGACCAGACCAGCGACATCGTAGCATTTCTCCCAAAGTGACAGGTCTAAGGGAAAACAGAAGGGGAAAAGGATGAGCATTACAAACGGGGGATGGAGAGGGGGAAGAGAAAAAGAAAAAGAAAAGGAACAGCAAAGAGAACACGAAATGTGGACCACCGGAACGCCAGCCTGATGCCACTCTGCTTTGGTCCCATCACGCGAGAAGCCTGCCTATCTTGCAGGTAAGAGGTAGGTAAGGAATAGTAACATGAACGGACAGAACCGGGAGAAGAATGGAAAAAGACGAGTCTTTTGTTTGAGAAGACTGTTCTTTCGGCTTATTTGGCGACGGCCGCGCTGTGAAACTCATGTCAGTGATGGTCTCTTCTCCTATTCCAAGATCGGGAAAAAAAAACTCACCTCAGAACTTGTGTCCGGAAGAAAGCACCCTTCGTCTTCTCAATGACCTGCTGGTACACCGACTGCGGGGGGTGGTTCATGATCACCGTGCCCTCCTGGTAGTCGATCTTGGCGTCCACCCGGGTGTCACGGATCAGGTTGACGATCCACTTCTCGCCTTCATCCTGGTTCAGACCAAGACGGGTAGACAGATCCCTGGAATGATAAGTCAGTTTGATAGCCTTTCGCAAGTAAAGAGTATTTACGTACTTGATGTCAATCCGTTGGTGGATCTTGCAGTAGCTCTCCGAGATCAGGTGACGGGCAGCCTCGACAAAGGCGTCCGCGGCAGAGACCAGGAAGAAATCGCTGCGCAGCACATCCTCGGCCTCACCCAGCTTCCGCTGCGCCTCCTCAAAGTCAAAGTCGACGTACAGGGCCTTGATGAAGTCGGTGACGGGGTCGGTGTATTCGTAGTTCTCCTGGCGAACGACACGGATCAGATCCTTCAGCTGCTTCTGGTACATGCTGCTGTTCTTGTGGACGCGGTTGCGGTTGGTGATGACGGCGGCCGCGAGGTATCGCAGGACCCAGGGGCAGCTGGTCTGGATGGTGTTGATGTAGGCGGGGGAGAAGAAGAGATCGGTCAGGACATCGCGGGCGGGGTCGTGGTTGAAGAAGGGGAAGAGAGACCAGTGGATCAGCCACGAGCGGTTCTGCAGCTGTCCCAGCGGGTTGTTGAATAGCCGGGTGTCAATCGAATCCTTGACCTTCTGCACCTCCTCCATGGCACCGTCCCAACTGGTGGTCAGGATCTCCGAGGCCAGCTTACCCCAGGTGGCGGACGCGACCTTGTCGTTGTCGGTGGACAGCACACGGAACTGATACAGCAGCTCCGCGGCGTTGCCGTAGCTACCGCAGCTGTACTGGAAGCGGCCGTAGTCGTAGAGGCTGTTGACCATCTCGTTGGTGACGCCGTGCTGTTCCTCGAGGTACTTCAAGTTCGCAGCCTTGTCGCTGCGCAGGTTGCCCACAACATCGTCATCCTGCAGCAGATCGGTAATCTTGGCGCTCTGCTCCTGGTAGTGCTCCAGCTTGTTGAGAACCTCCTCCCTCTTCTTGACAAACTCCTCGGGGATCGAGTCGGAGTTGTTGATCTCCTGCCACAGGTTGGCCACATAATCGGTCATGTTGGTGTGCTTGAGCAGTTCATATTTGGCCCGGACGATCTCCTTGTCATCCTCCTGTCCAGAGCTAAATTCGAGAAGGGGGAACACCAAGTGACGGTCGAGATAAGGGATCAATCGGGGCAGGAGGTCGTGTTGGTTGGCGATCTCTTCAGCGGTCTTGGGGGGGTGAGCGGCGGCACCGCTGAGCAAAGTCTCGGCGGACGGGGGGGCGTTGGCTGCCATGGTTGGGGGGATTGAACCGAGACAGCAGACGGAGAGAGGGAAAAAATAGGTGGGAGAGGGGAGGTGAGGGTGAGAGATCAAGAAGGCGACAGCGGTCTTGAGGTCTCGGATTCAAGGCTGGATGGGGCGGAAGGACAAGACAATGAGAATAATGTGCGGGCATCTTTTGCGCTGGCGAAAATGTGGGCGGCAGAGGGCTGCTGAGCGCGCTAGGCCCGGTTGGGACTAGCGGCAGGTCTCCGCGCCGATGCAGAGAAATCGTCAAAAGAACCAGAGATGGTCGGCTCTCCATCCCAGCTTCATCTTCCCAGTACCCCCCTCCCCTCTCCCCCTCATCTCTTGAGTCTACAGTTGGTCTCGGTGGCTCAACTGATTCCTCTGGGCTTCATTTCCGTGACCCTTTCGACCCTCTGGATTTTCACCCCCCATAGCCATGGCCTCCTTCTTCCCGGTTCGTCCGGTTTGCTCGGCCGTTCGCAAGCAGTCGACCACTCTGCCTCGATCTCTATCCTCCTCTACACAGCCTATTGCTCCCTCGTCGGGGTCCTGTAGTCATTTCTCGTCACTATGCTCCACCTCTAGATCGATGAATTCTCGTAAGTTGTGATCCGATACTGCCAATCACATCCATGTTGGTCGGGAACTTGGCCACCCGAGAAGAGGCGGGAAAAAAAAACCAGAAAAAAAACCACAATCAAAACTGGCTATGAAAAGAACCATCGTTAGAATCCTCTCTCTAACCTGCCAATAGCCTTCACTCGCCCCTCTCAATCCTCCATTCTTCCATCCTCCCCCGGGAACGGGCAAACGCGGACGTTCCTGGTTCAACTGCGCCGACAAGCGCAGACTTTCAAACAGAACGCCCCTTCGACAGACGCTGCTCGCCCACCAGTCAACCTGCAACTCACCAACCTCCCCTACTTCATCCGTCGCACCGCCTCCAACCAACTCCCTGTGTACCTGGTCACCAAGGCGGGCGGTACCAAGCAGCAGACCAAGATCCAGAAGACCGAGGGTGACATGGACGCGTTGAGGAGTGATTTGGCGCAGTACCTGGGACTCGAATCTGGCGGGGCCAAGAGTCCGGATATCACGATCAACCGCCTGAATGGCCATATCGTCGTCAAGGTATGTCCTCTTTCATCCCGTTCCCAGCACAACGGAGCGTTAACCAGTCGATCGTCTTATAGGGTTGGCGGAAACCTGAGATTCAGAAGTTCCTCCTCGAGCGCAACTTCTAAGTGACGAGCAATAAACTAATATCGGGATGAACGTCGATCACCCGTTTCCAATAATCCCATCTCGATTTCGCGTCGTTGAAAAAACACGACGAGATATTTCGAATGCCATGGCCATTCAAAGCATCACCAACCACAAAAGAAGAGACCGATATCACATATATGACTAAAAGTAGGAGGAGGAATCGCAAGAGAACAAAACAGACATATGAGAAGTCATGAGCAGGAAAACTTTCAAGGGTCGTCGTTAACGAATGCCCCAAGGTTCCTTTCCATTTCAATCTCCATTTCTTTATATTTTTCCTTTTCCAATTTCCTTTTCTAATTCAATTCCCAATTTCTTTTCTTTTTTTTCTTCGTTTTTTCTTATTTCCTTGTATTATCAGTGCAGGTGTTCTGTCGCATTTGTCATCCGTCCCTGTTTTCATCAAGCTAAGTCTGTTTGGTTTGGTTCTTGGGTGTCTTATCTTGTATTTATATTGCTTTGTTTCCTTTTTTATTGTGTTTTGTATCTACGTTGCGTTCCTGCTCATCATCGTCTCCCCGCTCAGCTAGCTCTGTGCATGCTGATGGATGAATTTACGGTTGCTAGTATGTCTATTGTGGTATCGATGGTAGATATGGGAGTAGATGTTGGCTTGAAGATCTATCTCTTTATCTTTTGTAGTTCCTTGGGTACGTGTAGTCAAGCTTTTCAAATAGTGCCTACTTATAAACGTCCATACTCCCAATATAGACTGTAGACTAAGTAACTGTAACACCAGCCTACTCGTACAGCCCCTCGTTAGTACCTTATATACCCTTAAAAGCCATTGATATAATCAACAATCGTCGATGTACAAGTAAAATGATGCAATTGCCATTTGACCAAATTCAGAATATGATGTTACCCATGTAGACATAATATCATGCACGATCTTTCGCCCCGAGGGTATTCAGCATTGTACAACGATAATAGTAGTAGTAGGTAGTAGTAGACAACTAATCAAGAATACACACATGTCACGCCCCACACAAAAGATCTTTCCACCGGCGCCAGACAAGGACACGAAATAGATAGCAACAAAAAAATGGACGGAATTGAAGGGAAGAGAGGGGTTTCCAAAAGGTTGGTAGGTAGTAGTAGTAGTAGTAGTAGTTTACGGAGAGTGAAATAAATCAAGACATGAGGTCAAAACAGTCCCGATACCTGGAAAGATAATGTTGATGCTAGGCTTGTTTGGGCCTTCGCTAGGAAAAAGACATGGAATGGAAAGGCAAAAAAAAAATAAAATGATAAAATAATGAAAAACCGTCAAGTCCCAATAGCATGTACACCACGTCACTCGGCGAGCCGTGCATAAGTAATCAGCTGCCGCACGACCCCAGGATCAACATTGCGCATGAGCAACGCTCCAAGTAAGCTTTCCTTTTTAGGGATGATCCCTGATGGGAACCGCAGAGCGGTGTCCGTCTCGGCATACTTGGACTTCTCGGCTAAGCGCCGAAGAATCCCTAATCCTCGGTTGATGATGGAGCTGTATGCGGAGGCTTCATCCGCCTGGGCCCGTACGGCGTGGGTCTGGCGTGCGTTGACATTGGGCGGGGGGACACGTTCCGTACTCAGGAGACAAGATAGTCTGAGGAGATGGATCGCAAACCCATCTAGTGATTCCAACCACGCTTTGGCCAAGGGGCCATCAGCGAAGCTGGAGAGGATATCTGCCGCCAGCAATCCCTGCATGAGGAATACCTTGCGCGCATCTGCGATGGCGAGCGGTTTCCGAGGCTGGTCGGGAACCGGGCAAATGGCGAGCCCAAAGGCACGAGTGAGAAGATCTTGTTGGACGCCGTTGCCATCGCCAGAGAAGATGGACCGAAAGAATGTTCGGTTCGGTTCATCCCGCGCGAGGAGCTTCGCGAAACTATCCACGGCGGCGGGTGTGTACTTGTGGATAGAGGCATTGTACGAGGTGAACATGACGCCGTCCGGTCCCAGACTCGGGCAGGGGAACGGCGCAAATGACAGCACAAAGTTCAGGAGGCTCTCGGCCTCCTCCCGGCTCGGCACCTGGATGGTGTGCGCTAGGTTGCTAAGATAGATGACAGTGTCCTTCATGAAATCCAAGGTATTCTGGTTGGTCCGCAGAAGCATGTTCCGCGTCCCCAGATAACGGATGATCGTGGAGAAAAACTCGATGACTGGGGGTGTGGACAGGACTCCGAAATTTGACTCGGCGAACGAGAAGTTGCGCAGGATAGTGGTTACACAGATAAGTCTGTCGACAGCTCGATCAAGCTCGTAATCGAGGCTCCCAAATTCAGGGGGGTCTGCCAAGGATGTCCATTCGACCTGGCACCCACGGCTGATCTCTTCGTAGGACGGAAGAAGCATCACATCCGAGACCTCTGCGGCATGCTCGGCAAGCAACTCCGCTTGATCCTCTGCACATTCAATCAGGCAGTCCACGAGATCTTCGCAGTTGTCCAACGATATTTGAATGGCCGGCTCGCAAGAGATGGTCGCCAACGTATCCAAGGCCACGCGCATCTCGGCATGGATGCCGGATTTCACGCTCATGATCAAAGCGTGGATGTCAATGACCCCGAGTTCCCCATAAGCGGGAACATTGGGCCTGAATCTCGTGATCTCTTCCCCCAGAGGATACATCTCATCAACGGCAATGGGTCCGTGGAGATTACTCCCATGTAGTACCATCGGCTTGAAAGGGTCCTCAATGGGGTGCTTGAGCGGTTGGTTGGAGGGCCCGTCGAGTTGGTCGAGGGCTTTCCCAGATACCGAACCAGGTCCTTTCCCGACTTGCGCCGGAGACTGCGGGATAAACTGGTTCGAAGGGTCATGGGGCGTTGCAGGAGGTTGCGACCCCCGGGAGACGCTGAGTCGATGCTGGTGCTGCTGTTGCTGTTGCTGAAGCAGCGGCGGCGGCGGCGGCGGCTTGCTGGGACCTTTCACGGGTGTCGGTGTGGAGAATCCATTGGCGGCCTGGTTCGGCACATGATGCGGTACCGGTGGATTCCCGGGTGAGGGCTGTCCCATCGGTGGTTGGGTTTCGAAGCCCGGACCGGGTTTGGCACTCGGTGACTGGAATTGCATGCCCGAGGGGTCACTGGGCTGCCGCGGTAAGGAGCCCTGCTGCATCTGGTCCGCAAATTGTTTCTGCTGGGAATTCAAAAAGGCTTGTTCGTAGACAGCGAGATTCCGCTGATAGTGTTCCCGGATCTCTTGCATCGCAGTGGGAAACTGCATGGGGGGGAAATGGAGTTGCTGGGAGATCACGGGCCACATGTTGGCGGCCGTGACCTTTTTGGAACCCCCCAGTTTCATCACGGCGGAATACAGGTGGATCAGATGGATGGGCCGACCGCACACAATCGGATTCATGTCCAGTGGTAAGCTCCGCGACATCATAAACTTCTGCAAGGACTTCATGAAAGCTTCCGGGTTCGGGGGCTTCGCCATGGTCTGCTGCATCTGCCGGATGGCTGCCATCTGCTGCGGGTTCGCCATGGCGTTCATCCCAGCCGCCACCGGACGCCCAGCCAGAGCCGGATTCATGTTCATAGGGCGTCCTTGGTTTTGCATCTGCAAAGCATGCATTCGCTGCTGCTGCTGTTGCTGCTGCTGCTGCTGTTGTTGTTGCTGATGTTGCTGCTGTTGGGCAGCCATTGCTTGCTGGTATCCCTGTGGCATGCCGGCAAAATGCGCCTGCATCGGTGCCTGCATCGGCGCCTGCACCGCAGCGGACGTCATGGCCGGGGTCGGGGTGAATTGGGGGCCCATACCCTGAGGAAAGGGCTGAGCCGGCATGAACGAACTGTTCTGCGGTGTGTTGACCCGGCTCGGATGATCGGACTGGGGAGACATGTGCGGTCCTCCTACCTGAGGCCCGGCGGGCGTGAAGGGGCTCGGAGACGCGGTACCCATTCGGGGTACCCCATGCTGGTCAAAGTCCTGCATGATCGGGGACTGGGTGACATTGGGTGGTGTCCCCTGGAGGTGTTGATAGGGATTGGGATGGGGAGTGAACTGAGGACCTCCATTGGCAGGGCCATGATACCCGGGGAAGGGGACCTGATGGGGCGTCTGCGACCGCGACATTCCACCAGGTGCCTGTCGAGGGGACATGGCGATGCCATCCTCGGGCCGTGGTCGTTTGGATGGAATTACCTGGTTCGGGTTGTGGAAGCCAGGGGAGGCATTTCGGGGCATGCCATTGAACATGCGCTGAAACTGGTTTGGATCAGGGGGCGTGGGAGAGGTATGGAGGAAGGCGGCGGAAGGGTCAATGGTCGCCTGGTGAAAAGCGCCATTATCATGGTTGGGGAGATTCGAGCCGTCGGCTACCCAGGCATTCATGTCGTGTGTTTTTTACCAACCCATCTGTAGACCCAGGAGAGCTGTCAGAAAGTGTCACACAAAAGGCAAGACAAGAGTTTATTCATCCAGATACGATCGACAAGGATTGGAAGCAGCTGGTAGCCATCATGACACAGCATGCGTAACCATCAACCGACCATTCTCGATCGCGACCAGGTGAAATCGATGGGTCTGGACGCGTCAGGTTTCGGGGTGGGAGGCGGGCGTGGTGAGGCCGGATGAATCGCGCTTCGGGTCTGCGACACGAAAAGCAAACCAACACACTCAGACCAAGCCACGCCGACCGGGACCACCTATGGGGGAGGGGGAGCTTTGGGGGAGTAAAGGATTGGCGGGTGGGTTAGGTGTGGGGGAGAAATGAAATTGGGGAATTATTGCATGTAAAATGATGACCGAGAGACCATATTGATGAAAGGGTACATACCGACAAGGTTGGATAACTAAGAAGGCCGACTCACAGGCGATGGAAGGCGGTCCCGAAATAGTAGCGGGTTGAGAAATGAGACCGCGAGAGATTGCCAGCGGCCGGGTCACGGGACCACAGGACGCCACGCAGGGAGAGAGAGAGAAAAAAAAAAAAAAAAAAAAGAGGAAGGGAGAGAGAGAGGGAGGGAGCCTAAGGCAAAAGTTGAAAGACCATCAGCAGGTGATAAGACGATAAGGAGACGTCGGTCGCTATTTCCAATACACCAGGCATCTCCAAGTAACCACGGCTGCAAAAATAGGAACAAATCATGGATAAACCATTCAAATGTCCTAGCTAAGCAGCAACAACATTGGAGCAGGAGGAGCGGCATTCACAACGTGCGGTGGTGGTCCCAAAGAATGAGTGGGTGACCAGTGGCCAGTAGATAGTGCGTGGCCACAGCTCCCGGGAGAGCGTGTAATAGGCAAGTGAAAGACAGGGAGCGGGGGTGGGAAAAGAAATAACGGGCGTACCTGGACCACAAAAGCGTAGGGCTGTTATTTGTTGGAGTACGCTTGTATTTTATTTTATGGTAATAATGATCATAATAATAATGGTAAATGATAATAATAATAATAATAAAATTCCCCTTCCGATCTGAATGAGGAGAGAAGGAAGAGAAAGGGGGGGGTGAGTGTTTCGCTTGGGAGACAAAGCGAGTGGAGGCAAATGGAGTGGGTGGAAGGCAGAAATGGGGGGAACGTGGAGAGAGAAGACCAGAGGATCCAAAAAGAGATAGAAAGAGTAAGAGTCACTCAAAGAATTCAAGGATCCAAAAAAAGAGTACAACTCCAGTAAGTAAATTGGAGGCAGAGCACAGGGAGAAGCAAGTCAGTCTCGTCACGGTCGAGAATGATTCGAACAGGTCGGCTTGTGTTGAGCGGCAACTGATCGGGAGAAAACAGCAGGCGGAGTGGGGTGGCAGTACCGGGAATGACATAATCACTCGCGTCGACTTTCTTTCTTCTCCAATTGAATTCATGGACCGGTTGTCAGTATAAACATTACCAATCTGCTGATAATTGTAATAACAATGATGACAATATTATTATTAAAGTATTCAAATAATACTTTCGTCTGGATCAGTACCCGTGTGAGTGTTTCCTTCTGTTCTCTTCCTGTCAATCAGAAAGATGAAATAATTGGAGCAATAGGTCAGACGTCGATGTGATCGGCAAGGTAAGGTCCGGTCCCTTTAGAACCCGATACTGGTTCTTGTCCACTGATCTCCCCCCTAATCAGTGAGCGACCTCAACTTATTAGTAAATCATAGTGCAAGAAATGAGCAAAATCAGTCATTGTAGAAAACGAAAATCAGAGAGGAAAAAGGGAGCATTATTGTAACGATGTGGCGTAGCATATCCTGACAGCTGCTACGGGGTGGTTAGTGGGCATAGATGCTGTGGGTGGAAGATATCCCGGTCAGGAGCGGGGTGACGATGAGCTCTATAGTAAATTAACGCAAGTCTTGTCTTTCTTTCTGGCTTCTCCTTCTCTGTTTTTCTCTGTTTCTTCTGAAAGCACGAAGAGTATGGGAAGAAATTCCCAGGGAATGTGGGGGAGGGAAAAGGAAAAGAGAAGAGAAGGGAGGAGGAAAAGAACGGCAACTGCTTGTTCTTATAATCTGGATGATCGTGTTAGTTACTTGGGTAGTCATTTTTATTTTAATCTTTTCATTTTTTTATTTTCATTTCCATTTTTTATTTTTTTTTACTTGTGCCTCCTACCAAGTCCGTACCTAACCTGAGAATCCGCCCAATCTTGACCGTTCGGAACGGTCAGGTATGATGAACAGTTCCATAGATTCCAGCCAAATTAATGCCGCGCACATTAGTTCGTCAGACCTTGGCTACAATGTTTGACTTTTCTTTTTCTTCCTTTCTTTTTGCTTTGGCTTTCTAGTTTTAAATCTTGAATGTTTTAACTTTCCATCATCTGGCTTGTCAGTTTAAAATCCAGGCTTGCATTTGGGGCGGGAATTTTCAACGCTTTTACACCGTACACCAGTCTCTGGGAGTGGGAGTGGGAGTCTTCCTTGCCGCGCTCCACTCTTCCCTACCCAGTGGGTGATTATCTCCGAACAGACGGATTAGTTATGTGGAGAGTGGATTTCGGTTTTTGGCTCTTGGTATGGACCAACTGGTAACACATGGGTCCCCAGCAAGGCTCCTGCAGCCATTTTCAATCGGAATGGACGGTTGAGTGGGATCTTGCGTGGCTCTTCCACGGGACAAGACAAAGGACACCAAGGAGGCAGAACAACACAGACATCAACCTTCTTGCCACGAACCAACGCCTGGATCAGGTGCCTGGCTGGAGTTGGAGATTTCAAACGGGCGCAACAACTAACTAGTTTAATTCCAATGCCCAACCTATGGCCATTGTCCCGCGGCACGGGGATCATCGCGATCAGCACCAGCGTTACACTATTAAGTGATGAATGCATGGTACGGTAATGCATCCGCTGGTTAAATCATTCGGACAGCTGGAAGCAGGGTCTCTCGAATTCTGCTTCAACTCTTTCTTTGCTCGCGCGCCCAATTACAACAATAATATCAGTGTGTCGCGTTTTCTCCTCCTCTTCTTCTCTCTCTTCTAGTTGTGCGAGCTTTTCTACGCGGTTATGCCACCCACGATCATCCCTTTGCGATAGGCTCCATAGCAACTATGTAATCCGCTAAGAGACCCCACAGACCTACTCTGACATTCATAGCGCTGTACCGTTCATAGGATAGATCCAACGGCGTTCTTTTTTCCAGACCCTGGCATGTTACTAGTCTGCGAGATCTTACAGTGCCAGTGTGTTCCTATCTGAGGATGCCGGTAGTCAACCAGTGTCAAAACCAACCCGTGAAGGTAGACTGTACCACTGATCAGTAGTAGCAACTCGGGTTAATTGCGGGATTAAAGGTAGTTCGACGTCGGAATCTTCGAATTAAATGTGACAAGCTGTGGTGGCGTAACTGCCCTAGGTCCAGGGTTCACTAGATATATATACTAAATCATTGTCGAATCATACCCCTGGGGTTACGCCAGCAAAGATCATTAGTTACCGGAGAATAAGCACGAAGGTAATAAAGCGAACAACCCCAAGTTCGACAACAACAAATATACATCCTCTATCCTGAACAGACTATGCGTACTACCACATTTGCCAGTCAAGAACAGTCGACTCTGTGATCCGTAACTTCCGCTGTTCCATGTTTGGTTGGAATTAGTAAGTGGACAAGACAAAGAGTTGATCGGAATGGGGTACACAAGTGTATTTTATACAAAGTTAGCAGTAAATTAATCAATAGCTTGATATTCCAGATCCTCAAGTCCTTGAGAAGAACTACTAAAAAACATAGAGAATATGCTTGTGAGGCCTGCCAAAGATCTCTTTACCTAGTCAGGCTTAGCGGATCTGGCCAGCGAGCTGTTCCTCACGTGACTATTGCCACGGGAGCTACGTGATCCCATCAGCCTTCGAAGCACAGCTCCTCCACATGAACATCCCTCCCCACAGCCCCAATACCTATTCTTGCATTGCGACATCACCCCGAGATCCTTTTCAAACGTCTAGGTAAACGCGGTGATACTTTGTTTGCTTTATATCCAGTTTTTCGACGACATTTACAGCATGGGAGACGTCGCCGTGGAGAATCCGGCGAGCAACGTCACGCCTAAGCCGATTCCATTGGACAACATCCCCAACATCGATTCTTTCGAGGGGACGGGATCGGACGGAGGAGACGAATATGCCACATTGAAGAAGTTGCAGAGACATCTGGAGTATGTTGCAATGCGATCACCTTTGACGTGACTGCCATCTGACCGTTGACACTAGGTACATCCAACTCCAAGAGGAGTATATCAAGGATGAGCAAAGGTGGGTTACATCTCCAACCTTTCTGGCTACAGTTATGTACATTTTTCTAACACATCTTCGAAAAAAACAGGAGCCTGAAGAGGGAGCTCGTTCGTGCGCAGGAAGAGATCAAGCGGATACAGAGTGTACCACTCGTTATCGGCCAGTTCATGGAAGCGATTGACCAAAAGTATGACCCAACGCAGCATTCTTATACGAGCGTCTTTTGCTCACTAAATTAGTACGGGTATCGTTCAGTCCTCGACCGGTTCGAATTACGTCGTCCGTATCTTGTCCACCCTCGACCGCGAAAAGCTCAAGCCGTCGTCCTCCGTCGCCCTCCACCGTCACTCCAATGCGCTCGTGGATATCCTTCCGCCAGAGGCAGACTCATCTATTGCTATGCTGGGAGAGAACGAGAAGCCGGACGTGTCGTACGCAGATGTCGGTGGTCTCGATATGCAGAAACAGGAAATCAGGGAGGCGGTCGAATTGCCTTTGACGCAGTTTGACTTGTACAAGCAGATTGGTGAGCCAATGTGGTGTCAAGGGGGAATGACTGGGTTTACTAATAGTTTCCAGGTATCGATCCTCCCCGTGGTGTCCTGCTTTATGGCCCTCCTGGTACGGGTAAGACCATGTTGGTTAAGGCCGTGGCGAACGGTACGACCGCCAGCTTCATTCGAGTGAACGGATCCGAATTCGTTCAGAAGTATCTGGGAGAGGGCCCCCGTATGGTTCGAGATGTGTTCCGGATGGCGCGGGAGAACTCCCCGGCCATCATTTTCATCGACGAAATCGATGCCATTGCCACCAAGCGGTTCGACGCCCAAACAGGTGCCGACCGTGAAGTGCAGCGAATCTTGCTGGAGCTTCTTAACCAGATGGATGGCTTCGAGCAGTCGAGCAACGTCAAGGTCATCATGGCCACCAACCGAGCGGATACGCTTGATCCGGCCTTGCTGCGTCCGGGTCGTCTGGACCGCAAGATCGAGTTCCCCTCCCTCCGTGACCGACGTGAGCGTCGTCTGATCTTCAGCACGATCGCCTCCAGAATGTCCTTGTCCCCCGAAGTCGACCTGGATTCGCTGATTGTGCGGAACGAACCTCTGTCTGGTGCCGTCATCGCGGCCATCATGCAAGAGGCCGGTCTCCGGGCTGTCCGTAAGAACCGATACAATATCATCCAGTCTGATCTCGATGATGCCTATTCGGCCCAGGTGAAGTCGGGACAGGAAGACGAACGGTATGCTCTTTAACCCTCTCTACCCACTTTTCTCTTTCCCCCCTCCCCCACCCCCCCTCGCTCTTTCTTACACATAACTAATGCGTCACAGACCCGAGTTCTACCGCTAGATCAAGTTTCAGGTTTCGGTGTGCTGGAAATGGAATTGTGCATGGCGAAAAGGTGGTCGTCCGCTGTATCATCAGAGACGGGGCTATTGGTATATGTAGCACAATGATTGATGCATTTGGATTTCCTGCTGCAGTAGTATACAATACGTGTAGGAAGCATGTAGACAGCCTTCCAACCTTGCTGCTTCGTGAGCGACACTGCACGCCGTGTTATTAATGTGCATCTAGAAGCGATACTTTTACCGCCCACATCTTCCTGTCCTTTCTTTCTCTTCCACCACACCCCCTCTGTTTTTAGCCATCGAGCCAAGATAATCCATAAATTAGAAGGAAGAACGGACGATACTGAAATAAGCCGACTTTCCTCTTGAGTCTTCAGAGTTCAAATCCATCCTACATATCTCACGCTTGCCGAGACCTTCGAGATGTTCACCAAGTCTACCCCTTGCGACATTCCTAAGACCGAAAGGCACACAGGAGCTTTTTACGTGATTCCCGTCTCATATTGAAACCAGGACGCCTATCATACTAGAACACGTTCGTTCCGTAATGAGTTGGCTTGATGAGAAAGGTGTCCATGTCTGTCTGGGTCTGATGTCCCAAAGTTCCGCCCGTATATTCGGGCAAGAGTCGTTCTTGAAAGGCCAATAGAAGCAATTGCCATGTTGAGGAATCCTCTCTCAGTTCTTTGTTTATCTTGAGTTTGATTTACGAGATGGGGGCTTTACAGTGACTGGCACATGTACTGACTGCTTTTTTGGGGGCTTGAATGAGGTATTTAAAAAGATTGAGTGGCCTGAACCAAGGCGATGATGTTATCAGTAAGATTGGGCCTGATGGGTTATCAGCCGGGTTGGTTGGTGTTTGTTATGGGGTATGACTAAATATAAACACACTGTTGTCATCACTATCATTTCATCCCCCCACTTCTTCACACTGGATATTCCAGTGTCTGGAGTAATATACCCATTGTTGTTATTATAAAACAGCAATAAACCAGCATCGTTCAAAGAAACAATAATGTAGAGATATTGATCTTCCCAGGCAGGATCAAGTGATCCGACCCGTGACCATGATCCGCGCCGAGTGCCAAATGACGCAAGCCCGCCATCCTTGATTGGCTGCCCTGGTCACTTTCGCTTTCCCCCCATTACAAGTCACTCCGCAACCAGTCATGTAAGGTAAGGTACCTACGACTAGGTACCTCGCTTGCTCTCAACTCCCTTCACCTCCTCATCTCCATCCATCTCTCTCCCCATCGTCTCCATCCCCCATCTCCCCATCTCCATCGCGTTCTTCCAATCCCTTCATTATTCCATCAGCTGTTCATAAGTCTCTCTTTTGGTAACCATCCATCCTTATTTACTCTGTACCCGCCTCCCCCAGTGGTCTGGGACTGTTGCCGCCCATTATGAAGACGCCCTCCTTGCTCGCGGCCTCTGTGCTGCTGGGTTGTGCTTCCGCTAAGGTTCACAAGCTGAAGCTCGATAAGGTTCCTCTGTCTGAGCAGATGGTGAGTTAATGCTGTAGTCCTGTATTTGCTGGTCGTGATGATGATATGGGGATATGATCGATCGTGTCTGCTTGTTTGGGTTTAGCATCATCGCTGACCGGATCATCTCCAGTACGCCCAGAACATCGATACCCATGTGCAGGCTTTGGGTCAGAAATACTCGGGGATGCGCCAGGCGATGCATCAGCAGCTGTCTGATCAGACCGACTTGAATGATGAGCTCACTGAGCAGGGCCGTCATGATGTGCTGGTCGACAACTTCTTGAACGCCCAGTGTAAGTAACATCGTTTAGACGATTCCCTCCCAAGTTCATGGCTAACACGGGTCGCGCAGACTTCTCGAAGATTGAGATTGGTACACCCCCGCAGGAGTTCAAGGTGGTGCTTGACACGGGAAGCTCCAACCTGTGGGTCCCGTCGCAGCAGTGTGGCTCCATCGCCTGCTATCTCCACAACAAGTACGATTCCTCGTCGTCATCTACCTACCAGAAGAATGGCAGCGAGTTTTCCATCAAGTATGGCTCTGGCAGTTTGAGCGGCTTTGTGTCCAAGGACACCGTCAAGATCGGTGATATTAAGATTGAGGACCAGCTGTTTGCTGAGGCAACCAACGAACCTGGTCTGGCCTTTGCCTTTGGTCGCTTTGATGGCATTCTCGGACTGGGCTTTGACACCATCTCCGTCAACAAGATCGTCCCCCCCTTCTATAGCATGCTGAACCAGGATACTCTGGATGAGCCTGTCTTCGCCTTCTATCTCGGGGACGCCAACACCGAGGGTGACGACTCTGTGGCGACTTTCGGTGGCATTGACAAGGACCACTACGAGGGTGAGCTGATCAAGATCCCTCTTCGCCGCAAGGCCTACTGGGAGGTCGACTTTGACGCCATTGCTCTTGGCGACGAGGTGGCCAGCTTGGACAACACCGGTGTCATCCTGGATACCGGTACCTCGCTGATTGCCCTGCCCTCCACTCTTGCCGAGCTGATGTGAGTTCCCTTGGATCACTATGTCAGAAACCATACTAATCATTCTACAGCAACAAGGAGATCGGTGCCAAGAAGGGCTTCACCGGCCAGTACTCCGTTGAGTGCGATACGCGCGACAAGCTGCCCGACATGACCTTCACTCTGAGTGGCCACAACTTCACGATCGGCCCTTACGACTATACCCTGGAGGTCCAGGGCTCCTGCATCAGCGCATTCATGGGCATGGACTTCCCCGAGCCTGTGGGTCCCCTGGCTATTCTGGGTGATGCCTTCCTGCGGCGGTGGTACAGCGTGTACGACGTCGGCAACGGCGCCGTCGGTCTGGCCAAGGCCAAATAGAGGAGCGACGTAGTCTCACATCCCACTAGACGATGCGGTGTGAGAGCGATGGTACATATATAAGCCCAGCACGGGCATTTTTGTTTTCGGCGAACCTGGGAAGAAACTAGCCTACCATCTCAGATGCAGGCTCTGCACTGCCCTGGTTTCTGTTGCGACGTCTGTTTTAGTGACTTTTACGGAACAATTTCATGTGTTATGGGTTTTGGACTCTATGGTAGCCTACGAAACGCATTCTCACAGTAGATGAAATCAGTGGGGAAGAAACCTATGACGTGAGTCATATTGAGTAGTGCCGTTGGATGGCAGATGACAGGGGATAAACATAGTTGACTGGTCGGCATTACCAGGGATTACTTACCTTACTCAATGCGTTAACAATGACCATGATTATGACGAGGTCTAGCCCCGCACGGACGGGTACTGCCTGATTCTGGCCTGGTCTTGGCGGCCGACCTCAGCAGAAAGTGAACTTCAACTTCGCCTTTCGCCTGGACTGATCTCTTTCTTTCTCTTCCATCTCTCCACCCAGCTCCTGTCAACGTTAACCATTCCAATTCAACTCGAACTTTCAATTCTCATTCTTTGCGCTTGATTGGGCGCATTATATTCTCTGCTCTTTGCCAACTGCCCCGTTGTTTCCTCCCAAACGGCGCCGTTTTCTCGTCGCGTCAGCTCGTAGCGGACCTCATTTGACGAGCTCTCGCTCCACCGCAACCACGATTTCCAAGTTTCTTGGAATCGCCCACCATCTCTCATCATCGAATCTGCCTCTGCTAGATTGAGTTGCGCCTTCATTACCTTTTTCGCAGTGGGCGCGCGCCGAGCGACCCGGTGATGGCTTCATAGCTTTGTTCAGCTCGGTTCCCTTTCTCTCTGTTCGCTCGCGATCGAATCGCCAATCGCGCTCTTGCTCCGTGCTCAGAGTGCGCCATACATGAGAGAGAACCCAGTGGGCGGTAGTCAGGACACCGTGCCACTCGAGTCTAGATAGGAGCATGCTGCTTCGATTGCCGCCGAGCCTTCACTACCCGATCACCGTAACGTCGCTGCTCAAACAGCCTGGCGATGCGGTGGAACGGGATGAGGCTCTCTTCTGGTATATCTACCAGACGACTGTCACTGAAGGTGATGGGCTGGGCAATAAGATCGAGGTGAAGCGCAAGTTTCCGACCAAGTTTGAGTCGACCGTTGATGGCGAGATCGTGCAATGGAAAGTCGCCAAGGGCGATATCATTGATGAACCGTATGTGCTCACCTTCTCCTGATTGATTTAAGGAGAAATGACTTGCTGACGTGTGGATAGGGTTGATATCGTCGAGATTGACGAGCCATGTGCTCACGAAGTCCAGTTCGGGGGTCTGTGTGCGGAGTGTGGCAAGGACATGACTGAGTAGGTGTTCTGGTAGTTTGGCAGTTGGTGTGTTGCTTTGGATAAGAGCTGACATCGGTTGTTCCTGTAGGTCGACGTACAACACGGAAGTGACCGATTCGATCCGCGCGCCGATCCAGATGGTCCACGACAACACGACACTCACCGTAAGCGTCGAGGAGGCTACGCGGGTGGAAGAAGATGCGAAACGTCGACTGCTATCGCATCGGAAGCTGTCCCTCGTGGTGGATCTTGACCAGACCATTATTCATGCTACCGTTGACCCTACCGTAGGAGAGTGGATGGAAGACAAGGACAATCCCAACCATGAAGCATTGAGCGACGTTCGAAGGTTTCAGCTGGTGGACGATGGACCAGGGATGCGGGGATGCTGGTACTATGTCAAGTTACGACCAGGATTAGAGGCCTTTTTGGAGAACGTCGCGGCGATGTACGAGTTACATATCTACACCATGGGTACTAGGGCGTATGCGCAGCATATTGCAAGTATCGTCGATCCAGACAAAAGACTCTTTGGCGATCGTATTCTCAGCCGTGACGAGAGTGGCAGTTTGACCGCAAAGAACCTGCATCGTCTGTTCCCCGTGGACACTAAGATGGTAGTCATCATCGATGACCGTGGGGACGTCTGGCGCTGGAGCCCCAATCTCATCAAGGTGTCTCCGTACGACTTTTTCGTCGGGATCGGCGATATCAACTCCAGTTTCCTCCCCAAGAAGCAAGAACTGGAGCAGCTGTCCAACAAGGCCGAGGAAAAGCCACCGGTCAAGGCCCCTCCACTGCCACCACCGACCGAGCACCACGTTAATGGTAGTACCACGAAACCGGAGCCGAACGAGGAGGTGTCAACACTAGAGCAGTTGGTAACGATGGGTGGTGGAGACAATCCGAGACTGCTGCAAGAGCAGAGTGACGCACAAGAAGAGACGATCATGCACCAAGTTGAGGACCGTCCCTTACTGCAGAAGCAGAAGGAGTTGGACGCCGAGGACGACGCGATCTCCCAATCGGATAGCAGCGAGTCGTCCGCCAGCGTGGATGAGTCCCAGGACCCCAACAAACAGCGCCATCATCTGCTGGTCGATACCGACCAAGAGCTCTTCCAGTTGGAAGCACGACTCGACGACGTGCACCGGAGATTCTTCGACGAGTACGACCAGCGGCGGACGCGCGCGCTCGGCGGACGGGTGGCGGCTCTACGGGGCGAAAAGACGCCATTCAAGGAGAAGGACGTGGACCTGAAACTGGTCCCCGACGTGAAGGACATCATGCCATACATCAAACGCAAGATCCTCGGTGGCGTGGTGATGGTATTCTCCGGCGTGCTGCCCCTGGGTACAGACACCCAAAACGCGGACATCTCCCTCTGGTCGAAGAGTTTCGGCGCCGCAATCTCCCAAAAGGTCAACCGGCGAACGACACATCTCGTAGCTGGCCGCAACCGCACAGCCAAGGTGCGCGAGGCGACGCGATATTCGAAAATCAAGATCGTCTCGACGCAGTGGCTCCTAGACTCCCTCACCCAGTGGAAGCGGCTCAACGAAGAGCCGTACCTACTCCCCGTGCACCCAGACGACCGCGGCGAGCCGATCTCACCCAGCACCAAAGACCTGGACAGTGCATGGTTGACGTCAGACGACGAAGACACCGGCGAATTCCTGACAGACGACGACAACGAGACGGACGATATCCTCCAGTCGTCGGGGCTATCGGAGCAGTCCCCGATCGGCTACGACGAAGACCAGCAAGCCGCCGTGCACGAAGAGCTGAAAGACTTCCTGGGTAGCGACGATGAAAGCGAAAGCGACAGCGACGCGTCGTTCATGGCCGATGAATCCAGCCAGATTGGCAAGAAGCGCAAGCGGGATGATGAGACTGAGGGTGAAGGCGGTGGCGGTGACCAGGAGCTGGCGGCTGAAGAGGATGGCGATCAGACAGGCTCGCGGTTATCGCAGCGGATTAAGCGGGTCTACGAGCGCAGCACGGGGCTACGAGCCATGGCCACCCCAGGCGGTGCCAACAACAACAACAACAACAACAACACTGCCGCACCGGATGAGCCAAAGCCAGAAGAAATGGTATCCTCCCCTCCAGAGCCCGAACCATCCAGCTCCCAGCCCCAAGAAAACATCCCGCAACCCGACGAAGACGACGAAGACGAACTCGAGCGGGAAATGATGGCAGCATTCGAGGATAACGACGAAGACGAAGCTCGAGCCGAAGACGACGAAGAAGGAGAAGAGGAAGAAGAAGAAGAAGAAGCAGCCGATAGTTAGGGTTTTGTTTTTTTTTTTTTGTTTCCATTTTAACTTTGACTCTTGAATTCTTCCTTTCTTGTTCTCTACTTGTCATATTTGTCACAATTTGCTTCTTGTTTCTTCTATCTTGTTCTTGTTCATATTGGAGATGGAATGGCGTTGAGGATGGATGCATGAGCATCGCGGGCTGAGTGGCATGTCTTGTCGTGACTCACTCACTCTCTAGACGTTTTAGTTTGGAAGAGAGTGCTTTCTTGCTGCTGCTGCTGCTGCCACTGCTACTATTGCTGCTGTTGATGTTGATATTGTCGGGACTGCGATCGATGCGAGAATGGCATAGCGATGGCGTTGACGGGATCTATCTATCGATCTACTCTCATATCTTGTTTGTATAGGTACATACATGGTGCTTACCGTACTTGTTTCCTCTACCCTCCGGTATCGACGCTCATACGTACATGATGCTAGATGGGGATTCGATAGAGTCTGTAGTTGTTGTAGATGGTAAGAGTGTTTATGGGTACATATAAAAGACAAAAAAAAAAAATAGGGAATAATGAAAGAAGAAAAAAAGGCAGAGAAAAACAAGGCCAACACAAATGGATATCAATATCAATCAAGACAGACAACAGCGCCATTACCCATATTAAAACAGAATAATATCCAGAGGGGAAAAAAAAGAAGCAAAAGAAGAAAAAAGAGAAAAGAAGGAAAAAATCAATCGTATATATCCCGATTTACCTGCCACGCCATGATCATCATCCAGAGGAAGAAGATTGTGTTGACGAGTTCGAATGCGAAGGCTGTTTTCCAGCAGCTGCCTGTGGATTAATTATTAGCACGTGTTTCTTTTGAGTCACGACGCACGATGTTGAGTATGTTTGTTTGTCATGTATGTATGTATATATGTGCATTTTGCACTACCCATGCATACACACATATACCCATGCATACAGTCGACAGTAGACAGCAGACAAAGTGGCAGGGGAAGAAGAAAAACAAAAGGGGAAACAAACAAATAGTACTCTGCGTCAGCCAAGCCAACGTCTGCAGATTGTTGCCCCCAACGCGGTGATCATCGAGGACATAAATCTGACAATTGTCGTTGACGTTGGCGACGACGCCATACAGCTGCAGCGAGGTCTCGATCAGCCCTGTTATCCAAAGCACGAAGAGGATGAAGCTCCCGATGAGGATGATGCCGGGGAGGAGGAAGCGGCGCGCGGCGAGGACGAGGATGAGGACCACGAAGATGAAGCCGAGGGCGGAGGAGACGACCATGTAGGGGAAGAGCCTTTGTTTCTTCTGTTAAAATGGTTCGTTGATAGCAGGGAAATGGGTACATACCATGGTATCCCTAGGTTCATCTCCGTCTGGATGGCCATAAACCAGGAGAAGATACCGAGGCAGACTGCGGACCCGGAGAGCACGATTATGATCCAGATGTTGAGCTGCAGTTCGGGCCATTGGTAGTGCCGACTGCGGCGGATCGGGGCTGCCATTGTTTCTTTCCTCCTTTTTTTCTTCTTTCTGTTCTGTGGTATGTCTTGTTGTGTTGTGTTGTGGTGGTGGGATTGATCAATCGAGATAGGACGGATGTACTGCGTAGATCAAGAAGTCGGGTATTATATCATAGAAAAGTCATGCATCCATGCGGCGTTATACTGATTCGTTCAAGTCGTATCTGTCGTTCATTCATTCGTCGATTCATTCAATTGCCCTGATCGCCATATACTCCAAGTGCAGGCGGGGTATGAGGGTTATATGTATGTATAGATCGAGTCGAGTCGGAGGTAAGCCGCAGCTGCGACGTCGTAACACCGTTGGGTCGCTAAGTCGCAGGACCAAGCCGCCCCAAACACCCAGCAAGGTATCAGGATCCCAACACCCCACGCCCTGGATTGGGCCGGTGTGGACTGGCAATGTGACGGACTGAGTTGGTTGAGGGTGTGTTTGTTTGTTGATTGATCGAATGGATTGCGCCGGGATGTGTTGGCGGTTATGTAAGCGGTGAGGAGTTGGTCGGCGGAGACAAGATGAGGACTCGAGGATTATTTTGGAGAACCAGGTGGTGGTGGCGTATGCAGAATGGGTTATTGCTTGAATAACTGACAGGTGACTGACAGGAAGAGAGAATGCACGGAGTGAAAGAAAGAAAGAATTGCATTGTGGTGGGAGAATTGAGGTGGCTGGTGCAGTGGGTGTAGGTATATAGTAAGGCGACAACGGAGGGTGGCAGGGCAAGACGTGGAGTTGGTTTCGCCCCTTTTAGGGATAGTCGCTGATCCCAGGCGGCACCATGGAATCAGATCTGAAGTCCCTGCAAAGGTGATGGTCAAAAAGCCGAAGATTTTGACTCGTCTGGCAAAGTGTAAGGACCGGGGTGTTTGGGTCGACGACCTTCTTTGTAACTGACATTGTCGACAGGAGTCTTGCTTTCCTTTACAGTGAAGATTCAACAAAGTTTTCTCAGTGTGCTCGGGTGTTGTTCATGAACTAGTACTTTGAGATCGTGTAAGTACTCTATGATTTTATTTATGATTAAAATATAGAGATATTAGTCTCTCCAACCTCCATAAGTAATCTTCTCTTGCTATAGCTGTTCTTATAATATTAAATATAAAAAATAACCACTACCTGTCTCAACTGCTTGGACGGCCGATTCGGCCAGCCACGTGACCATTCGAGTCACCTGTTTGCCAGTCGAGTGGTAGGGCCGCCCCCACCGCTCCCACCGCTCCCACCGCCCCCACCGCCCCAATCTGCTCCGAATTAGGGGGCAATCTCCCCTAGAACCCGCCCCAATCCACCCCGAAAACAACACAATTGATCTGATAGTGGCCTGGGCCTGTGTTGACCGCATCACTGTTAACGCTCGTGTGGGACCTGTGGTTTTCGAGTGTTAGAATATCTAGTCCGAACGTGTATGGTATTTTCACGTGCGGGGCTGGGAATATCAACCTTCACAAAGCTGCGATGAGCCGAGCGGGCCACGGCGGCGGCATCACGCTAAGCGGCGCCGGAGCTGGAGCTGGAGCTAGAGCTAGAGCTAGAGCTGGAGCCAGAATCAGATCCCCCGGCAGACGAGGCAGATCCTGAGCCGGATTGCGAGCTAGATCCTGAGCCAGACTCCGAGCCAGATTGCGAGCCAGACTCCGAGCCAGATTGCGAGCCAGACTCCGAACCAGACGAGCTAGATCCTGAGCCAGACTCCGAGCCAGATTGCGAACCAGACTCCGAGCCAGACGAGCTAGATCCTGCGCCAGACTCCGAGCCAGATTGCGAGCCAGACTTGGAGCCTGCGCCGCCATCTGCGCCTGCGCCGGAACCCGAGTTTGCGCCGCCATCTGCGCCTGCGCCGGAACCTGAGCCTGCGTTGCCATCTGCGCCTGCGCCAGCATTTGAGCCTGCACCGCCATCTGCGCCTGCACCAGAACCCGAGCCTGCGCCGCCACCTGCGCCAGCGCCAGAACCCGAGCCTGCGCC